GGGGGTGCTTGTCTGAGATGTAAGGCATGCGAGCAGGCTGTGGCACTCCTTCCGGGAGCTTGTTGGGATCTCCGAGAGTGCAGCGGCTCGTTACATCCATTCCTGTTTCGCCTGCTCGATTACTGGCACACCTGGAAAAGGAAAATACCAGTGATACTAATGGGCAATTTGGGGGGCACAGAGCGGTGGGCAGGGAAAGAGAAGAAAAGTCCTGTTCCGCGCATGCGCGGAAGCTGCGAAATGCGACCCGTGCACGCTCAGTCGCGTGCTATGTTCTACTCAGGATGCGAATGGGGCTCCGGAACGGATCCCGTTCTCATCCAGAGGTACCACTGTAGTTAATGCAACTCTTACCTTCACCACCACCCGCTGAGTTTTGCGATTTAAAAATTGTTAACAGCAAGTATTGCGAAGCACTGACTCAGTCCGCACACCAAAACCTAGTTATTTGTGTTAACTATGGTGTGCTGTGAAATCTGAATTAATGAATACAGTGGTACGTCTACTTACGTGCCCCTCTTGTTACGTATCCTTCAGGACATGCACACGGATATGCACACGGCAAACCTGGAAGTATATTTCCGGGTTTCACCGCATGCGCATGTGCACTAGCGCTCTATCGTGCCGTATGTGTGCGCAGAACAGGCACCTCCGTTTGCGGAAACCTCAGGATCTGACTGGACCTCCGGAACGGATCCCGTCCACAAACAGAGGTACCATTGTAGTTATAATTATCACTCCCATCTCAAGAGGTAATTGCACCACAGAAACAGGTGTACTGAGCAGAAAGAAAATGAGAAGAAAGTCTAAATCATTCTTGTCTCTGTGTATACATAACTTAAACATGGTTTGCGTTCTACTCTGTGATTAGTATAAACCATGATTTGGTTTAATGTCTGAATTTAACCTACAATAATTTCTCTTTCTGCATCTTACCTGCGCATTGGCTTTCCGTCCATGCACTGCAAAGAGAAGTCTTCAACCTACACTTCTGTGCCAGTGCTAAAGAAAAGAATGAAATAGTGTGTGACAATCCACTCTACTGATCTGTAATCTATGAGTAGTATAATCAGGGCATAGAGTAAATCCAATGAAATCAGTTGACTTAGGTTAGCCATGACCAACTTAAATCTATTTGCTGCAATAGGTTTACTAAGAGTATAACTTACAGTGGTGCCCCGCAAGACGAATGCCTCGCAAGACGAAAAACTCGCTAGATGAAAGAGTTTTCCGTTTTTTGAGTCGTTCCGCAAGACGAATTTCCCTATGGGCTTGCTTCGCAAGACGTCTTGCGAGTTCTTGCGAGTTTGTTTCCTTTTTCTTAAAGCCGCTAAGCCGTTAATAGCCACTAAGCCGCTAATAGCCGTGCTTCGCAAGACGAAAAAACCGCAAGATGAAGAGACTCGCGGAACGGATTAATTTCGTCTTGCGAGGCACCACTGTACTCTTCATGCTGTATCCAATGCTGCAGTTCCAACATTGCAAGAGTTCCAAAGTGTGCAATGGAGTTTCCTCTTCTGTCCCCTCTAGCTCCCCAGAGACCCTCCAGAGAAGTTTTTGGAGGCACACGGGGGAGGAGAGGAAACAGAGGTCTCCTTTCCTAAATACACATACCAGGGAGTAAGCCCATTAGACACAATTATGGTTTATTACATTTCTAACCTGCCTTCATTAATGCAGATTTTTTTTTAAAAAAAGGATTAGAATTTTCTCAGGCAATTCTTCTTTGACATGTTCAAATTACCAAGCTTGTCTAATATTTTACTTCCATTTGGCATCCATATTGGCCTGGTTCGCATGTCACTTTAAACAGTTAAGCTTGACTGTGATTTAAAGATGAATGCACCGTGTGTTGGTATGCAAGGAGAAGTTTGTGGCTGCTTCGTTCCTCTGCTGCTGCACTGCAGGAAACTAAGCCATGGTTCAAGCCCAAGCTCCTGGTTTATCTTGCTCCAAGTTTGGTTCCAAGCTGTAAGCAAGGTTTGTTTTTTGCTTACAGCTCATGGTTTATTTGGAAGAGGCAAACCATGAACACAGCTTTTGACAAAACACTAAGCCAAACCATGTCTTAGTTTCCATAGTGCAGCAGGAGTGAGGGAGAATCTTTTTCCCATGCGCTAGTGAAGTGTGCTTTCACTTTTAAACTAAGGTTAAGCTTAACTGTGGTTTAAAGTGGCATGTGAAAATGTGCACCCCGTTGCCAGATGCAGGAAGGCATAAAAGTAAAATAAACATTCCCATAATATACACAACATAGAACTATAAAATCCAAGAGCTGGAAGGGGTCCCAAGGGTCATCTAGTTGAAACCCCTGCAATGCAGGAACCTCAGCTAAAGCATCCCTGAGAGGTGGTCACCCAACCTCTGCTTTAAAACCTCCAATGAAGGAGCGTCCACCACCTTCTGAGGGAGTCCACTCAGCTATCATACAGCTCTTACCCTCAGAAAGTTATTCCTGATATTTACATTTATATTTCACCTTTCCTCCAAGGAGCTCAATATAGCATGCACACTTTCCCCCTCCAAATTTTATCCTCAGAACAACCTTGAGGTAGGCTAAACTGAGAGATGGTGAATGGTCTAAGGCAGAGCTGGTCTGTCCATGAGGCAGACTGAGGCTGAGAAGTGAGAAGTGGCTGCGGTGGCTTCTGGCGAGATTACATAAGAGTCTCTGGAGGCCTCTGCACCCTCTTGCCAGACCTCACTGCAACCACAACTGTGCACCCCTGGTGAGCAAGGCTTTGGCAGGGGCAGCAAGGGGGTGCGGGTGCCACACGTGCAGGGTGGCACCTTCCCATTTTGCCTCAGGCGGCAAACCAGATAGGCCACCCCTGGACTAAGGTCACCCACAAAACTCCATGACGCAATGGGGATTTGAACCGTGCTCTCCTAGGTGTCAGTCTGATACTCCAAACTCAAGGCCACCACACTTGCAGTCCCACGGAAGACACAGGCAGTTCAGGAAAGCCCCATTCCTTCACACGTATCCCCAAGGGGTCTATTTTACAAGAATTTGGCTGTTATATGCAATACTATTGCCAATATAAAAGTACAATGAAACAGTTATTAAAAAAAGGATTTAAAAAAATTATATACAGTCCTCTCCTTATCTAGTAGTCAGAACATCAGGGCAGAGTGTACCTGAAACAGAACTTTATACTTATCCATTACCATATCCAAAGTAAAAGTACCATGTCCAATTATAGTTTTTAAAACATTAAAAAGCATTTCAGCTATCATAACTCATATTAAAAGAAAACAGAGGTTGGTGAACGAACCATGTTTACAGTCACTCACCTTGCTATGAAGTTGAGGTAATTCACAAGCCCTGAATAATCAAGAATCCCTGCCTTCTATTCATTTTATCCATTGAGATCAACAGGACTGGACAAGAAAAAAATTGATGAGTGACCACAAAGGTTCCTAAAAGTTAGATTACAACACCTAAGAATTTGAAATGCTTTACCTATTCTATACCAAAATAGCACCTGCAGAATGGAATTCTAGCACTTTTTCAGCCCTGGAAAAATCAAGGTTTCCCCAAAATTGGGCTAGGGACAGATCCTGATTAGGATTGGGCCTCAAAGACAAACTTGACAGGTGGTTGGGGTCACCCACCTGTCAATCACATGTGATTAGGGTATCACAAGACTAACAGGTAGGTTGTCCCATCCACCTGTTAAAATCCCTTGCACAGGTATGTAAGTCTCTCAGTGCTCTGCCTTTAAATAATCAATACCATTGGTTTAAAAAGGCCGAAAAGCAGGGACTAAATCTTGCTGCCTAGGTTGTGTGGTCCTGTTCCCTATTGGGAATAGGGGATGCCACCAATGCAGAATTAACCTCTGTTCTCTCCTTGCATAAGCAGTGATGTCAGCTGATAGTGGGTGGGCATGGTCTGGGGAAAATGACCTCACTGGACCCCCTGGTAGGCCAAGATTGGCCTGCAGGCTGTAAATTCCACATTCCAAATTCCAGATAACCTCCATGGGATGCTGAAACTGGGCACCAACAGAGTGAAACTCAGATTCCCAAAGAGATTCATAGGCAGGCCATCTAAAGTAGCAATCCTATCCACTGATTTCTGGAAGCAAGACCCATTTGATTCAATGGAACTTAGTGCTGAGTAGGCATGTAAAGCATTATGCAGCCAATCACTGCAGAAGTTTGGGAAGCTGTCAGAGAAGGCAAATCTTCTAAAAGCCCAGGATCCAAACTGATGCATCCTCGAAGGCCAAAAAACAAAGTAACTAAATAAATCCCACGGACTAAAGCCTCCCTCCTTGGTCCGATGCAGCCGCACTGTATCCCCCCCCCCGCCCTCCCCCGCTGCAGGTCCATCTTCCAGCTTGGTCACCCAAACTCCATTTTCTCCACCTCAAGCCACCTGACATATTCTAGGGTCCATTCACCTTCCCCCCTCGGCTTCTTGCCCTGGCCTAGGAGCGGGTCTGCGGGATGACTAAACAAGCAAACAAGATCCAGTGCGGGCGGGCGGGGGGTCCATCAACGGCGACAGCTAAATGGAGCCTCCACGTTCGGAGGCAGTATACCCCGCTGCATGCCAGGGGCCGGGAGCGAGGCGGAGAGAGCTGGAAGGGAGCAGGCCCCGGGACCGGCGCACCTTTGGCCTGAGGGGCCCTTCCGCGTCCTCCCCCAGCCCCCCTCGCACACGCCCCCCCGGCTCCCCCTCCTCCGCCCCGGCTGCCTCGAGAACCGACCTCGCAGCGGAGGCGGGGAGCGGCGGGGGCGGGGCGGCCTTTCGAAGAGTCCTTCCCGGCTTCTTTCGGCACCGCAGCGGCTCCCGCAGCTCCTGCTGGTCCCGGAAACTGCCGGTAGGAGCCGCGCACGCAGCGCACACACCCCGCCCCCGCGCCCCCCCGGCCCTAAACCCGGGTGCACCGCCGGCCGGAAGCCGCCCGGTCCTGTTAGGGGTCCGTTCGGGAACGGCGAGCTGCCGCGCGGAAGTTCCGGCCTCTGGGAGTTCCCGCGCCGTTGCCATGGCGACGGCATCCGCTCCTGCGCTGCGGCGCGAAGGAAGCGCGGAGGCGAAGGAGGAGGTCAGAAGAAGCGGGGCGAGGAGGGGGAGGGATGAGCTGGGGGGGTGGAAAGTGCGTAAAAAAACCCGTGGGGTTTTAGTCAACTAACTTTTACTCAGAGTAGACCTATCAGAATTAATAAACCTATGTCGTTAATTGTTAATGGCTCTATTCTGAGTAAAAGAATGCTTAAAACATTCTTGTTCAGGCCTGCCTACCCACATGCTTAGAAAGTTGGGGTGATTTTAATCTATTTAAAACATACAAAAGTTAAAATACTCAAAAGTACGGTTGTGACTCTTTCCTCAAAATTATTGTTTTTCACAATCAAGCGGGGTATAAATTTTTTGAAATAAAAAAGTTGCTTGAATACAAACCCTGTGGTTTTGCTATCAGGCAGGCAGGATAATCTGAGTGTCCAGAAAGTTATTTGGTGGTTATATTTTATTTTATTTTATTTTTGTTTGTTTATTTAGCATCAGCCACATACCCATTGGCACATTTACAAAGAACAAACAAAGGGACAGGCCTCTCCCTCAAAAGGGACCCATTGTCAAGATACGGGCACAAGGCATGGATAAAATGGGAGAAGACTTCATTTCAGTTAGACTTCCTCACAGTGGGGAACATGTCAAAGGCTTCATGGAGAGGCTGGCACTTGTCAATCTTAGCAGAGCACCGGAGTAGCCTTTTCCAGTGTTAGCTTGGTGCTCCCAAATGTTTTGTACCCCAAATCCCAGCATTCCAGGTGATTCCAGGTCACACAGCTGAGGCTGATCAGGGAATACAAAGAACATTTGTGGAATACAAAGAACATTAGGTGTTCATATTGGATAGGTTCCACCCAATTGTTTATGAACAACAGGAGATAATATTTTGATATCTTTCCTTTTTATCTGACTTCTTCAAACACATGTTGTTATGCCAGTAGTGTAATCAAATATTCGTGGGTCACATTTTGAGAAAGTTATGTTGGAACTTTGTAATCCTATGTGCACTAACTGAACTCAGTGGGACTTTCTTCTGGATGAACATGCACAGATTCACACTGTGAGTGTAGTAATTCTGGTGATACAAGGTTTTTCAGAAGTAGTTTTTCTGCATTCTTTCTTACTCCCAGGAGTCACAGGAAAACCTAGTAGTGGACATGAAAGATGGGAAGCATATTTTCAGCCACAAATCTGGATGGAAAATGTATGACTAGAATGAGGAAAGGTAAAAATGTGATCCTGGGTGGGTGAGCTGATAGCTGTTAGGATGGATTTCTTTCTTATTATCTTTCTTCCAACATCCCCTAGTCAAAAAGAAAGGATACTTAGAGACCTAACAACCTTTTGATTTGTCCTTGACCAAATAGTATGAATTTCCTGCAGACAAAAATTAGGTTCCATTTTGTTCCTTTTCAGGCTTATTCCAGGAAAATGGAATCAACAGAGGAGATAGTGGACTCAGCAAACAAAAGTGAGCATGAAAACTTGGGGCCTCAAGAGGAACCAGCAACTTTCAATCCTCTCCTGAGAGCTTGTCTAACTGGTGACACAGAGGGAGTACAACAGATTTTTGAGGACCTGGAAGATCCTGATCATGAAAAAGCCAATCGGCTTTTAATGGAAAAGGATATTGTGGGCAGAGGCCTGTTGTATGCAACCTGTATGGCTGGGCAGAGCGACGTTATCCGGACACTGGCAAGATATGGGGTTGATCTGAAGGATAAGACGGCCCGAGGTACATAACTGACCAGTTATGCAAAAAATGTACTCCACAATTTTTTTACTAGTTTGCCTGCTCATACTTTTTTCTCTGTAGTTGGGGGGAAAAGCCCTCTCTACCTGGTTGTCTGAGGGTGATCCTTCCTCTCTGCAGAACACCATGCAAGCAGTTCATAACAAGTCTGTTTTTCCTTAAAATGCCCTAAAAGGCATTATCAGAACATAACAGTTTTCACCTGGAATACATTGGACAGATGTACCTATATTTATTATTTACAAAATTTGCACCATCTGTTTAGCAGGCAAAAGTTGGGTTTTCTTTTAAAATCGATAATATTATTGACAGGACTATGGGAAACATTTTTTAAGAGATCACTAAGAACAGACTACAATTTAAAAAAGGATGTATAACATACATTGTATCTTGAGCACAAAATCCCTTTTGTACCAGAACCTTAAGTAGACACTAGTTGCTTGTCTGTTTGTAAATGAATGCTGATAACCTGCTTTTAAAAATAATAATAAATGAATGGTTTGAATCTTAAGATTGAGATGCTAAAGGTACATTCTGGTTAAAATATAGGTTTCCAAGTAGCTGGATATGTTTGGTTGTTTTGTGAATGAAGAGAGAGAGAGAGAGAATGTTATAAACGGGTATTCTATATACAACTACACATTCTAATTTGGCTCACTCTCTCAGGTTATACACTCCTCCACTGTGCTGCAGCCTGGGGCCAACTAGAGACTTTGAAAACTCTTATAGAACTGGAAGCTGACATTTATGCAACCACCTCCCGGGGTGAAAAGGCTAGAGATATTGCCTGCCGATATGAGCAGACAGAATGTGTTGCATTCTTGGATTGGGCAGGTAAGAGTGGTAACACCTAAGCTTCTTTGAGATGTGGATCTGATCTTACTCATGATAAGACCATAATTCTAGACAGGTGTAAATGAATATGATTTGAACTGCATGAAGATCCTTTGGACTGATTCAGTGCTGGATTTTGGTCAGAGAAACGTAGCTTTGCCTCCCATCTCGGTCACCAAGATTGGGTGGCATCCTGATTTCCAAGCCTTAGATCTCCATCCATACAACAATGCTCTCAGTCTTGTACTGGAAGCCTTCTTTTCAACTACCCTGTCTGGTTTGGTGCCCAACTGCCACCTAGTGAGCCTAGAAAGGCAGGTCTTAACAATGCATTCTGGTATGCTTCTTCTCACTACAGGCTCATCACCTATTATTTGAAGAATAGCATAAAAGGCACTTAAACAAATAAAATTTGCTGTCAAATATCAGCCAGTTGTAACCAAAGAAAACAGTGTCATTCTTGCACACAGTCTCATAGTGGTTTACAGTAATCCCTCATCGTACGTAGGGGTTTGGTTCCAAAAATTGCACATATAAGCAAAAATTGTGTATAATCAAATACTTGGAACTGCTCCGCAGCTAATGAGTGAAGGGGAGAGAAAGAGCATCCCCAGTATCACCGGAGCCAGTCAGCTGAGTGCACCTTGCCAGTGGTGGACAGCATTGTTATGGCAGCCCCTGCATTGCGGTGACCAGTGCAACCAAACCAGTCACACTACCTTAAAACTGCCTCAGACCTTGCCCAGCAAGCAACTTTAGAAGGCTAGTGGTGCTTGTGCAAGATCTTACAGGAACTCAGATTGTCCCGCAAGATCTTGCAGGAGTATCCCAAAACCTTCCAGAGCCAGCATGCTGCACAGGCCTTGCCCAGCAAGCAAGGTGAAGAACTTAAAAGCTCTTTATGTGTTGGGCAGCCCTAATTGGACCCAGCATGAAAAGAGCTTTTACTCTCTGCCTTGACTTGTACAATTTCAACCATCCCACCTTCAAGCCATGTTTGGTTGAAATCATGCAAGTCAAATGCACTTGAACTGAGGGATTATCATGGCCTCGTGACCAGCCTTGAATGTACCATGATCAGCAGGCGCTTCTGAAAACGAGTGCCAACACAGTGCAAGTTACTGTGTCCAACTTTTTAACTGACCTCTGTTCCTATGCCTTTAATAGCAACTTCATCTGCAGATATTAGTACATGATAATGCTTAACTGTATGCTGTGAAACACTTTAATTGCTGATTTTCATAGAAAAAGAAAAGTCAGAAGATGAGACACTAAACTGATTTTTTCTCTAGGAAGCTAGTTATCCTAAAAGCAAGAAAGCTGTATATAAAAAGCTCCATGGTCTTTATCAGGGCATAGCTAGTCTGGTGCTGGTATGCAAGGGAGAGGTTTTATGGTGCAGCAGCATTTAAGCACATTACACCATATATCTGATGTTGTTGTAACAAGCACCCATTTCCAAGACACAGTCCTATGCCAAAATGTTGGCAGCCTAGACAGCCTTAGGTCTTTGTTGGTTAAAAGTGTGGGTGACTCAAACCTATCTTTGCAGAGTTGCCTGAGGTGTTTCTGTGTCTTTCTGAGAGTACTGTGGCATTTGTATTGTTTCGGAGGCACATGGGTGGCAATGTCTTGCTGTTGCCATCCTTCCATTGGCTCCCACCATGCCTGGTTGCAGAGGGGGAAGTGTCCTGCAGCAGTGCTGTAATGGACACTAGCAGTGGTGTGCGATGAAATTTTTTGTAGGGGAACAGTTAGGGCCAGAGGCACCAGCTTGCAAGGGCAGTTGGGGGGAGGGGGCTGGTGTCATGTCCGTGAGCATCGTGCCTCCTTCCCTAAGCTGGGCAGAAGCTTCCTGGGCTTGGGAAGGAGGCACCAGGCCTCTGACAGGATGCTGGAGCTCTGCTGCCTCCTTCCTAAAGCTAGGCAGACTTTGGGAAGGTGGCAGGAGGGCTCTTGGACCCGTAGGAGCATTGCGCCTCTCTTCCTAAGCCAAGCAGAAGCTTCCCGGGCTTTGGGAAGCAGGCACTAGGGAAACATTTAGGGGATTAGCCTAGTCTCCCTAGTCCAGGGGTCTGCAACCCGCGGCTCCGGAGCCGCATGTGGCTCTTTTACACCTTTGTCGCGGCTCCGGGGCGGATACTAGCGAGGGGAGGAGGCGCATTGTGCGCCCCGACACTCTCCACTGTGGCGGGCGCTGTACTGGCTGTGACGTCGCATGGGGGCAGTGCGTGCGTTAGTCACGCACCGTCCCGACGTCACCTTCCCGCCCGCCCGCCCACTACATTGTAAAGGGCATGTACGCTGGTCACTGCATTGAAAGGGGGCATGTACGCTGGTCACTGTTTTGAAGGGGAGTGAAGAACACACACACACAAAAAGGTAACTTGTTAATTTAACGTTTATTTCTATGAGGAGGAGTAATTCTGAGGGGTCAAACAAATAAATAATAAAAAAAGTGACAAAAAAGTTATTTTTATAATGACGAGTTTTGCGGCTCCCAGTTCTTTTTTCTTCGGAAACGGGTCCAAGTGGCTCTTTTTGTCTTAAAGGTTGCAGACCCCTGCCCTAGTCCAATGACTGCACACCACTGGACCCACGAGTGGCGTGCCTATTAGTAGTGCAACAGTCTGAGCTTTTTCAATGCATTTAATTTCTTATTTTTATGTTATTCTGTGCTGGGGTTCATTAGAAGGGAGGGGGCTCCACCTCTTCCCCTTCCCTGTAATTTCTATGAGTATATTTGCATAGTGCAGGTCAGATGGCTATCTCTGATATATGTATGAAAACTAGCCACCTGAGCTGCACTTGATAGGTCCACCTCAGATGCCAAAATGTCTTGGATCCAAAATGGCACCTCCTACCCCACCAGGGAAGATCTGCATGAGACCTACAGGTATAGGGCAGTATACAAATTTAATGAAGGAGGAGGAGAAGAAGAAACAAGGGTGAAGAAAGATAAACATCAATATTTATTATGGTTTTCGAATGGTTCCGGGAGTCGAATGGACTCCTGGAACGCATTCTGTTCGAGAACCAAGGTATGACTGTATGTGTATTTTAAAACGTGAACAGTCACATAATACTTTTTAAAAATATTATTGATTTTAAATATAGATTTTACATTTTAATACAAAACAAATATCCCCCTACCCTTCCTCCTACTCAGTTCCTGCTAATGTTTGACTTGAATGTTAAAACAATTTACTTTGCTTAAAACTATCTGTAATACCAACCTAGTTCCTTAAGAAAAACTTTCTTTATTTGGAATCAGACAGTGGGGTGGGTGCCTGAATGTTTGTACAAACCCAAGGATCGTGTTCTCCTGGCTGGACATTCAGAGTACTATACAGGCCAGTGCATAGTTTACAATGGAACCTAAGTGGGAGTCCTAGTGATTCAGACCAAAGGTCCAATGGTGGCTATCCATTATAGAATGGGCATACCTAGACATTGGTGAAGTGGCACCCACCAAGGCTGCAATCCCAGTGGGGTGTGAAAATTGTGCCACAGGTGAGTGTTCACACAGGCAGAAAGGGCCTGTGAATCCACCTTTTCTCCTTCCAGCTTTAGCTGTGCCCAACTTGGCCAGCGGCTGGAGCCATAGCCAAGGCTTCCCTATGGATCATCGCTCTCACCAGCTCCCTGCCTCAGGCAGCAGGAGGAGCAGGCATTTGTCTTCAGCATGGCCGTCTTTGCAGTAATAGTGGCCCCCAACACATTACAGTAGCACCAGCATGAGGGGAGGAGGAAGAGGCAAAAGAAGGAAACCTGAGGAACTTGCCCTGCTGATGTGAAAGGGTGATGGAGCCGTGAGGGAGGTGGGAAAGCCAGGCTGCTCTTTGCCCCTAGTAGGGATGGACAGACCAATAATAATACTTTATTATTTGTGCCCCAGCCATTCTGGGCTGCTTCCAGTGTATATAAAAACATAATAAAACCTTAAACCTTAAAAAGCTTCCCTATCCCTGTCTTTAGGTGTTTTCTAAAGGTTATAGTGTTACTCATCTCCTTGACATCTGATGGGAGGATGTTCCACAGGGCAGGCACCACTACTGAGAAGCTCCTCTGACTGGTTCACTTCTCACAGTGAGGGACCTGCCAGAAGCCTGCTTGCAACACCTGTGAAAATGGAACCTCTTCCCCCTCCAACCAGAAGTGTTCTCTCCCCCCCCCCCCCGCGTGTGCAGTGGCCGGCTTTGGCTTAAAGCAGTGCCCTTTGCAATGCCAATATTTGGTGCCCTTCCACCTCTTGCCTTCTGCTGCTTGTCATTGTTGCAGCGTCTGCTATGTGCCCTCTCAGCTCAGCACCCAGTGCAGGCAAACTGGCTGTGCTTCCCTAAATCTGCCTCTGCTGTGCGTGTGTTTAAAAGTAAAGTGGAAAGATAAGAGACTCAGTCATCTGTGGATGCCCCCACCCAATAATTTAGGAAGCATAGGGAACTGCCTTAAAGCTGGTTTGGTCATCCCTCCATCTAGTTCATTGTCACCTACACCGACTGGCAGCAGCTCTCGGGTTTGAAGGCAGGGGTCTCTCCCACCCCTACCAGGAGATGCCATTGGGGATTAAACCTGGGGCCTTCTACTTGCAACACAACTGTATTAGCACTGAGCTACAGCCCTCCAACTTGTGGGGCAGACTTTGGTATAGGTAGAGTTGAGCCCCTAACAGTGTGACCCTAGGCCAGGAGCTCTGTTTCGCTCACCCCATAGTCAATTTGTTTGTTGGCTTCCACAGTTTCTCCCAGCTTTGCAGGCACCGATACAGCTCCTTGCAAAGGGCACAAGGGAGCCTAGGTATACCTCTGAGAAGGGGAGAAAGGTCAAGGTCAAGAACTTGCTCCATTGTGATGAGGTCATGAAGCTATCTTGTTAATTATAGTATCTTGCCCACCTGAAGACATGACTGAACAGGGGATACCTCAAATCTAAATAGTTAAATTGAGTTGAAAACCAGCTGTGGTCCACACATTTAACAGCGAGGGGAACACAGCAAGGCACATTCACTGGTGAGGATTCCATGTTTAGTTCTTAGCTGAGTCAGGATGATGTTCTACATGGTGTTTGTGGGATACATTTGATTGCATTTACTGTATTTGGTTTGGTTTGGTTTGTGTTCTGCGTTGCGTTGGCTTCCCAGGAAGAGTTTGTGTGGATTGGGATGGCATATACACACTGCAACGATGAGTACTCTTCTCTATCATTTCTGTAGGGAGTGTGCATGGCAGCCTCAGTGACTAAAGGGAAGAGATGTTCCTCAACAAGGGCTGCAAAAAGTGTTATTGCTGACTGACCATGCAATGGGTGGCAGGCACAGCTGCTCCAAGGAAAGGGAGGGACGTTGAAGAGGAAACCAAATATATCAGACCAGGTTTTGCTTGGTTGCTGAGGGATCTTTTCATGCCCTGATGTCTTACACTGTTCTGTCAGGTGAGTTCAAGCTCACGTAAACTTGAGCCTCTGCCATTGCATCTCTTGTCCACCCTCTGCTTTCCTTGGAGTCACCTGCCTGTTTGCCTGCTTTTTAGGTTTCATGCATTATGACCCTTTTTGCCCATCATTCCAGAGCAGAGGCTATATCAGGATAGCAATGGAAGGGAAATCCTTTTTGTTTGCTGCTGCCATAGAAATGCTACCTTAGTGGTAAGGCTAGCTATGAAATATATTGAGGTGGGCTGGTATTTAATTGCTAACATAGTATTTTTGTTACCAGTGAAAAAGGAATCTTCTGACAGACAAATGTAGCATTGTTTATCCTAATTGTGCAAAACTGAAGTTGCTTAATACAGCAGGGTCATATGGAAGAATCACAGCATATCAGATACAGGCTTTAATTTTTGGCTAGATTTTTTTAAAAATAAATGTTTAATAGCCTTGCATTTGGGCCTCTTTCACCTCAATCATCCACAAGATTCTTCATTAAATTCTTCTCAAAAAGGTTGATCAAGCATGTTGAGATTTTTGTCATTTATTGTGCTACCCTGTTGACTTAAGAGTATGATTGGAAAGATTGTGAAAGGAAGAGCTGAACATAGCAGGGAAGAACCTGGGTTTTAGGTTTCATGCATTATGTGTCTCCACTGGAGCTGTGGTTGTGGGGACAAATTGGGAAGAACTGTTCGTCTTCATCAAATTCATCTGCTTTGCTCTTCTTGCTTAATTTGCGATATTTGACTTCTTTCTTGTAACGGTGAGCAACATGCTTCATGTATTTCATCATCTTGGAGGTGTTGGCCACCAGCCTGTAGAGCATTTTGTCCATGTTGTGGGTGTATTCATCATTCACTTTGGTAGCAACTGGAAATGCAGGTGCTTGGACAATTGTCCTACAGGGCTGAGAAAAATGGAAAAACAGGGAGTAATACTTTGCATCAAAAGCAATTTACAAGTTAAATAGTGTTGCCATCTCTTTCACTGACTCTGCTATTATGCCTTTTAAGAGGAATTTGATGTCTGAAATCCCTGTACTCCTGGTCTTAGATTGCTGTCCTGGATTTGACCCTGTGGCATAAAAAACATCTGCTACTCCTTTCCTTTGGCTTTATGGTAGTATGCTCATTGGTCTTTTATCTGCTGTTCTGTGAAAGCTGAGCTTATTAGATGGCAAGATCACTTGATTCTTTAACATGTAGGTAGGTATAAGTATAAGTTAGGCACATATTTAGCGAGTTCACTGTAGTTAGAGTCCCAGGTGGTTCAGTTGTTCATAATTTAGTTTTTTGTGTACAAAGCACACATTGGGCATATCTACACACCAGACTATACATGGTTTTGTCCTTGCAAAGAATTAGTGAAATCACAGTTCTGTGAGTGCTAAGGATCTCTAACAGAATTGTCAGTTCAAACTGCAACTCCCAGGATGCTGTGGAGGAAATTGATGTTAAATAAAACCAGCACATTTATAGTGTGGCTGTGCTCACCTTAGAAAGTGTTACTTAGAAAGTACTTCTGACTGGGATCAGCATTAAGACTCATGGTTTGTTTTTTAACATATATTTTTCTATTAAATTAGAATCTGAGTTAAAGGTCAGAAATTAAAGCTAGGGAGCCAGACAATGTGCTAGTTGAGAATATCTTACCGTTGTGGGTTTCGCCAGTGTCAATTTCAGTTTCAGTTTGATGAACAGGTAGTGCACAACTAAACCACTCACTATGAGGAATGCTACTTTACAACCAGCATACACAACTTCTAGAGACTCTTTGGATAGTCCCAAGCCAGTAAAACAATGGCATACTTGACACATCGAATCACGAAAACAGTTAGATTGCTGTTTAGTCGCCAGTAGTTCCAGATCCTGTGGAGTCATTTCCCAAGCAACTCTTGTCCAAGCTGGTCGTTCACAAAACCCAATAACATCTTGAAACAATAAGACTGTCCAAAGGAGAGAAACCTGACAAGGACCTTGAGAAAACATTCTGTGAAATTTTCAGCAAGAAATGTCTTCTGCTAATTGATGTTCCCTGTGTAGGAATAGTAGCAAATAACTGTTTAAGTTCATATTCATTGTCTAAAAAAAATCTAAATAAATCAAATAAATCTTTCCATCATGACCAAGCTCTCAGCCTGAGCACTGGAGAGATTTGAATGCAGGCAATATAATCAACCCATCAGCTGGGGAAGGGTTCTGTGATGTCATAAAGGGGGATCCTGATCTTTATATATGAAAGCTTCTATGATGTCATTATGATTGCAAGATTTTTCTCAGTAGCACTTTTCTCAGTGCAAAGTATGGAGAGTTTCTAAAACTGGGAATTTTCAAAAGCTTACTTTATATTTGTCAGATAATTCAGGGGGACATGGGTGGCGCTGTGGTCTAAACCACTGAGCCTCTTGGGCTTGAATGTGTGTGATGGGGTGAGCTCCCACTGCTCTGTCCCAGCTTCTGCCAACCTAGAAGTTTGAAAGTAGATAAATAGGTATTGCTGTGGCAGGAAGGGAAATGGCGTTTCCATGCACTCTGGCACTCATCATGGTGTTCTGTTGAACCACATGACCCAGAAAGCTGTCTGTGGACAAACAGCAGCTCCCTCGGCCAGAAAAGCAAGATGAGCGCCACACCCCATAGTCACCTTTGACAGGACTTAACCATCCAGGGGTCCTTTACCTTTTACCTTTACATAATATAATAGTACAGTTGACTTATGAATTCTGGAGGATGTATGCAATTGCAAGGTGAAGGGATACTACATAGTCATTTGGATGAGTCTTATTACTCCTGAATGAGATCCAACATAGCAAGGTAGCTTCTCCTTCCTTTCCTCCCTTCACCTTGGGAATCACTGCACACCCTGAAAATCTGTTCCACAGGGCTGGGGAACACTCTAGAGCAGTGGTGGCGAACCTATGGCACACGTGCCAGAGGGGGCACTCAGAGCCCTCTCTGTGAGCAAGCGTGTCATCCCCCAAGCAGGGCCGTAGCTAGGAGGTAAAACTGGCACTCCAGCACTGCAGGAGACTTCTGGCCGCTTCCAGTATGGTCCCAGCACTGCTAGGGCACCATTTTCACCCTCGGGGCTGCCTGGGGGGGGGGGAAGGGCTTGTGCCAGGAAACTGCCACTCCGTCCAAAGCCTGCACCACCGCTACTCAAGTCACCGATCAAGCCCATCTGCCATTGCAACCAAACCTGACAGCCGTCTCTGAGCTGGCTCCGCCTCCCCACCATCAAGCTCGGTTGCGCCCAACCTGCCTTCCTGCTCTGCTCTCAGGCGCATTTAGAGCTGTGGTAACCCTGGCAAGCGGCTGAGCAGGTGTTGACTTTTGATGCGCCAGGGCCTCCCGCCAGTCTGTTGTTCCTAGTCAGAAGTAAGCCGCCTTGAGTTCAGCAAGGTTAGACAAATTATCAGCATGCGTACAACAGCAAAAATCACATTAATTGTTCAAAAGCATGCGAAATGCAGACCTTTACCTTTCAAAAAAAAAGTTGTTTGTATCATTGAAACTCTGTTATTATGTTTTTCATTTAAGACAAAAGATGTTAATGTATGAGTTGTTTTTTCTAAAGTAAAACCTCAGTATTCGGGTTAAATTGCCGAGTTGGCACTTTGCGATAAATAAGTGGGTTTTGGGTTGCAGTTTGGGCACCTCAGTCTCTAAAAGGTTCGCCATCACTGCTCTAGAGCAAATTATAGGGGCATTTGAGGGGCTGTAGGGGGAAGAAGAGAAACTAGAAGTCCCGTTGTACAAGCTGATTTTTGTTACACAACATATTAGAAGTCAGTCAATGCAGTAACATAGAAGCATTTAAAAATAGTATTAGACAAGGCATCTCATACTTCTGATAACAAAAAAGCTTGGCCTAGAATGAAAATTTATTAAAAGTTGTTCATTTTTTCTGCACGGTTATAGACTTATCTCAGTTTTGTTAAGTGTTAAATAATTAGTGTACTGGATTTTGAAGCAAAATGAGATTATTTTAGTAATCAATATTACAGAAAATTGACTTTATTTAAATTCTACTCTTATCAGTGTCTTTAAAAATTCAAGATTATGCAAATATAAACTAAGACTCCACAGTGAATGGTAGAGAGACCCTGGCTGAATTCAGCTGTAAACCAAGACACAAATGACCCTTGTGCCCTCCATGTACTTTGCTCATCACAAGTGAGAGTTAATGGTTTCTGAGGAAGTTGGAATATGAAGCTGAATTCAAAGCATGGCTTCATATCTTGGTTTGGTTCAAAGCAATTAACCAAAGTTTCCCAGTTCAGACTTAACAGGAAATTATCATTAACAGAGCATTTCCTTGTTTGTTCACTGGAGCACATGGACAGAGGAGTGAAGGATACTGGGGGACTTGCATACTGGGGGCCAAGACTCATTCACATCATGGCTTATTGAGCTAATTATGATCATCTGAAAGTGGCCGCGCTGTGTGTGTTTCAGTGCTCTGTACATCCTGGGGGTACTTATAGGAAGAGAGTTGAAGGGTGTCCAGGAATCATAATCTAAGGCCTCCTTTGCATAGCTTCTCTTTGGTGTGTCTTGTCTTGGAAGTTCATTTCCATAGGAAGCCAGAGGTTACAAAGTATGTATTTATACTGTATAGGAGAGATACAATAACATCACAACTCACAAAAGGGAATTCAGTTCCCATTTCAGATTGAACTGAAGACCTAGTTGGGGTGGGGAACCTCGGGGCCACGGGCCTAATGCCGTCCTCCAGGTCTGGCTGGCTGGCTGGCTGGCTCTTGGAACGCTCTCCAGACCACACCCCCTCCCTTGCCAACAGTCCTACTCTAGGCAGGTAAAAGGCATTATCACCTCCACCAATAGCCCTAATCCACCACTTGCCCCTTGAGTGCATTGAACTGTGATAATGCATTTTACCTGCCTGGATGGAGAGATAAGTACAGTGGTGCCTCGCAAGACGAAATTAATCCGTTCCGTGAGTCTCTTCGTCTTCTTGCGGTTTTTTCGTCTTGCAAAGCACGGCTATTAGCGGCTTAGCAGCTATTAGCGGCTTAGCGGCTATTAACGGCTTAGCGGCTTTAAGAAAAAGGAAACAAACTCACAAGAACTCGCAAGACGTTTCGTCTTGCAACGCAAGCCCATAGGGAAATTCGTCTTGCGGAACGACTCAAAAAACGGAAAACTCTTTCGTCTAGCGAGTTTTTCGTCTTGCGAGGCATTCGTCTTGCGGGGCACCACTGTATGTGGAAACCTCTAGATTTGAAATGACTTGAATGTAGCCTGTTTTATAAAGGCAAAAGTCACATATGTTGCTTCACCCCAGTTTTGCTTCTGGCCATGTCTCATTGGTATGCAGCTCACAGAAGGTTGTCTCTGAGGGCATGTGGCCCTCCCAGTGGAAAAGGTCACCCACCCCAACTCAGAGGTAAGTCCATAGGAGGAAGGAAGAATAGCTGTCCTGTAGTAGAAGGGATGCGGGTGGCGCTGTGATCTAAACCACAGAGCCTAGGGCTTGCCGATCAGAAGGTCGGCGGTTGGAATCCCTGCGACGGGGTGAGCTCCCGTTGCTCAGTCCCTGCTCCTGCCCACCTAGCAGTTTGAAAGCATGTCAAAAGTGCAAGTAGATAATAGGTGCCGCTCTGGCGGGAAGGTAAATGGTGTTTCCGTGCACTGCTCTGGTTCGCCAGAAGTGGCTTAGTCGTGCTGGCCATATGACCTGGAAGCTGTACGCCGGCTCCCTCGGCCAATAAAGCGAGATGAGCACCGCAACCCCAGAGTCCTTCGCAACTGGACCTAACGGTCAGAGGTCCCTTTACCTTTACCTTTAGTGCATCATTATCACCTGCCACGAAAAGACTAGATTGGTTCTCAAAACGTGATTGGAGTAGATGAGGGAGCCATAGAAGATAGCCAGGTTATACTTTTGATTCTAGCAGTTGGGAGATTATAAAAAGGGACTGTTTTGGGCATGAACACCATTAAACAAATATATGTTTATCTTGAATGCTGTTGTGTCCTCAAATTTTCGGTTACTAAAGGGAATGTGCTAAACTTTAACACTATGTAATATTTATTATTTATTCATTCATTTGTTCATTCATTCATTCATATTTATATACTGCTTGATTGTAGAAAACCTCAGCGTCTCACATTATATGAGCACTATGGTAAGAGACTGGCAATTGATAACCTATAACTTTATAAAAATGTCTGGATTTAGATGCTGACTGGTTCTTAGTTAATGGCCATTGTTACCTTTGACTATAGATTTAGTACAGAAATACAAACACTTACCTAGGGCTTTTAATCTCTTTGTCTCTCTCTCTCTTTTTTTTTAGAAGCCAAGCAGAATTTACGGAACTTGATCCTCCAAATCCAGACAACAATCACTGATCCTGAGAAAGTTCAGGGAAGGCTTAATAAAGAAGATAAGGTATTGTGGAGAATGCACAATATTTAAATACAACAATTATGGATCATAAATATGCATTTTTGTGTGCTGTCCACCATGTTTTGAGATGTTCCAGTAGCAGTGATACCCAGGTTTTGGTTTTCATTGTTGGAGAGAGCATTGGAGACCTAGAGTGTTTTTGTAATATTTCCTTACTTACAACTTTGCAAGTAAAGCAGAGGCAAGCAACATGTACAGTGGTACTTCGGGTTACAGATGCTTCAGGTTACAGACTCCGCTAACCCAGAAATAGTACCTCGGGTTAAGAACTTTGCTTCAGGATGAGAACAGAAATCGTGCTGCGGTGGCAGCAGGAGGCCCCATTAGCTAAAGTGGTACCTCAGGTTAAGAACAGTTTCAGGTTAAGAACTGACCTCTGGAACGAAATAAGTTCTTAACCTGAGGTACCACTGAACTACTACTGGGCAGCAGATGCCAGTGCCTGATTAGCTACAATTGGTTGGTTAGTTTCCCATATGACACACTCCCTTTCCCCCCTCTGCAGAATATTTCTCTGAAGGCCTGTCAAGCCAAGTCAGATTGGCTTGAAAACACAAAAGAGGCTACTATGCAAGATTTTGTGGAGCAGAAACAGTTGCTGGAGGACATTATGCTTCCCATCTTCACAAAGTTGGCTACGCCCCGTGAGTACCAGAGCCCCCCTACTAAATGGAAATATTTTTCTTTGTATTTTTATTTCGGAGAATCTTTCTTATGAAGATGTGCCAATGTACTACTGAGTATCTGCCTTGGAAACCCTGCACATTCCACACGATGTGGAATTAGGTTGTGTCTCCCCATTAGTGAAAACTGTAATACAAATGGGAGTTCTGGCCATCTGCAAGGTATCTGATTTGGCCACAATGACACTAACATTTGTTATATCCCATTTGGATTACTGCAATGTGCTCTACGAGGGTCTGCCTTTGAAAAGTGCTTAGAAACTTTGACTGGCTCAAAGAGCTGCAGCCAGATTGCTGACTGGGGCTGGTTATAGGGGGCAGACAACTCCCTTGATAGAACAGCTCCATTGGCTTCCAGTCTGTTTCCGGACACAATTCAAAGTGCTGGTTATGACCTATAATTACGAAAGGGCCTTCTCAGTGATTGCTCCTATACTTTGGAACTTCCTCCCTAGAGAAGCTAGACTGGCTCCCTCCATGTTGTTCTTCTGCCAGCTAGTAAATACCTTCTTGTTCCAGCAGGCTTTTGGAAACTGCTTTTAATGAAAGGGCTGATGTTGTGCTGTTTCTATTGTTAAGTATGTGTATGCTTTGAACAGATTTTATATAGATTTTATATAGGTATATCGTTTTAATTTTATAATACAATTGTAGAGTTGCTAGGGATCCCAAGGGTCATCTAGTCCAACCCCCTGCAATGCAGGAATCTCAACTAAAGTATCCATGACAGATGGCTATCCAATATCTGCTTTAAAATCTCTTGAGGGAGACCATTCCACTGTTGAACAGCTCTTATTGTCAGAAAGTTTTTATTGATGTTTAGTTGGAATCTCCTTTCTTGTAAGTTGAAGCCATTGGTTTGAGTCCTAACCTCCAGAGCAGGAGACAAGCAGCTTGCTGCATCTTTAATGTTACAGTCCTTGAGATATTTGAAGATGGCTATCATCTCTTCTTAGTCTTCACTTCAACTTAGTCTTCACTAAACATACCCAGCTCCTTCAACCGTTCCTCTACGGCTTGGTTTCCAAGTCCCTTGATCATCTTGGTTGCCCTCCTCTATACATGTTCCAGCTTGTCAACATCCTTCTTAAGATTGTGGTGCCCAGAATTGGACACAGTATTCCATGTGTGGTCTGACCAAGGCAGAACAGAGTGGTACTATTGTTTCTCCTGATCTGGACACTAGACTTCTGTTGATGCAGCCTAGAATAGCATTAGCTTTTTTTGTTTCTGCATCACACTGTTGGCTCGTGTTATGCTTGTGGTCTACCAGGACCACAATGTCTAATTGTTTTTTAATTATTGTAGCATAGTTCATATTGGTAAATGCACACATTCACCACCTGTCAGAAGTATGCTCTTTAATCTACTATGGAAGACACTGTACAGTTATAAGGAGGACCTTAAGGTCCATAAATACTAACACCCTAGAGGTCCCAGGCCCTAAGGAAGACAGATTAGCCTCAACTAGAGCCAGGGCCTTTTCAACACTGGCTCTGGCCTGGTGGAACGCTCTGTCTCATGAGACCAGGGCCCTGCAGGATCTGATTTCTTTCCACAGGGCCTGTAAGACAGAGTTGTTCCACCTGGCCTTTGGCTTGGAATCAACTTGATCCCCTCCCCTTTCCTTTTTCCTTTCTCTTTCAGTGATGGAACTCCTATTTGGGGACTTCCCTGGCTTTTTTCTGGCCCACGTAGGACCAGTCTGGATAGCTGGCCTTGGTGATGACTTGACGTTTTCATCCCCCCAAAAGTTTTTGATTTGAGTTCCTACTGAAATGAGGCTGCATTTGATGTTTTAATGTTGCATTTTAATCTTGTTTTTAAGTTGTATTTCAATCAATTCTTTTTATACCTGGTGTCAGCTGCTCTGAGCTCGGTCTTGGCTTCTTCTTCTTCTTCTTCTTCTTCTTCTTCTTCTGTGATAAGCATAATAAAATTATGCAGCTGAGCAATGCGAACCCTGCGTTTTGGAATCTGCCTGCAACTTTTCTTCTTAGCAAGCCTGTAGGATCACTTTATTAGAATTAATGCCTTTCTACAAAATACTTCCTAGTCTCATAAAGTTTTGTTGGTTCTCTTCTCCTCTTCCACATTCAACTTTTTCTGATGAGAACCAGCAAAGGCCTGAGCTAGGGAATACTTAAAAGGCTCGGCCCCAGGAGCACATTGTTCCTGCTCATACAACTAATCTTCTTATGCAGCCCTTTTCAAATTGTAAAAAGTCATTAAATGCTCCAGTGCACTTTTTAAAATCCAAGAGCTGAAGTGTTTAAAGCAGAGGTAGGCATGATATAAGCCTTTCCCTTTCTGCAGCAGGTTGTTTGACCACTGTATTACATTCCACTGCTGTTTGCAATATTTAAGCAGTAGATGCTCTTAGGAGTTGAAAGCACTCTTTGCTGGTAACCAGCAGCATAGGGTAGAAAAGTCAGAGTGACTAAAAGCAAGACCAAATAATGCATTCAAGATGAAGTTTACAAAAAGCAGGTGCTCTAACAATTCATTTTTTCAAAAAGCCATAGCGCGAACCAAGGGAAAATGAAGAAGGGGAAAAGTTTAAACACCACTCTTCCAGCAGTGCTGCTCTGATCAAAGATCAGGAAATCTTATAATAGATGCGTCATATCACAGCTATTTAGGCCCTAATAGGAAATACAGGCACTGCTAATACTAAATATGGCGCTTGAACCCCCAGGGGTTCATTAAATTTACAGTACCAAAACAGGTATGGAAAGTGGTCTTGGTGATGCTGCTAGCTCCAAAAGTGTTGCAAGGCAACGTGTACCCAAAATTTGCTGCAAAATTTAAGATGTTGTTTTCCAATGGTTTTCTACCAGGGTGTCGTGGCACCCTGGGGTGCCTTGAATGATGGTCAGGTGTGTTGTGGACAACACTGGCCTCTGTTCCTCTTTCTTTCCATCCCTCCCTCCCTCGAGACCCTCTCACCTCTGCCTTCCAAAGGCTTGTGTGGCTGTTTGTGGCAGCAGCCCTGGCTACAAGCTCCCCAGGTGAATGGTGCCTCTGGGGCTTGGCCAGGGGGTGCTGGTTGCCAGGAGCTGAGTAAGCAAGCAAGCAAGTGGGTGAGAGAGGCCGGCCAGCCAGACCACCAGCCTTTGCTGTTGGAAATGGGCAGACAAGCGAGAGGTAGGGTAGGCAGGCACCATGATGGCCTTTCTTCTGCTTGCTATGTGCATTTCCTGCCTGGCAGCTGAGAGCTCAGTGCCAAAGGGTAGACTTTGTGCCATGCAGGACTGGTGGTGCCTGCTGCTGCCACCCAAGGTGAGTAAAGTGCCGGCCTCATATTCACCTTTGGCTCTTCTCCATTGGGCTGCTAAGGCTGGGGGCATCCTCTTCTCAGGCCCCTGTGGGGCAGTGTGAGGAGACAACTCTCTTTGGGGTGGGGAGGGCGGCTCAGAGACTAGGGCAGTGGCAGCGGCTGCCTGGAGGACTCCCAAGGAGAGGAGGCTGAGGGAACACTCCACAAAGGAGGGCATTCAAAAAGGGGCAAGGGGTTGCTGGCTCTGCAGGCAACGGGTGACATAACTGGGCTTCTGAGGCTCAGAGCACTTTTCCCCACAGGGGAGCTGCAGAATGTAGTTGGTCAAGGGAGCCGTGGACTCAAAAAGGTTGAAAACCTCAGTTTCTCATGAACAGATGCCGGCAAAATGAAAAAAACTGGCGGAGTATGACTGTGGTCCATTATGATGAGGGGCATGTTTATCAATATTTTATAGAAACCTCTAGCAACCTAACCTGTGGCCCTCCAAATGTTGATGGATTACAGTTCTCTTTGGCCAGGCTGACTGGGATTGATGGGAGTCCAGGAACATAGTGGAGGGCCAGTTTTGCCACCCCTGCTCTACAGTCATGTTTCCATTCTAGCATTGTTATTCTAGTTATGGCTAAACAGATTATTTGAGGGGGGTTCCCAGTTTATATTAGCTGATCTGAATAGAGACCTTGTATGCTGCACAATGTGTATTTCAAAAATGCATGATTTTATATATTACAGAATTACTGGATAGCAGACAACACATTTTAATAGCTAGTTTTACTTCCTGAATAAGAAGAACAAAAAAAAAAAAAAAAAAAAAGGTTGAAAGTCTTTTTGGTATAGCCATCTATCCAATGTAACCAATACAGACTAGGTGGTTAATACAAGCCTTTCCAGATTAGGCATTTGATTAGTAGAAGAAATTAATTTGAAATAAAGGCCCAGGAAAACTGCAACAAGCTTCAGCTGTGCAAACAATCTAGTCACAATCATTTGTAGTGAAATGTGCTCAAGAACCCTACCTCATTTGACCCCACAGCCTGTACAGTGGTTAGCTGAACAGTTTTATTTTGAGATTTTCTGCACATAGCAGCACGAGAGATTGTTTGCCAACTTACTAAAATTTTCAGTGACAAAGAAATAATCTGTTATCCGAAAAGTGTGTTTATACATGGCTAAAGAACAGAAAATTGATTATTCATTTAAAATAAACCCATGACAACTGATCACATGTCTGAACAGAACAACCCCGTGATGACTAGCTGGGATTCAGTCACTCTGCTAAATATTGTGTACTTGGCAAATCTACTTCCACACAAGACAGTTAATGCAGCTTTTCCTACAGAGCCCCTGTGATCAGCATTCTGGTTTGTTCGATCTCTTCACAGTTGCTATTGAGGCTGAGGGGTGTAACGCAGGTATTTCTTTCCTGATGGAAGTTCTTTGGTGCAAACTCCTCCTGGAAAGAGCTTGTCAGCCTCTTCTTCTGGTACACTTGGAATCACCATGACCTGGTCCCCAGGCTCATGAGGAAAGAAGGAGGGGAGACTTTTAGTAAGAAGTGCCATACTTAAAGAGAGCTGCAGACCCTCTGATCCTCCAGTTCTGTCAGTGAAGACCAGAACCTTCAGTCTGTTGAAGCTTATTGCATTTGTGAAAAACACACCGATCCTCTTACATAGAAGCTTTCACTGAAGTTGGAGTATATATTCAGTTTCCCACATGGATATTCCCCAATGCATATGTAAGATGCAAACAGACAAACCCTACATACCATAGTGGCCCGAATATAAGACGCACCCACAAATAAGCATGACCTTTAAAATTCAAGGCTTATTTGTGGGTGCGGCCCACCTCCTGGCTCTGCCACCCAGAACGGGGGGTGGGGGGTGGGCGCGCGCCAGTTCCGACTGTGCTGCATGCCCACCTCCTGACACTACTGCCCCCAACACTGCCTCCCCAAACCGGCTTGGGAGTTGCAGGTGGGTGGCGCGCTGTTGTCCCACACCCCAGATAGACTTCCTGGGCAGCTGTTCCAGCAGCAATATCATAAGGTTGTGAATATAAGCCGCACTTTAACTTTTCTGGATTGGGATTTGGGGGGAAAGTGTAGCTTATATTCGGGCCAATATGGTACTACATATAAATGCCTGCTGTATAAGATTGCACAAATGCAGGAGCCAGTTTCAGTCAAGCAATGAAAATCTCTCACACACATCATCAGTTCAAGGCAAAGTTGGTCTTTTAAAAGGATGTTATTTAAGTATCTGTGTGCCCTAAGGGAAGGCAAAAGACCATACGCCAATGGCCAGAGACAGTTTCATCGTTCTTTCATTTTTGTACTGCATTATATACTGTCTTTCTGTGAAGCCACTAAAGGCAGTGTACAATCTAAACTATGTGAACCACCTTTAATGCCATGGTAGAAAGGAAGTATATAAATGTAGTGAATAAACCAAGCTGCATTCCTAGGCACGCTTACCTAGTAAACCTGCATAAGATTGTGCTGTAAATAATGTTCAATACCACACTTTCATAATGTACAATAAAATCTATATAGTCCCAGAACCCACAGTTGGAAATTGGTCAGTTTAGTTATCAAACTGTTCATTTGAACAGCTTATGCTGACACTGTAAATCAGGAACTGTAATTTACAGCCACGGGGATAGTGGAATATGGATCAAGAGCCAGAAGGGGAAACAGAGCAGCAAGGTTCAAAAGTCCCACTATCTGGTCCCTAAAGACAATGCCTTGGTGACTCAATTGAAGCTTTCAGAGGCATATCTACTGATATTTTCAGAAACCAAAAGGGGTAAGTGGCCCTCCTTCAGCAAATTATTTAGGTCAATAATAATGGTATCACTGGGACTCCCGGGGTAAGTTGCTCTAGCTAACTGAATAAAAGTAACAACATATTCACGCTTACTGCGCTGTTCCCTAGTTAGTTTATCCTAATTGAACTGGATGCAACTTCCCCTTCCCAGAAGACAGAAGCTGAATTTAGACTCACATATGTAGCAGGGTACTGCTATCTGACAGTGTGAGGAAACTTCAGAATTTAATGTTAACAAAGTATAGTTACCTTCCAATCAACTGGGGTAGCAACCTTCTTAGCAGCTGTTAGCTGTAGGGAATCAACCACTCTTAGAATCTCATCAAAGTTTCTGCCAGTGGTTGCTGGGTAGAGGATAGAGAGTTTGAGCTTCTTGTCCGGGCCAAAGACGAATACCTATAAAAGCAAAGCCACAGAATGAGAACCTGAAAATCATGCCAGATGAGCTATTCTTTTACAACTCATCCCTCACATTCACTCCTTTTCAAAAATATTTTGGAACTATAGTTGTCTGTAGTAGAAAGGTCTACTTTACAGGAAGTGTTCTCATCTGACTTCTGGCATACAATGATCTGACTGTAATATTTCTGCCCTGAATTTGTAGTCCTAAACAGGCAAAAGTGATAAAATTTATTTTCTGGTAAAACTGGGAAGATTTCAAAAGAATTTTGAATATCTCTGAAGGTTAGCAGCTTCTCCCCACAAGGTAACTGATCTAAAAGACAGGAATAATACTACCCTAGAATCACCCATCTTTTTTGGTAACTTTGGAATTTAGAGAAAGTACTTTGGTGAGTGTGAGTCACAAAATGACTGTCAATTCTAAAAAAGCAGAAAATAGTGTGGCTATGACCCCACCAACATTTTTTTCCAGATGGGAACATTGGGGATTCAATCATTCTCCAGTGTTCCAAATCCAATCAGTTTTGCTGTCCCAAAATATCGTCTATCCCTGGTTTCCAGCTGTTGGTGTGAGAAAGTGTGAATTAATGAGAATGAATATGAGTGTGTATGTGCATGGGCATGTGTTTGAATAACAGCCCAAGGCACTGCCACATCAACTGGCTTCTGGCCCCCAAGGAGAGAGGGCTGTTGCATTCAGGTCTCGCTTCCAGCCTTCCTGCAGGCTCTGGTTGGCCACTGCAAGAACAGGATCCTGGACTAGATGGGTCACTAGCCTGATCCTAAGCACCCACCCATCACCACACGTGGCCCTTGGAGGCTAAAAGTTTGTTCATCCCATAAAACAAAGAATGAAAAGCTAATTGCAGCCTGCAGTGTTAGAGGCCCTCAATACTTACCACACGGGCAGTCAGAGGAATACCATCCTTGTCTCTCTCATCTGGGTCTAGCATGCCCAGCTGGACTGCAAGCTCCCGTTTTGAGTCAGCAATTATGGGAAAGGGGAGCTGCTCTTTGGCCTCGTCTCCATTGTAGGCATTGATGTCCTACAGGGGAGAAAATTGTTAGTGTTGTGTCACTGGTACAAAAGAACATAGGAAAGACGACAAGTGGTATTCACATGACTCGTATTCCTGGTATACAGCGGTATCTTTAAAAAGCAATCCAGGAAGAGGGGTTCAAGGCTTCTTGCCAACAAACTAGTCTTCTGTGTTTAGACAGCATTTTCTTTACAGAGAAATCCACATTCAAACCTATGCACATCTGTTTGGTTCCATTCAGTTTAATTGCACTTTTTGCCAGGTTTTAAGCCTGTATAGGATTGAAGCCTCAGTCAAGTGAAGCTGTCCCTGAAATCTGAAGTGGTCTACAGCCCAAGCCCAGGCTTACCATCTCAGTGAGAACTAGGCCTTACATGTAAGTTCCATGGAATTATATGACACGTTCAGCCTAACCCTACACATGGTAACTTAGAAATTAGGTATGTCACTCAAGCAAAGCACATGTTGTCCGCCTGTTTGAGGACAGGGCTAAAATATTTCATTGTTGATGCAGGTGTGCAAGACTCCGTCAACAAAAAAATGGGGACTCCTTTAGGTAAGTGACATTGTAAACTACAACTAGAGTCACAGATAATCATGATTACCAATCTCATTCAGCCCAACAGTAAGTACTTGACAGCAAGTTGCTAATGATCAATCTGTTTGTAAGAAGTATTCTAGAGGGCTTTGGCGATAGCAGCATGTTTACCACTACAGAAACTGTAGTGGTGCAGAAACTGTTAAAACTTTTTTTTCAGATATTATACAAGTAAGATTCTATAAGCCTCCTCTCAAGTGCAGGCTGACTCACAGGCTGCATGGGACAAAGGCAACAAGCTGAGTGCAGTTGCACTAAGGAACTAGCCATAAAGCAAGTCACACATAAAGAGTGGAGGGAACTGGCAGAGAAGGCAGTAGCAAAGTTATGACAAAGAAATTATTGGCAAAGATATGACAAAGAAGTGACTAAGCAGTTTAAACATCATCATCAACAGGAGGCCTAAAAGTGTAACATACTATATATTATTTAGAATAATCTAATACTGCTTTCCCCCATTTGCCTGAACCTTATGCATAAAGCTTAAGGTGGAAGATTTAAGACACACACCAAAAGAAGAACCTTTGATTTGAGTAACTCCTTTGAGGTGTCCTGCAAGTTCCCAGGACACATTAGTGATCTGCAAGTGAACTTAAGTGATATGTTCTAGACTAGAGAATCTTGCAGTCAATCTAGAGTCAGTCTTGAAGTCAGCATGGAGTGCAAATGAAATCAAAGGCTTCATTTCCAAGTGTTAACTTTTCTTTGAAACTTAATTCTACGCAAAACTAATATATATGCATTTTTTCCTCAGCAGAACATTAAAAAGTTTTTCAGTCAACACAGATGGCATCTTGATGTTCAACTGAAGTCTCAACACAAATGCTACTATTCACCTAGCTACAATATCTTCTGAAGACAGGCAACCTTTGTTCATAAAATGTGACATAACTTTTATTTTTCTCCTTATATCCTATTATTCAACCACCAGATGTCCATACTCTCTAGAGAAACATTGCTTTTTGTTTTAATAGGACCAACTAGTCACAAATAAGCTTTCAAATACTTCCTCACTACTTTGGCTTTTAAGTTGAACCTAATAAAGGAGTCATGATACTGCTATGATTTCTTTTTAACAGACCAGAATTAGTTTTCACCTTTGACAACTAGTGAAATGGCACACTTCCATTTTAAATATAACTGCAATATTCAATTTGTTATTACTACCCTGGATCCAAAACAAAATAGAACAGTTCCATATATTTCTAATAAAATATATTCTCAAGTTTATACAATCTTATTTTGCATTTGCTTTATATGTACTTCATTAAGTAGAGAAAGTGTCAAGCAGAGCATGGAAAGGAGAACATCTTTGCATAACAAAGAATTCTGTCCTGAAATAACTCTCTCCACCACATAATATGGCTTCACAACAGCCTTTCCCTTGTGCTCTCAGACAACTGACTGGTTTTACAGGGTGGCAATACCAGCTAGTTGGCACCGCATTTTAAAAGAACATATTGGACAACTTGGCAAGGGACACTTCCTGGTATATTTGTGACTAGACTTTAATCATTTTACACATCCCAAACTGAGGCAGATAGATCCTTCTAAGTAAAAGGGCAGTTAATTCCTCAAAGTCAATTTAAGCCGAAAGTTTTTTTTTAACAAGAAGCAATATGCAAAAAAAATTCAAAACAAACCCATTGTTAATTGTTTTCAATTCCACAGTAAAGTCCAAATATAGTATAAAGACTGGTTTTGAACAGAACAGCAACAATTTATACTATAGAATAGTATTCATAGATTACTAAACAAAAAATTCATTCACCCTACTCATGAAAATGTAATGCAAATTATTTCAGTTACATGCTCAAACAGGGACATTAGCTGCAGATTTCCAACACATCCACTACTTACTTCATAGCCCCCTGCTCCTAATCATGGCGCCCAGTTTTGGAACACAGTGCAGATTTAATCTGAGGTTCTGTGTCCACTTTAGAGCCTAGATGCCAGTGTTCTGCCTTGTGGAGCTCTAGCATGCATCAGCATCACTAAGAAGACTAATCTTAATCCATTTTATAAAGATCAGGGTTCAGGGACTGCAAGTTATCAATGTAAAGGGATCAACTTGGTGCTAGTCTTGAGTTTTATGAAGCTACTGTCTATCTGATAGTTCTTGTTTCGGAACCATATTATACAAGGAACATCACTATTATTGTCACAGAATAGCCCACGTGTCAGATCAGCAAAGTTATTAGTATAGCAGCATATAACAGCTTTAGTGTGGGATATACTTTTGATACAACATTGCCTCTACATTTAGCAATACACTCTGGCACATCTGCCAGGATTTTGGGAGCTTTTACTTTCGACATGCATTAACTGCAGCTTGTCACAACATCCAAACAGAAACGAACTGCAGTTATTCTTAATTACAATTAGTGGAAACAAACCAATTTCAAATCATGGTTTATGAACCTGGTTTGTTTCAAAAGGCAATAGTTTGGTTCAACCACCATTTAGGATTCAGTTGTAATGCTAAACTCTGGTTAAACTGATGCAGAAACCAGTGGTGGAGCTTCGTGCTCCGGCTCTGGGGGGCAGAGAGCAGGTGGGGGCAGGGCTGGTGCGTGTCCCAGGGGCGTGGCACGCCGTCCGTAGGGGTGTGGTGCCCAGCGCGGGTGGGGCAGCCTTGATGGCTCCCCGCCAGGATCGCGCTGCCAGGGGCGGTGCGCTCTCCCCGCACGCCTCTTCCTCCACCAGTGGCAGAAGCTTCTCTTCTTCTCAGAGAAGGATGGGAGGGTGGGGTGTGTAAGTCCATGTGTGAGCCAAGCCTGCAAGTCCTACACTTCTTCAGTTGATTTATGCTGCTATTTATCTCCATAATACCTTGCTCCAACAGAGATGGTCTTTGACATCATCAATAGAGAGGGCTATCATTTTAATGTTACGCTTTGCAAACTCTGGTGCCAGCTTTGCTGCTCTGCCAAGCTCTGTTGTACACACGGGTGTAAAATCTCGTGGATGAGAGAACAGGATGCCCCATCTGAAAGAAAAACAACATGGCATTGTCTTGATGGGTAGGGTAACACTGAAATCAAGTATTGCAAAACTTACTTAAGACCTCCTAATCAGACTGAACAATTCAAGTTTCTTTTTCCTGTTAGTTAAAACTAAGCCAATTTCCTTTTTAGACTCCCTACTTTTTGTTATATTTACTTTGACATCCATTCCCTTCAGCAGCAGCAAGAGTTTCATTCTTCACTGGAGTTTTCAGTCTCCATGACTCCATGACCTTCTTAACTGAAGCATCACACAGTTGACACTCCACTGACGGCTAATACTACCTCCACCCCTCAGAACTGGTCTCCCTGCCTTTGTAAGTCTTTCAGGGAGCCTCATGCACCATAGCTTTCCACAATAGTACACAGCCTGCCAACATTATTTGATTAAAATGACAGCTCCTGTTTGATAAGGTATCCTGAGTCAGCAGTGCTTTTGTATAGTACAAATTGTATAGTACAAACAATCTGAATAAGTACTGGCATTGTCATTTTAGGCAGCTTAGCACATTACTGCTATGGGTGCAAACCTCACTGTAAACTGCTTCCCCCTTTGCTACATTAAGGTGATATTAAAGTCACCGAGTGTCGTGAAATATATACCCTACTCTACACCCTACTCCTCCAGGAGGCACACACTTTTTAGACAATATGCCTCAGAATTCTAAGAGGAAATAAATGCATGCATACCACATAGATATATAACTCAAAAGGAGTGACCACTCAGAAGGTGTTTTGGAGAAGTCTCAGAGCTACTGAAATTGTGTCTAACTAGGATTTCTGTCCCACTTCTAGCAGATATTAAGCTTATTCAGCAGATGGTAATTTGTCAAGGTTCCATTAACAGAATGGGATAACCAGTAATTAAGGATTTTCATGTCTTCCCAGATTCTGCCCCCTACTTTCTTTTTTAAAAACAAAGCCTAGGAACACTAAAAAGCAACTTTGATCACTTGGCTGCATGAGACATTCCACAGTTGGTGTCTTAATATTTGGATAAGTTCTGCTTCCTTTTGCAAGAAAGCATGTTACTCCAATGATGTCTTCCCTTTATGATGGCTGCCCTGAGAACTGGTGGTGAGGGGAAAGAACTGAGAAAGTTGCTTAAGGAAGCGTCAGTAAGTCTAACACGTAGGCCTTAGCCATGGGAGAAGAGAAGCACCTTCCTGTTATCCTAGAAGCAGAGGAAGCTCTCAGAGTCGGTTAGGTGTACTTTGGAACCCTGAAATATCAGGTTTGGTTTCAACATGCATTTTACAACAATATTGCCCTGACAGGTGGTTTAGAATTACTGCAGACCATACAACAGCCAAATTAAAAAGTGAATTATGCAGCCCATTCATAACGCTTCTCTAGATTTCAGTGGATACAGTAAGCATTTTATTTGCCCTGTAGCCAAGTAACATCTTCTGCCAGGCCATCTTGGCCAACACCTTCCTGTTGCAAAGGTTCATTCTCTAGTCAAACATTACACTCAGCCTCAATAAGTGGCGTCAGGCACCATAAATGTACCCTTTGGTCTCCTGACTATCGCAACTGCGTGTTAGAACACTGCATTGGAGATGAATTTTATTGTTTAAACTCTGGAACTGCAGTGTCATTCCTCAACTATAAAGAAAGCAAATATTTACTGAGTCAGTTAGTAATGCAATTTAAGATATACAAGTTAAACATGAATTTAGAAACATTCATATTTCTGCATCTTTTAAAATAGCTGTTTCTGTTGTTTGCTGCCCACATGAAAAAGCTCCAGCACACAATGTTCTCAAGCTTGCTTTTAGCAGTGTGTGTGGGGGTACTCACAAAGTCACTGTGTGCTCTAGTACAACTAAATAAGAATAACACATTTGAACTAAAGAGATAATACTGAGTGCAGCATATTTTTATATCAATTATGAGGAAGAAGCCTATTGCTGCTATTTGAAATATGGCATGTGTATGTAAACTTTTTGTGCTTTTTTTGTATTATAGATACTATTTGAATGTATTCCCTGAATTTTTAAAGACCACTGCATAATTTCTCTTGCCTAACCTATCAAGTTTAAAGTGAACAAGGAGTTTGAAAAAATATTCTTGAAGATGGAAACCTGCCCAAATCATAAGCACTTCACGGAATCCTAAGGACTATTTAGCATATTTAAGACCAAATAGTGTGCTCTATCACTATGCCACAGGATTGTATTACAGTGCTTAACATACCATTGATGGGTTACATTTTTGAAATGCCACTCATGTACTGCATTTCAAATACAACACTGGAATCTCACTTCTTACAATTATTGGGCATGGAGGCACTGTGAAAGGAATACGACTTACCAATGCCAAAGGTCTCAAAGAACAGTTAACTATGAGTCCTGGATTGGAGGACACACCAAGCCAAACCCTGGCTTAGTTTAGTGCAGTGTAGTAGCAAAAAACCATAAAGAAGGCTGATTGCCGAAGAATTGATGCTTTTGAATAGAGTCCCATGGACTGCAAGAAGATCAAACCGATCTATTCTGAAGGAAATCAGCCCTGAGTGCTCACTGGAAGGACAGATTGTGAAGCTGAGGCTCCAAGACTTTGGCCACCTCATGAGAAGAGAAGACTCCCTGGGAAAGACCCTGATGTTGGGAAAGATGGCGGGCACAAGGAGAAGGGGAAGACCGAGGACGAGATGGTGGGACAGTGTTCTCGAAGCTACCAGGATGAGGGAGGCAGTGGAAGACAGGAGTGCCTGGCGTGCTCTGGTCCAGGGGGTCACGAAGAGGCGGACACGACTAAACGAATAAACAACAAAGTAGCAAAAAGCTACAGGAATGAGCAAGCCCTTCCTTCAGAGCCCCCGCACGAAGCCAAAGGTTGGCTTCACATGTTGCCCTACACTTCCTTCACTTTATACGGAATTGTATATATTCGTTTACTTACTACAACTATTTGCACCCCACCTGTTAGGATATTCATTCTTTCAATGCAGCATACTAGTCAAGTCGGAATGCGTTCAGAAAAACGCAAGAGAGTAACAGAAGCAGCTTAAGGCATTGGGCTCTTCCCAAGGCGGCGATCGGGGTGGGGGGAGGCAGAGAGACAGCAGCGGGAGCAGCCTTGTCTTCCTCGCCAGCCTCCCGCTGCCGGGGTCCTTCCCCCAAGGCGGCGGGTTGCAAAAAGGGGTCATGAAAACACCTTCAAGTGCGCGGCTCCCCGCCCCAAGACTCCCGGGAAGTGTAGTCGGAGGGTGCGGAGAAGCGCCGCTCTGCGCCCAGGCTTGTTTGGGGCGGGAGCGGCAGCCACGTGCTGGAGCTGCAGGGCCCCGCGGCGTCGTCTCCTCGGCCCCGAAAGCGGAGCCCCCTCGCCCAGGAGGAGAGAGCGGGCAGCTGCGCAGCGCCAGCCTCGGGAGCGCAGCCCTTGCGCGGCGGCGGCTGCGCTTAGCCAGCCGTGGTGCTACTCACGAGTTTCCCAGGAAGTCGTGGAAGCGGAGGGGCCCGTGGGTGGTGTCGGCGTGGAAGTTGGGCGCCTCGTCGCCCAGCAGCAGGCCCGGCATGGCAGCGGCGGCGAGAAGGGCGGCGAGGGGCGGCTCAGCGGCGTCCGGCGCGCGCGAGGCAGAAGCGAGACGAGGGCGCAGCGCGGGGGCGGGGCGGGGGCGGGGCGGCGCGGCTGCGCAGAAGGCGCCGCTTTCCGGCGGGGGCGGGACCTCGCGCGCCCAAATTCAGATCCAAAGCAGCAGCAACAACGAAAACTCAACAATGACTGAGTTGCTGTTACTGGTCTTGGGGGGGGGGGGCTTTATTTTTAGATCTCATGTTACGATTTATAGCTCTGTTTCGTTCTGCACTTTTTGATGTGTTTTACCTGCGTGGTTTGTGGCTACTTTTGTAACTACGCAAATCCTTTCGCCGCCTAGAGCTCGTGGTTTGACTTCTGGAAAGACGGCCTGCAAATTAAATGACGAGGAGGGAACCTACAAAACCCGGGGGGGGGGGTGAGGACAAGTGCTCCCGAATTCCGTGGGATATAAACTTCCGAGAAGACAGGCTTGCGGTTGGACTGCCAAAAAATAAAATAAAAATGATTGCATGCAAAAGTGCACATGTTTAGTCAGGAATATGGATTTCAACGAATATGGATTTCAACACCCCCAATTTATAGCCAAATATGCCACGCTTCAAGTTTGGCCTTAGACTCAATTGCATCAATCCATCAAGGGAGATTGTATCCTGATGCAAGTGTCCAGATGAGAAAATCTGGCGCAGGCAGATTGGGTGAGGCGGGGGGGGGGGGGGGAGTGAAGCAGGTTGAATCCTGACAAGACAGAAGTACTGTTTTTGGGGGGACAGGTGGCGGGTGGGTGTGGGGGATTCCCTGGTCCTGAATGGGGTAACTGTGCCCCTGAAGGACCAGGTGCGCAGCCTGGGAGTCATTTTGGACTCACAGCTGTCCATGGAGGCACAGGTCAATTCTGTGTCCAGGGCGGCTGTCTACCAGCTCCATCTGGTACACAGGATGAGACCCTACTTGCCTGTGCACTGTCTTGCCAGAGTGGGGCGTGCTCTGGTTATCTTCTGCTTGGACTACTGCAATGTGTTCTACATGGGGCTACCTTTGAAGGTGACCCAGAAACTACAACTAATCCAGAATGCGGCAGCTAGACTGGTGACTGGGAGTGGCCCCCAGACTTACATTGGCTCCCAGTATGTTTCCGGGCACAATTCAAAGTGTTGGTGCTGACCTTTAAAGCCCTAAACGGCCTCAGTCCAGTATACCTGAAGGAGCATCTCCACCCCCATCTCCACTGAGATCCAGTGCCGAGGGTCTTCTGGTGGTTCCCTCACTGCAAGAAGTGAGGTTACAGGGAACAAGGCAGAGGGCCTTCTCGGTAGTGGCTCTCTTCGGTGGACGGGGCGACCCACACAGTCGTCTGTCGAGGAGCTCTGGGTAAGGAGGGTTCATCTGAGACTGTAGGGTTGCCTGCCAGGGATGGGCGCTAAGCACCCCAAAAAGCAGGGAGAGATTGGGGGTCACTGCAGCCAGGTCTCCTCTCTCGCGTACCCTTAGTTCTTTCCCACCTCCCTCCCCTGCTTCTTGCAGGGCAAGGCTGTGGTCCTTGTTGTATAGGAGATCCTAGGAAGAACTTGGTTGCTGGATCAGGCCAAAGGGAGTCCTTCCAGTTTTTGCAGCCAGGTGTCCATGAGAAGCCCTTAGCCATGTCTGTTGATTTCAGTGGGTGTGTTCTGGAGTGGGAGTTAGTTGGACACCACCCATGGGTGTAGCCGGGGGAGCAGGTGGGGCAGCTGCCCCCACCCATAATCAAGTAAATAAATAAAAACACTTAACTAAAAGTAGAAATTTGTAGAAGGATTTTGACAGATTTTTATGAGCACTTGGGATCAAAAGAAAGTAATTTAAAATGACGGCTGTTGAGACATTTCATTCCAAATCTGCTAGACAGAGTCAGACAGAGGGTGATGACAGGTGCGTGTCTTGCCCACCCCCACCCCCACCCCCAGCCCCCACATAAATCTTGGCTACGCCCAAGATACCACCCATCCCAAAGAAAAAAAGTTGCTCAAATTTATATGTTGGAAACGGGTGGGGGAGCAGTTTTTCTGTTTTCTTCAGGTAGACAGAATAACTTGGAAGGCAAAGATTTTCATGCAATTTCTGGTTGTTGTTTCCCTGCTGGCCTGTCATTTATTTTTCTGTGTTTTATCAGCTTGACTCGTTTTCTGTTACGACAAGAAGTACAATTTTGAAAGGACATTGGAGCCTTTCCGGCTGTGTCCTCATTGTGCAGCAGCAGCCACAGAGCCCTCTGATCATACGACTACGTGACTCCCTCACTCTCTCTGACCTTCCTACAATTCCTGCCTGGCTGTTTTCTTTCTGGCTTGGCTGTTTTGAAACTGTCAGGTCACGGTCATCGTCATCGATGGGAAACTCCCGATAGCTGCAGGAAACACACCCGCCTCAGGGTTTCTTCTCCCTCCCTCCCTTTCCATTTGTCTTAGGGATCACATTTCTAAAGATGCCTGCATGTCACCAATGAGCGAGTGCAGGATCTGAATTCACGACCTGTCTCCTTCTCCTAGGATGTCCTTACAAGACATCCTTCAGGAGTTCTCCTGCCTTGAGATTTGCAACCTCACGCCAGACGCGCTGAAGTCGTGCAAGTTCCAGAAGTGAAAAATGGCACTCTGCAACAGAACCTGTCAGTGGGGGGAGCACGGCTGGTGGCTGCATAAACTACCCAGGTAGCTCACATGACGCGTGATGTGAGTCGTGTGGGATGGGTTTTAGTAGGTAGGAGAGGATATCTTAATTACAATTCGCCCCTCCAGTCTCCTGTGGTGTTTTTGTTTTTGTTTAAGTTTTAAAATCCCATCCTTGGCAGCGAAAACAGAAGCTTTGAAAATTAGTCTGCAAAGCCTTCCCTTTTGAGAAATTCCAGCTTATGAAATAAGCTGGCTTCCTCTTTGTTAGCCCGCATAACAGAGAAACAGGCAACAACTTGTAAAGTAAGCTTAAAAATAGTGTCTACTTACTGAATAGTCTTGGATTGGCTCACAGCAAAGGCAGCGTAGAACTATGCAATGGAAGAAGTAAGGATTGGTTATAGTATCATCAAATATATGATACTGTATGTTTAAATTAGATTTTAAAAATGGGTTTCCGGATCGAAGCTCACAGTTTGAAAGAGAATTATTATGGAATAAGGATAAATTATTGTCAAAAATGTATAACTTATTATTAGAATGGGAAATGAAAGACGAGTTAGTCAAAACTTCAGCGACACACTGGGCAATGGATATAAGGCATAACATAGACTTCTGGGAGAAGTCTGGAATTCTGGGAGAAACTGGAAGAATAATTTGAAATTTACTGCATGCTATACTTTGAAAGAGAATTATATAAAAATGATGCATAGATAGTATTTAGCCCCAAGTAGGTTGGTCAAGATGTACAAAGTTGGATCAGATCTGTGTCGGAAACACAGAGAAACGGAAGGAATGTTTTTTCACATGTGGTGGACCTGTAAAAAGGTTAAAGGCTATTGGGAAATGATCTGCAATGAGTTAAGAAGACCCTTTATTCAAAGAGGAGTGGATTTTTTTTGCTGAATATTTAGAAAATAATTGTGTGCAACTGAAAATGCTTTTAGCATTTAGATAAATTCAACAGTATGGTAAATATTTAAAGGATGTAAAATGGAGAAACGATTAGATTAAAATATGCAGGAATGATAGATAAGTAAAATGAACCACGAAAGGGGAAGGAGGGAAGGTATTATGTAAAATGTTTATTTTGAGATGTAAAACTGAAAAATTAATAAAAATTGTTATTAAAAAAAACCTATGCAGGTAAAATATTTACATTTTACAGCATAACTAGCTTCAGGTGTGAGCCTGAGCTGGATGAAGGACAGCCATATGTCCATTCATTACATATTGGAGAAAGAGAGTGGCAGGAAGAAGACAGGCTTATATTTCTCTTCCCCCGCCCCAGCCCTGCGGCTAAAAACGAAGCCAAGACAGTGAGTGGGATCCATCCCGCTCGCTGTCTTGGCTTCTGCCAAAGCCGCGTGCAGCCTCTCCCGGCTGGAGAGGTTGCACACGGCTAAAGAGGAAGCCAACACAGCCAGTGGGATGGATCCTGCTCGCTGTCTTGGCTTCTTTGCTCTTTAGGGCTGGGGGGGAGGAAATAAACCCCCCCTTATTCCCCCCCTAAAAACTAGGTGCGCCCTATAGTCCGGTGCGCCTTATGGCGCGAAAAATATGGTACTTTGGGTGGTGGGACTTCAGAGGTGTTTGCCTATTCTAATCTTATATCTGGGTCTTGCCCTGACATGTCTGCTTATGCTAATCTTGTTCCAAGGACTTGTCTCGACATGTTTGCCAAGGTTAAACCAGTGTAACCCCTGTCTAACCCCCCTTTTGTGACATGTCAGTGATGTAGCAATGATGTATCAATGATGCTGTACAAACTGTATTCTGGGATATGGTGGGAAAGTTTTAAAAGTCATTGTCACCACATCCTCGGGGTTCAAAATTCCTCTTTGAACCTGTTGCACAATAAACTTTGGTCTACAGCTATTTGCTTCGGTTGGTGGCTGGACTCCTTCCTTTATTCCGCAGGGACCTGCGGGCTCTGCCCAACAAGCTGGTGACTGAGCAGCCTCGCACCTAGATTTTTCCGTAACAGGTTCCTCCAGCCTATCAGGAGAGGGATGTTCACCTGCAAAGAGGGAGACCTGCTCTGGAGACCCTCTCTTGAAGGTAGAGGGTCTCTTGCTCTGGCTGCCCTGCTAGCAGTGAAGGCATAAAGGAGCCATTCTGGGGGATTGCCAGGGATGGAAGGCAAAAGGCTTTAGTTCCACCAGTAGGCACAGAAAGCCTTGAAGCTGGGGTCGTTGTTTTGCTTCCCTTTGGAAGGAATGGGACTTCTTGCTGAGATAGCCCCCCCCCTTCTCTCCTTTCGCACCCAGGGGGGAAAGGATTTAAAAGGGGGTGGAGTGGGGATGGAGTGATGTTAAGAAATCTGAGCAAGACAAACTTTGGTCAAGCTAAGGAAAGGCACTGTGGGAGAACCAAAGACTAGGGAATTATGGGGAATGTGTATCTGTTTCTTTAACCGTAGACTTCTTGGCTCTGAAAGTGTGAATAAGTTATCTCCTCCATCTGCAGGAAGGAGGCTTTTTAGTTGATTTGTGTGCCTTAACACCTGGTTATCTAAGATGTTGTTTCTGCGTGAATAGAACCATCAAACTCCTCTAACAAGCTGAGTTATCGCCCTTCTGTGTAATCATTGGCGATTCTTAATCAGAAGAACTGATTGGTCCTTGAGTTCGAATACCCGTGGGGTCCCAAGGGATAAAATCTTAGGGAACTGAGTTTGCAACTTGCAGCTGCCCATCATGCCAGGCTAACCATCTTGCCAGCAGCCGCCATCATCTCTACATTCATATGCACAATCTTTGTGATGTAGAGTGCCTGCCTGATGTCCTGGAATGCGGAATCAGCCAAGAACCTTACGAACTATTCTAAGTCTCCTTTGTTCTCGTTGTAAGTATGTTTTAGTTAGTGATGTTAAACAATGTTTTTATTTTGCTGTTTGAAACTTGTAAGAGATGTGCCAACTTTTAAGTTTGAATAATATTGTTTTTTAAATAAATTTTGGGGAAATGATTTTTTCCTGGTTTTGTCTTTTGTGCCTTCTGCTGGGTAAGTCTAGCGCCTGACCACTTAGTCACCTACCAAACTGGTTGAATTTCTGCCTGTGTCACGAAAAGTGTTACAGGGTGGGGCAGGCCAGTAATGCTGAAGAGTAATCCCCTTCCTTAGGTTATTCTTCTGGGCTGTCCTAAGATAAGGAAGTGGTGGCAGCATCTACTGGTTCTGTTGTGTTCGGTTCTGAAAAAAACCGCTTCTGCACACCCCTCTCTCTCTTGCCAGACTTGGAGGGCAGGTGGGAGAGGTGGGGGCATGTGGAAGAATGCTACAGGGGGGCTCTGAGCAAATTGACATTTCAACTAATTAACCAATGAAGGCCGAGGAAAAGAAACCAGTGTAGTGCTGTCCCCAAATGCCCCCAAATCTGAGGGAATCAGTGGAGTTGGAGAAAGCACACAGTGAGTGGATACTGAGTCTATGCAGCTAACTGAAGATGGATCCAAAACTCCTGCCCAGTTCATCATCTCCCATAGACCAGGTGAGTGTGACGGTGGAAAAATGGCCTTGTGGGCCAAAGTTAAACAGACCGCTGGGGAGGTTTACTTTGACCCACAAATTGGAGGATCCCTGTTTGGTTGCCTGGGATTTGCAGCCATTTGTGTCATAATGCCTGGGTTCCAGTGTCCATGGAGACGCCAGAGAATTCCAGTGCAATGCTTCAGAAGCAAAGCAGTTAAGGCAGTTGAGACGAAGCAGATTCAGCTGAAGCAGCTTCAGAAGCAGGTTCAGGAGAAGCGGGTTCAGCAGAAGCAGGTACAGGAGAGCTAGGAGGATGGTATGCATCATAAATACATCACCCCAGACCTAAAGGGGGAAAAAGGCAGATTCATTTTCGCTAAAGGGACACTAGATGGCAAAATTAAACAATCGGCTCCATATATGCCCCAAACACAAAACAACTAGAATTCTTCTAGAAGACACTAAACTAGTTCCTCTCCTTCTCTGAAGGGGAAGCAATCCTAGGAGGTGACCTCAACCTAAATATGAGAGGCATATCCCTGAAAAACATCCACCTTACAACCCCATGGGCAACCTTCCTCCAAAGGAAACCCCCAACAACTAGGGACTCTTACAAGTTACTAAAAATGTTAAAAAACTGGTCTTTACGACATTTGGGGTGAGCAAAACCCGTGAGACACCAGCTATACATTCCAATCCGGATGCCATGGTACAGTGTCCAGACTGGACAGCATTCTGTTCACACAGGGTCTGATCCCCTCAGTGGAATCAACAAACATAGGTAACATAAAAATCACAGATCACACCCCAGTAGAAGTCACTGTTAAAATAGAAGAGGGAACACAAACCAGCCCATCATGGTCCTTCTGTCCCATCCTAACCACAAACAAATAAATTAGAGTCTCACAAAAACTCTCCAAAACTCCTTCAAGGAAAATAATGTAGACAATATAACAACCCCCCTCCTATTGGACGCAATGAAAGCGGTCACCAGAGGAGCTTGCATAAAAGAGAAAGTTTTCCTTAAAAAACAAACCACCTCAAAAATTAGCAAAATACAACAAGACATCACTGCCCTCTCATCACGCTACAAATAAACAGGAGCTAAAAAACTCCTTCAACTTATACAGTGGTGCCCCGCAAGACGAATGCCTCGCAAGACGGAAAAACCGCTAGACGAAAGGGTTTTCCGTTTTGAAGTTGCTTCGCAGGACGAATTCCCCTATGGGCTTGCTTCGCAAGACGAAAATATCTTGCGAGTCTTGAGATTTTTTTTCCCGCTTTCCCCCCCCCTTTATCTAATCTGCTAAGCCTTTAATAGCCTTTAATAGCCTTTTAGCAGCTAATCCCCTAAGCCTTTAAGCCTTTAATAGCCGCTAAACCGCTAATAGCGCTAATAGCGCTAATCTGTCAATGGGCTTGCTTCGCAAGACGAAAAAACCGCTAGACGAAGACTCTCGCGGAACGGATTAATTTCGTCTTGCGAGGCACCACTGTAGAACAAAAAAGAGAGACCTAGACTCCCCAGAAATCAACAAAACAATGATCATTTTTTTTTTTTATAATTGATATTTATTAAGTTTTCAAAGAGTAACAACGAAAATTTCCAAAAAAATTTAAAAATACAGAAATAACAAAAGTAATACAAAAATATTGAAGAAAAAGAAAAGAAAACCCAGCCGCAAAAAAGAAAAAAAAGAAAAACAGAAAAACAGAAATATATAGTTCTTTACGATCTCCATTAACTTCCTTTCTAGACTTCCTCCTCCTCCCCTCTCTTGTTTCTTAGTTTTTAATTTTCACAGCAAATCCTTTCTGTTTTTTTCATAACAATCTATCATTACGTTTCCTTATTCTATTTTCCCTCTTGTCATATAAAAACTTTAATTCAATATTCAATATTTAGCAAATTCTTACATCATTACCTTTTTACAAATCATTTACCAATCCTTACTTAAGCCATATAATTTCATTCAACACCCTTCAAACATTTATAAACATTCCCAATATTAAAAATAAGAAAGAAAAATAATAAGTCAGATTCAGTCCAGTCAGCTTCCAGCCTCCCTCCCCTGGACCCGAGATTGTCAGTCCTTTTAACCTCAATAATCCGGCTCCTTAACCTGGTTGTCTCGTATCCGAGGCCCTCAAGTCTCTTTCTTGCCCCTTTCGCCACTCTTGTTGATATTTCCCTTTCAGTCGTGGAGACTCCAGCAAGAAGATGCTTTTGACTCTTTGCAGCAAGTCCATCCCAGACCCATTACCCAAGCCAGACAGCAGATAATACCAGTTCCATTTTCCACAGAGCTTGGAGACTTCGACTACTCCAATCTTCTGATGGCCCATCACTAGACTCGGAAAGTCCAAATAACCATATAGAGGGGTGTCAATCCATCCCACCAATTCCAAATCTGGCCACATTTCATCTTTCCGAATCAGGTTTGCCCCAAGTTCATTTATCAAGTTCAAAGGCTGATCTTGCCCATCCAAAGATCCCTCCATCTCTGAAGCCTCCGTCGCTACAGCAGGTTCATATACTTGTATAGACTTTAACTGAATTTCATTTGTTTGCTGCTGTGCTCTGGTAACTTCCATCATCAAGGTCGACTCCTGACGCATCTGGTCCAGCTGGGCACTTAATTTTGCAAAACCTTCCAGGAACACTTGTTCAAGCCTTTGTACAAGCATTGTCCTTCAAGGTCAAAGAAAATTCTTTCCCACGAGAATAGCCCTTCTTTTTAAACTCTCTGCATTGCAATTTCACTCAGTTCCACTAGATGGAACAATCTTACTTTTGCAACAATCTTACTTTTTCCAGAAACACTTTATCCAAAATTCCCCCCTTCCAAATTCAAGAGGCAACAGTAGAGTCAAAATGTTACCCTTCTTTTAACTATCTGTCGAGCTGGATAAGCTTCAAAACGTCAGTTCTGACAGCCCGCTCCTGGTTCAGGGCGGTGGAAAATTACTTTATTTTAAACTCACTTCCGCAGGATTGAAAAGACCAAAACAACCCCCTTCTTCTCCTGCAGTCAAAGGGGGGTTCAGAAATCTTAGATGTTGAATTTTAGTTCTCTCAGAATTTAATTTTCAAGCTTTAGTATAATTTGTCTTTGCTTTCTTCACGTAACAAAAGAACGGAAGGCTGACTTCCTGTTTAGACCTTTCCGTTCCGAGCCCCAATTAAATTCAATTTCAAGTCCAAATCCAATGCTATTTATTTATTCTCCAATCTTAAAAGTAGTTCAGCTCTTCCAAGATCAGGTACTCACGGATAGATGTTTTAGATGCCAAATTGTCCAGGAAGAAGGCAGCGCTCTCCGAAACGGCAGTGCGGCTTTGCTGCACGGAGGAAGCAGTCGACTCACAGCACCACGCACCTCCCACTCCGGAGCCCGTTGCCGGGCTCCTGTACAAGGGGAGAGAGCGCTCTCGGTGCCCGCCGAGTCCCACGTCCACAGGCTTCTTCCGCCTGTGGTTTTAAAGGGTCCCCGCTGCGCCGTAGCGGCAGGACCCAAGCCTCCGTGCAGCGGGTTCCCTTCAGTTCGAAGGGAATTCCGCCATTTTCCGGAGGCGCCACCCCGGAAGTCCCCAACAAAACAATGATCAGCATTATATACTCTAAACGACGCTTCTATGAATACAGAGGGGGAAACTCCAGAATACAGTGGTACCTTTGGATGCGAACAGGATTCGTTCCGGAGCCCCGTTCGCATCCTGAAGCGAACGCAACCTGCGTCTGCACGTGTACATGCCGCGATTTGCTGCTTCCGCGCATGCGCGTGACATCATTTTGAGCGTCTGCGCGAGCGGCGAATCCTGGAAGTAACGTGCTCCGTTACTTCCAGGTCGCCGCAGAGCACAACCCGAAAATATTCTGTCCGAAGCTACTTCAACCCGAGGTATGACAGTACTAGATGTAGGAAGAAAGCACTCAAAACAAGAATACACTGCAACACCAAAAAAGATGGCAACATAACATTCTCCCCCAAAGAAATAACCTCAGAATTTGCAGAATTTTGCTCCAACCTATACACCTCTCATAACCTACCTGAAGAGGAAATCAGAAAATTTCTAGCAGGACTGACCATGCCTATCTTAACTGAAGAGGAACAAGAATTCATGGACAGTCCTATCACCCCAGAGGAAATAGTTATGGTCCTCAAAAACTTGAAACCACACAAAGCCCCAGGCCCAGATGGCTTCACAGCAGAATTGTATAGGAAATTCAAAGAACCCCTGATGCCCTACATGACCCGCCTATTCAATGACATCATGAAAGGTGGCCCATCCCCAAACCTGGACCCACTCCAAAATAGTCTCCATCCCAAAACCAATAAAAGAGGAAAAAATACAGCAAACCAGAAAATACAGCAGATACAGCAAACAAGACATCAAAAAAGTTTTGAGGCAACAAGAAATAAGATTAATATTTTTGTTCAAAACATTACAGCTGGTGGGATTTAATTCTGAATTTGATCTCTCTGTGTTTATTTGACCATAGTTATGGGCACTGATATCTGTATGTGAAACACATGTGATGTAAGTATTGTCAGCATCTACCTCATCCTTTCCTTCATCCTCTCCTATACCTCCTCATTTTTCACTAACGTTAAACACCTGTTGAGCAATCAGTAATGAAAGAGTGTATTTATATCCAGACCCAAACAGGGTAACCTTGCTAAGCAAATCACTCTCTAAATCTTAAGCCAAGAAATAGTATTCTCTATGAAATGTAAGTATATTTGTATAATTTTTTGTAGTAAGTCTGATTTCACGTATAATGGATATGTATCTTTGATTTAATTGATTATTTAGAAGAGCATTAAGTTATTTCTGATAAGATTTGGTTTTAATTATTATTAGTGAATATCAATATGCGTATCAAGGCTTTGAGATTAGACCACTGAAGAAGCTTGGAAACCTACCTTGGGAGTGTGCTACCTGCAAGCCCCAGTAAAAGGGCCCCATTGGGGGCGAACAGCAGCCTCTTGATTACTTGGGCTGCCAGGGCGAAACAGGCGCAAAACGCCGGCACCCTGTCTACAACTTCACTAGCATCTCTCGGTATTGTGAAAAACACTGAACTTACCTTTTGTTGGTATCTTCATGATCTTACCTAAAAAGATAGAAACAAAAGACTGAGTTAAGCACTTGGAAAATCCATTGAAATCACATATAAGTTCATCTTAGGTTGGGCAGTTCGCAAGTCTCTGTGGCTTTGCATAAGGTTTTGTATTTTTCTCAGAAAATTGATAAAGAATATATAATCACTTTGATAATTATTGTGTGTATATTAGTCGCCAATGTGTTGCATGAGTTGTACTACAGTGGTACCTCGGGTTAAGTACTTAATTTGTTGCAGAGGTCCGTACTTAACCTGAAACTGTTCTTAACCTGAAGCACCACTTTAACTAATGGGGCCTCCTGCTGCTGCCGCGCCGCCAGAGCCCAATTTTTGTTCTCATCCTAAAGCAAAGTTCTTAACCTGAAGCACTATTTCTGGGTTAGCGGAGTCTGTAACCTGAAGCGTATGTAACCTGAAGCGTATGTAACCCGAGGTACCACTGTACTTCTATCAGCAGCACAGATTGCATTTTTCTAGCAAAAGAATAATAATGGCTGAATGTGCAGTAATTAATTAATAACAGTATTAATTTCAACATTGGGGAGATATGAAAAGAAAAGAGAGCCAAAAGAATAATAATGGCTGAATGTGCAAGGAGGTTTCAGGGACTGACCCTGTCTCTCCCCCCCCCTCCCCCCAACGCTAAGGGAGGACTTAGCTCTTTTCTAGCATCCTTTGGCTCTAGATTCTGCCTTCCATGGCAAGTTTATCACTTTTGATCGTGTTTGGCCAGTGGCCACCGAAGACAACACCGCCCCCCATGGCTCCTCTGGTGAGTGAATAGCCTCATTGCACTTTTATTATTAGCTGCTATTTATTTGCGGGCCCACACACTAAACCAGGGGTCTGCAACCCGCGGCTCCGGAGCCGCATGTGGCTCTTTTACACCTTTGCCGCGGCTCCGGGGCGGATACTAGCGAGGGGAGGAGGCGCATTGTGCGCCCCGACACTCCCCACTGTGGCAGGCGCTGTACTGGCTGTGACGTCGCATGGGGGCGGGGCGGGCGTTAGTCACGCACCGTCCCGACGTCACCTTCCCGCCCGCCCACTACATTGTAAGGGGCATGTACGCTGGTCACTGCATTGAAAGGGGGCATGTACGCTGGTCACTGTTTTGAAGGGGAGTGAAGAACACACACACACAAAAAAGGTAACTTGTTAATTTAACGTTTATTTCTATGAGGAGGAGTAATTCTGAGGGGTCAAACAAAGAAATAATAAAAAAGTGACAAAAAAGTTATTTTTATAATGACGAGTTTTGCGGCTCCCAGTTTTTTTTTCTTCGGAAACGGGTCCAAGTGGCTCTTTTTGTCTTAAAGGTTGCAGACCCCTGCACTAAACCCTGTCTGTGGTGCCTACCCTTTTCCCAAATGATGAGACAAGAGACCAGAGCATGGGTTCAAATTGGCCACAACTTTGAGCTTCAGAAGTGGGGAACTTGGCACAGGCCTTGGCAGGTAACCCTTCTCAGTCCACCTGGCTGAGGACATGCAGGCAGATGAGCGCCAGGGAGAGGGGGCTGCAAAGCACCAACTCCCACAGCATGCCCTTCCACTGACCTCGTCCCGGGAGCTGGACCCACAGCTGAGAAGGCCGCAAAATGCCTTTTGGGACTGGCGGAGTGCACCAAAAAGAAAAAAGGTTTTGTGGCCTAGCCTGGCGGAGGGGCCAAGCCCCCCCCCATCCAGGCAAAACACCTAAAGGCCAGTCACTTCCCTCAATACGGCCGCCAGGAAAGGGTCCTGATGATCTTGATCCTGGAAGTGTAGCCTTATGAGGCTTTGCCCTCGGGTGGGAAAAAAATTGCGCCCGGGAAAGGGAAGGGGGAGTCAACAGACACTCAAGGAATAGTTTCGGAGAAAAGGCTTTTATTTCTACCATCCATGAACTGGTAGAAGGAGCAAGTGTGATAAGTCACAAAAAGCATGCACGAGTTCACAATCATGTGCACAAGCATATATACCCCTTTCCAGTTCCCTCAGGAGTTCCTCTGAGCATGAACAGAAAGCTGTCTTGGGACTATTGTGGACTCTTGGCACCCTTCCCAGGAAAGGGGGGGGGGTGAGAAGCCAAGGGGTTTTCAGCATGTTCAGATATGTTTCAATCTCTTGTTCTGGCATGGTTTCCGGACAGAAAGTAAGTTGCAATGTGGTTCTTTAGCAAGGCCAGAAGACATGAGAAAGGCCTGAGAAACAATGGACTGTTCTCTACCTTTGTTACAGCAGAGCGGAATGTTTCTGATGCTTAGCTGCTGAGAAAATGATTTTGAAAAGTTTTGAGAAGCTTTGAGCCTGCTTTGGTGGGGGGTGTGTGACTTCGGGCCCAGGTGGGGTCACCTGTCCTCACCTTCCTTCAGAAGGAGGAAAACCAAGTGAGGCTTGGGCAAAGGGGTCCGCCTCTTTTCCTTGGCCTTAGCCCCACCCCCTTCTGGCCCAGGGCGGGGCAAAGGCCAGCCCAAGCAGGTGGGAGGCACCTGCCCAGGTGAGCCCCCCCCCCCGCTTGGTGCTGCAAACCCCGCCCACCTGTGGGGGAGGGAGGGTGGAAATTATTCAGAATGGTTTTAGACTGCTCTCTCATACAAAAAACCAAAACATACAGTAGATCATAATACACCACAAAAACGTTCACAAGTTTAAACAACTGGACACAGCGGCTGCAGACCCCCCAAGTGTCCCTATTTTCCAAGGACATCCCTGATTTAGAGAAGCCGTCCCAGTTTCTGATTTGATCTCTGAATGTCCCACTTTTCCCTACGATGTCCCTATTTTCACTGGAGAAATGTTGGAGGGTATGGTAGGATGTCCCTATTTTCATTGGAGATTTTTTTAAAATAATAATTTTTTATTAGTTTTCATTTGCAGACCAATAATGGTCTCATTATAACAATACCAATATACAATACAATTATTCATACCAATCATTCAAATATTCAATTATATAATTTAGATAAAGTGGGGCCCCGTGTGCTAGATTTGATGGTCTTCTTTATTCCCCATTCCAAAATCTTATTCAACTAACATTCTGGTCATAATAATAATAATAATAATAATAATCCCTTATAAAACAACTGCAATATTAATAAGGTCTATTTGTGTGTTGACACATTAAATGATTTATAACATTGCAAGTGAGGAACTCAAACTATATCCTCCTCCTTCCTGGGGATAGCAATTATTCTGTGGTATTTCTTCCTGTCCTTGTCTTTCTTCCACCCCCCGCACCCCGATTGTTGCTGTTCTGGGTCGTGCCTTGGGCGAAGCTGATATCCCTTTGGTTGGGTGGGTCACCTGCCATTTTCTGCTGCTCCCCTTTCCTCACCCACCACTGCTTCCATTTCTTCTCCAGTCATGCTACTAACTTGTTCAGTGCTCTGCAGCATAGCCACATATGTATTATTATTTTCTTTTAAGCCCTTGAATTGGCATAAAACCAGAAAACTGCACAAGCAGTTTAAAAATAAAAATACACAATGACTTTTAATCTATGAGGCACCTGCTGAGAATTAGCCATTGTCTCCTTTTCTTTTCCAGCTGTGCTCCTAACTATTTCTGGTGCTCAGAGAAGTAGTCCTACATTCTTTTCTTCCCTTAGATTTGTACAAACTCCCCAAAACTTCCCAACCAAACAGTATTAAAACTGTGTGCGGAAAATTGACATTTGTTGGTGTGCTTTAGCCTCATTAATGAATGCAATCTGAATTGTTCTTAACAATAAATATAACAAGGAAAGAGAAATAAAGACCAGATACATCTTTTCCTTCTCATAAAGGAGCCCAAAGCTCTCTTTGAAAGTAGTCTAGAATGATGCACATGAACCCTCACTGAGGGATGTTATTGGTGAAGTTTCCCCCCCAAAGTATACCAAATTTGGCACTCTGTATAGTCAGTACCAGTGTCCTCAAAGGGCTGAAGATGTAGCTTAAAACCAAATTGGGTGTCTTTCAGGACAGAAATGTGCCATGAAAGGGCAGGTCAATACATAAACAAAGCAACCACACAACTTAAGCTACTCCTAAAATACTTCCTTTTCCCATACATCAATTTCCTTAGTTCCTCTCTGACCGCTGTTCTGCCTAGAGGGTGCCTTTCTCCAGTGGGGGGTCCGCCATCCCCGGGATAAGGAACGGACTCTTGGGTCAGGCCCCAAAGGATCAGGCTGCTTGCGGTCTCTGGAAGCTTCTCGGAGCATGCCAGTGCCTGACCTCCAGGCCTGAGGGGCAGAATTCTTGGGGTGAATTCGTGGCAGCTGAAGGCCCCATACCCGTCACCCCACCCACTTGACACTTGCTCCCCGAAAGCCGCCTGAGGTGGTGGAGAAGCCCCCTGGCTGCCCTCTGGGGCTCTTCCACGTCTCCCTTGAGGTGCCCAAATGGGAGGCTTCTGAGGCGATGAGTTTGCTTCTAGATTCCGTTATCAGGGATTATTTTACACACCTTTGATGCAACTGGGTACTACTGTTTAAACTTTCCCTTTTTCTTTTGTATTGTAGAAACAGACTTGTTTTTTGCCCCCAAAAAAAAGTGCTATTATTAAAACAAGATGTCTGAGTCCCTATTGGTTTCGGCTGTTTTTTGTTAAATTTCTTTTTTTTTTAAAGATATTTATTAAGAGTTTACAAGTTACAGAAAAAGCAAGAGAACAATAAAGAATTAAACAAAGCAAAACAATACCTTACAATACATAAAAAAAAATAAAACAATAAAACAATACAATAAAACAACAAAAAACAGAACAAAAACATTTAAAAACACATCCAACCTTTCCATATCTTTACCTTTCATATACTTGTTTCATCGACCTCCTCACACCTCCCTTTTTGTATTCTAGTTCAATTAGCTATTTCAGCAAGTCCTTTCCATCTTTCTCAATTTTCGTTCTAAAATTTAACTTAAGACATTCTAACCTTAAATTTTCCACTTTGGTCCATTAACAATCTATTTTTACTTAATTCTTTATAACATTTCTGCTAAAGCCATATAGCTTCATTCCAGCATCCTTCTAACATTCATTAATTTTGCAATATTTCTGTAAATATACTTTAATTTTTTTCCCAATCTTCTTCCACCGACTCTTCTCCCTGGTCTCGGATTCTGCCAATCATTTCCGCCAGTTCCATGTAGTCCATCAGCTTCATCTGCCATTCTTCCCTGGTGGGTAAATCTTGTGTCTTCCAGTGCTTTGCAATAAGTATTCTTGCTGCTGTTGTGGCATACATAAAGAAAGTTCTATCCTTCTTTGGCACCAATTGGCCTACCATGCCCAGGAGAAAGGCCTCTGGTTTCTTTACAAAGGTATATTTAAATACCTTTTTCATTTCATTATAGATCATCTCCCAGAACGCCTTGATCTTTGGGCATGTCCTTTTTCTTTTCTTTTTTTAAAAAACATTTATTTCCATACAAACAAACAAAAACACACTAACACTACATACCAAGAAAAAATAATAGAAACATTGAACAACAACCTACTTAAACATACAAAAAATTAAAATTACCTACACCCACGTGACTTCCTCTGGCTTTTTTCCTATAGAGATTTTGAGCATCTTTTAAAATTCCTCATGAATACAACCCCCAAATTTTTAACTCTTCCGCAGGGGGGAAGGGGCATATTTAGGGAGAGTTCCAGGGGGCAGGGGGGCATATTCGGGGGTGGGCTGAAGGGAGAGGGAGCAGAGGAGGGGGGCAAGGACTGAGGGGGACTCGGGGAGGGGGGAAGGAGGGAGGGGGATGTCTTCGGGGAAGATCTCAGGGGGGATATTCGTGGAGGGGGGAAGGGGCGAGCGGGGAGGGGGGAAGAGGGGAGGGGGATATTTTCAGCAACTTCAGGGGGAGGGGAGAAGGCGGGAGGGAGATGTATTGGGGAAGATCTCAGGGGGGAGGGGGGCATACTTGGGAAGGGGGGCAGATTGGGGGAGGGGTTCAGGGGGGAGGGGGGCAGGGAGGGATGGTCTGGGTCCTGGCGCCTGTAGCAAGACATCTATCCGTCTGCAACTGCCTTGGACTTCTCTGGCGTCTCCAGGGACACTGGAACCCAGGCATTGTGACACAAATGACTGCAAATCCCAGGCAACCAAATGGGGATCCTCCAATTTGTGGGTCAAATTGGTTGTCCATGATCAAGTAAAAGAATAGGGGGCACATGGGAGGGGGGGCTCTTAAAAAAGTTTTTGCCATGCTCATGTTTGCACATGAAATGGTGGTTTTCAATTACTCAGAGCAGACCCATTTAAATTATTCAACATTACTAAATTACGGTAGATCCACTATTTAAATGTCTAATTCTCGTGCTCATAGTTGGTTAAACACGCTGTGATGATGGCAGGTGATAGATGCACAAGGTAGCAGCAACAGTACCCCTGGCACATACTTAGCAAGGTCCTAGTATGCTCGCTTCTTGCGAAAATTATGAAACGTATCAAATGTAAAGAAGAAAGGGTAAAATCAAACCCTTCAAGAGCAGGTAGACTAATCTGATGTCTACTGCATTTGGATTTTGCCTTTATTAAATAACCCCAACGGTTTCCCATATGTAAAGGAATAAAACCTCCTATTCAGTACAATAACGTTTTGTTCCTTCAAAACAGTCCTTCAAGGCGTGATGCCATATCCCATTGCAACTTCAAATAAAACCCTCTTGAACTTGTCCTGAAGAGTTTGTACTTGGAAGACTGACCAAGTGATGCCAACTTCAGGAGAGTCTTGTTAGTTGTAGAGAACTTCTTGCTCCTTTTTGTCCAGAGATCATTTGCTGTGACATTTTTGGGTCTTGCTTCAAGTGTGTGGATTTTCTCTTCTTTGTCTTCCTCCGATGCTGAGGTCCTCTGCAGTAATGAGCACAAGGGAAAGATTAGCATTAACTACAGGGGCTGTAATGGGCCCTTTGTTTATCCTCATCAGTAGCTAAAACAAGAGAGCTAATGTGGTGTAGTGCAGGATTGGGCAACAGTTTTGGCCTGGCAGGTCAAATCTTGATCTCCATAATGATGCCAGGTGACTGACAAATGGGTGAAGCAAGGAACTGATGCATAGGGACTTCTTTCTAGCCACAGGCATGACACCTACCCCACATCTAACATCACATATTATGTCAGTTGTGGGGTAGGTGGGTGTGGTTTGGAGAATACAGCCTTGCAGTTAAAATGGAGAGTTCTAGCTTACCAAATCTGACCCACAGGATAGAGGTTCCCCACTTTTGTTGCAGAGGTTGGCGTGTTGATCTGGACTCATGTTCAAATCCCCACTTAGCTCCCTAGGCAATATTGGGCCAGTAGGTATCTCTCAGTCTAACTTTTACCTCACAGGATTTTTGTGAAAGTAAATGGCAGGGGGAAGAACATGTCTGTCACTTGGAGATCCTTGGAAGAAGGGCAGAAGATAAATGCACTAAATAAATAAAAACAGTCTATCGAATATTTCCATTATCTTGGATGACAAACAGTAGGAGAAGAGTTTTCCATTCTTCCCTTCCAGCCCCTTCTCTCTATGAACTGGACCCAAAGATTTTCATGCTTAAAGTAGACCCTTTGAAAGTGGAATTTAAATTAGTCTGGATCCGGTTTGTAGTAGGCCTGGGTTTAAACTACACAGGTCTTTCACAATGATAGCTAGTTGAGCTTTTATATCTGACTCCCTCTAGAAACGCCATTCCATACTATACAAAGCTGAACAATGATATAAGCAGCATAGGGCACCATGTTTTCAGGAACAGACTTCGCAGCTGGCATGGCCAGGATTACTGGTACACTGAAGCAAACGGACTGGCCTGTTACAAGACATAAGAAATACACTAGCAACTTCATTTGCATTTAGTGGCTGTTTTAGTCAAAGACAGTGTTGAAGAGCACAGGTGCCATTTAATAAAATAATTACTTAAATAATCTCAGATATCCCTGTCTTTCTGTCTTCACAACATGAGGGCTATTTCCATTGCTTCATATAACAGAATAAACCAGGGGTTGGCAAACTATGGCCCCCGGTCGTCTCACGGACTATTGACCCATACACCACTAATCCACTGCCACCAACCAGGTCCTCTCCGGTAAAATCACTTCAGCTTCAGTCAGGTTCTCAATTAATAAAAAAGAGTGTATTTTATTTCAGACACAAACAAGCTTTTCCGGCATTCCAAACATTACTCTTTACTTTCTTAGTCTTATTTCCCACTCTCTATCTCTTCTACCTCCCCTCACTCAAGAACCCACTGCCCTAACTGTCTCTCTATTACCAACTGCCTACCAACTGCTTCTCCAACTGCCTTTCCCAACCAGCCAACCCACTAAAACCAACCAACTACCCAACAACAACTCCCAACAACAACTCAAACCTCTGGCTAAGCCCTTTTATACACAGGTAGGCTCTGCCTCCGGCTTTCCTATTGGTCTATATTTTTAACCCTATCTCTCCCCCCTGTTCAAACATTTTCTAAATGAACAGGCAAACGCCACAGCCTGCTTCTTGGGAGAAAAGCAATGACAAACCTGGACAGCATCTTAAAAAGCAGAGACATCACCTTGCCAACAAAGGTCCGTAGAGTTAAAGCTATGGTTTTCCCAGTAGTGATGTACGGAAGTGAGAGCTGGACCATAAAGAAGGCTGATCGCCGAAGAATGGATGCTTTTGAATTCTGGTGCTGGAGGAGACTCTTGAGAGTCCCATGGACTGCAAGAAGATCAAACCTGTCCATTCTGAAGGAAATCAGCCCTGAGTGCTCACTGGAAGGACAGATCCTGAAGCTGAGGCTCCAAGACTTTGGCCCCCTCATGAGAAGAGAAGACTCCCTGGAAAAGACCCTGATGTTGGGAAAGATGGAGGGCACAAGGAGAAGGGGACGACAGAGGACGAGATGGTTGGCCAGTGTTCTCGAAGCTACCAGCATGAGGGAGGCAGTGGAAGACAGGAGTGCCTGGCGTGCTCTGGTCCATGGGGTCACGAAGAGTCGGACACGACTAAACGACTAAACAACAACAAAAGGTGCTGGAAGTTTGAGCTCTGTGAGGTTAATGCTGTGAACAAACTATAGTTCCCAGGACTCTTTGGGGGAGACGCTGATGATGTGGATCAGATAATAATAACAATAACAACAATAATAATAATACGCTGAATTAATACGCCCCATCGTTCTGCCCGGACACTGAGGTCCAGCTCTGAGGGCCTTCTGGCGGTTCCCTCCCTGCAAGAAGCCAAGTTACAGGGAACCAGGCAGAGGGCCTTCTCGGTGGCAGCACCCGCCCTGTGGAACGCCCTCCCATCAGATGTCAAGGAAATAAGCAACTATCCTACTTTTAAAAGAAGGCAGCCCTGTTTAGGGAAGTTTTTAATGTTTGATTGGGAGCTGCCCTGAGTGGCTGGGGAAACCCAGCCAGATGGGCAGGGTATGAATAATAAATTATTACTATTTATTATTATTATTATTATTATTATTTATTATCTGATCTGTAAGTTCAGTTCTGTGTTGCATGGATGAAGGGTGGCATATATTCATAAAATTTTACACCACTTAGTGGTAACCCCCCCCCAAATGGTTTATGAAAAGATAAAGCAAGAAAAAAGTTCACAACCATACTTTAAAACATATTTAAGTTAAAACACTAAAACAGTTTAAAATTACCTCAAAATATGAAGTCCCTTGGCTGAAATGCAGAGCTGGCCAGCTGTGATATTTTTAGGGTCAGCGCGAATCTGCTTCAGGGGCTGGAAATGTATTTTGCCCAACCAGGGGTGCTCAGGTTGTGGGGAATTGTTGGCACCACCTAAAGGTAAGAGCTTTTTGCACATGGCGCACATGCATTTGGGCCGCTTGGGGCTTGGCACATCACAAAGAGCAATGTGACATTGAAGTGTTTAGTGTTTCTTATCTCTTAAAAATCACAAAGATGTTTCTTAGGAGTGGGAATGTTTTCTGCCACATTTTGATTAAAAGCTGTCTGCCAGTTGCTAGATAAAATTACTTTGTGGCCACTTGGCTGTCCCTGCAATATGATCTGAATTTTGCCCTTCTACCTATTAGCAGGTGTGACTTCAGAACATGTTCCGGCTACATCCAAGAACAGCAAGCCCCGAACCCTTGTTTCCTCCGCACCCAGCTTCCCACCACCTAGGAAGGTGGGAAACTCTCCTCATTTGGAGGTTCATTAAGCAGATATGGAGGTTTGAGTTGAGATCCCTGCATCGCAGGGGGTTGGACTAGATGACCCTCGAGTCCCTCCCAGCTCTACGATTCTTTGCTTCGATACTAGTCAGAGGCAGTAAGTCACTCTGGGCGCGCGAGAGGAGCGGAGGAATTACGGCCGGGAGCTGCGAAACCAAAAAGCAAAAGGAATCCGTCAAGGATCGTCTCTGAGGTTGGCGCGCCGGGGCCGGCCGGCCAAAGCGGAGCGGGCGGGCGGGCGGCGCCCGGAGCCATGGCGACCTACGTGAGCGAGCTGGAGGCGGCCAAGAAGAACCTGAGCGAGGCTTTGGGCGAGAACGTGAAGCAGTGAGTGAGGAGCGGGGCCCTTTCACCTTCTGTCTCTCGGCCCCTCCGGCCGCTTAGCCGCCGCGCCCTGCGCCAGGGGCCTAGTAGGCCGTGCCCGAGCGCCGGCCTCGATTTGTCCCGCGCACCCGCGGGGCGGGCGTTGCCGGGGCGGCTCACAAATGGGTGGGTGGACGGGCGGCTCCTGCCCGAGTCCTTCCGCGGCCCCCGACCCCAGCTCGCTTCGGGGCGCGCCTCCCCACATTCTCATTTCTTTGTTCCGGCTCGCCGATATCTCGCTCCAGAAACGCCCTGCATCAAAGTGGCGTCGAGCGGAAAGAGCGGCGGCCTTTCGTTTTGTGTTCTCGTTTTATTTATTTCATAACATTTATATACTGCTCCACCGTACGAAAAGCAAACAAACCGAACCTCCCAGCGGTCTGGGGAAAAGAGAATGAAATCGAGGGGAATTCACAACCCGACTTACTTAAAAGTGAAAATACCAGCAGAACGGATCAAAATTCACTTCAGCATTTCCAAACGTTTGGGTCCAAACAGGTGTGTTTTGAGCAGGTGCAGAAGAGCGCAGCCTGCTGGGTCTCCAGAGGCGGGGAGTTCCAAAGGCCACACTCCCCAATCAGGGTCCCACACATGCCGAATGGGTCTTACGGGCACCTGCAGTTGTGCCGATTCCACCAGCTGAAGCTGGCAAGCAGGTGCATGTGAAGGGATCTCTCAAGGTGGTTTAGCAAAAAAAGATGAAAACAATAAAAATCGGCACTTTTTTTTACAACCCTAATTAAAAACACACCCAGAGAGAGAGAGAGAGAGAGAGAGAGGCAGAGAACCAAAATGGAATAGACTATGAAACTCACACAAACTTTCTAAACATCTGGGTAAAGGTAAAGGGACCCCTGACCATTAGGTCCAGTCGTGGCCGACTCTGGGGTTGCGGTGCTCATCTCCGCACGGAAATGCCGTTTACCTTCCCACTGGAGCAGTACCTATTTATCTGCTGGCACTTTGACGTGCTTTCGAACTGCTAGGTTGGCAGGAGCAGGGACCGGGCAACGGCTCACCCCGTCACAGGGATTCAAACCACCGACCTTCTGATCGGCAAGTCCTAGGCTCTGTGGTTTAACCCACAGCGCCACCCGCTTCCCTAAACATCTGGGTAGGCTTGTCTAATAGAATAGGAATATCTAAATAAGAGCACAGTGCCCTGTGCTAGAGAGAATATAAACCTGGCAGGGCCGGCCCATCCATGAGGCAAGGTGAGGTGACCACCTCAGGTGGCAGGATCCACAAGGGTAGCAGATGTGGCCTCCAAAGAATGCATTGCCCACTGCCACAGTGGCAGAAACAGCTGCATCTACAGAGGAGCATTTTGTAGTTCATCTCGGGGGCCAAAAGCTCAAGGACCACTCTTCTCTTCTTTTTATAATAGAATGGGGAAATTTATTGAACTATTTGAAAGACACACTGTAAACAAATTAAAACATTAGTGGCATTGATATAGAAACCTGCAGTAAGAGATAATTAAGGGGAAGATAAGGAAAAATTTGTAAATATATTTTAATTAGATATGCAGTAATAAAATATATGAAATGAATAACCTCAGAAAGGAGGGGAGGGAAGTCGAGGCAGAAGTAAATTAGATTTGTAAAGATTCTGGTTTTTTTGTCAAAATGTTTGTAAAAGCTGAAAATAAAATTATATATAATTTTATTGGACAGGCCCTGAAGCCCTGGGATAAGCCTATTTGAGTTGCCTCAATATTTCAAAGAACACATGGTATATAGGGGAAAGGGGTAGGTGGGAAAGGTGAAGCTAGTTTCTACTTTCAGTAATGGGCACCATATTTTTCGCTCTATAAGACGCATCAGACCACAAGACGCACCTAGTTTTTGGAGGAGGAAAACAAAAAAAAAAATATTCTGAATCTCAGAAGCCAGAACAGTGCAGTGAAAGCAGCGATCCCTCTTGCTGTTCTGGAATAGCTGCACAGCCTGCATTCGCTCCATAAGACACACACACATTTCCCCTTACTTGTTGGGGGGGGGGAGTGAGTCTTAAAGAGCAAAAAATACGGTAATTCTGTGATGCCCAATGTAACATTTGTAAGCTTCCTTATGTAATATTTTGTTTTTCAGCTAATATTGTTTAATGCCAATTTAAACTGGTTGCTGGTTAATTGCCTTGATCTTCCTGCTGGCATTCGTCCGTAGACAGATTTTCCCGGTCATGTGGCCGGCACAACTTTTCTTGTTGCAGCTTAATATATATTTAAAACAAAATTGACAAGAATTACTAGGGCAGAGATCTACCAGCCCTTCACTGAATTGAAATGTCCAGAATTATTATTTTTTAGGGGGGCAGTGCATGACGGTGGGGTGGGGGAGAGGCAGTTGTGACAAAGTCAGCTATGGGTTGTAATGCAGACCAGTCGTTGAAAGACCACCTACCTTTTTTATTTTTCTCCCGTGGCGGTGGGGCGAGCAGGCAAAGAAGAGAAGTCCTCCCCCTAAAAAATGGCCAACAAGTTCCAGTACCTCTTTTTCTAAAAAAGAAACAAAGCCCTTAATATAACCATGGCTTAATTGCAAAGAACACAATTTTTAATTACCCCAGGGGAAGCATTGAAAAAAGCCAGCATAAATTGAACCACTTCCATGGCGATTTCCAGCTGCTTTCTTTGGATTGTCTAATTAGTACACATAGGATTATGCTGGAGCCAGGCACTTAAGGTGTAAAATTCGACTTTATTATTTTCAGATTGAGTATTGCAGTTACATAATTTTCCAAAGTGCTATGTTCTGTTTCCAGGCTCTGATATTCAACAGAGAGTCCTGATGGTCAAATTGTTCCTTAAATTTATTACCGGTAACTCTGATTGAAGTTCTGCTCGTCTTTGGACTAGATAACCCCTGAGGTTCCTCCAATGCAGTGGTGGCCAAACTTGGCCCTCCAGCTGTTTTTGGACTACAACTCCCATCATCCCTAGCTAACAGGGCCAGTGGTCAGGGATGATGGGAATTGTAGTCCCCAAACAGCTGGAGCACCAAGTTTGGCCACCACTGCTCTAATGTATGAAACTGCATGATAGTCTCTCCTAAAGGGTTGAAGAGGGAAAGAGTAGATTGTTGAGAAGCGAAGGCTAGTATTGAGGGTACAATATTTATATATTTCACAGATACTGGGCTAATTTGAAGCTGTGGTTTAAGCAAAAGATCAGCAAAGAAGAGTTTGACCTAGAAGCACGGAGGCTCCTCACACAAGACAATGGTAAGAAAACTATATGTGAGTTGCTCTATGTGGCTTCCATGAATCTCATGCTGAACTTGGGGGTTAGCTGCAATACTGTACAGTAATGGAATGATTCAGCTATGAGCAGGCCATGGGGTGGGTTGAACTATAGGGCACTGAAATTGCACCATGATCAATGAAGACAATGTTTAGCCACCCCTTTGGTTTCTAAGATTGCGTCAGGCATTACTCAAGCACCTCCAGTTCTGTATCTAGTTCAGGACTTGCTGTGTAGACTCAAGGGGCATCTTCCATGCTACTATATGATGCTGAGGCAAGTGCAAGATGGCTTGCTGACATCTTTATGTGGACTTCTTTTCTTTTGGCAGTCCATTCTCACAATGACTTCCTGTTGGCTATTCTCACACGATGCCAGATCTTGGTTTCTGCACCTGGTAAGTCTACTGTAAAAACGTTCATGCACCTGGACTTTAGGAGAAAGAGCTGTAGTGTGTTTACTTCAGCAGCAATTCTAATATTCATTTTAGTATGGTTAGATGCATGCTGAGTCTGTTTTACCATATTGGCCTGAATATAAGCCTCACTTGTTTCCAAAATTCTTACCCTGAAAAGTTAAAGTGTGGCTTATATTCGCAACCTTATGGTATGCAGCCAGGAGCGCAGGGCAAACAGCGCCAGGAGTGTGGCAAAGTGGTGCCCGCCCTACATGTAGTCCCCCATCCTCTCCCCCAAGGTCGGGAAGGGAGAGAGCGAGGAAGGGGAAAGGCCACCGGCAACGCAGCGCAGCTCCCCGCTCCCCCCCCCCCGTATGCAGCCAGGAGCAGCGAGGGATGGAGCGGCTTATATTTGGGTATATTTTCTTTTTTTCTTTCCCAGCCTCCAATTTTAAAGGTGCGGTTTATATTCAGGTGCTGCTTATATTCGGGCCAATACGGTACTTCTCAGAAACCAATAGAGCTGCTTCCTTCCCAAAATAGCTTTTTTTGAAACCTGGAAATATATATATATTTCATTATTGTAAAGTGACATTGGCAGGGATCTTAAGGATGCTATTGATAAGTAACTTCAGTAGCAGATGTGTACTGCAGAATGAATAGACCCAGGAAAGTGGGGCACATATGAATAGAGGAGGGACCCTGAAGTTTTCATATTAAGCCTTGGCACTGGAGTTGGAATGAAGCACACAGAAGCAGCATTCATTTTCTCTCTGTGGTTTTTTAAATAGGACAGTTGTAGCTATTCCTAGAATGCTTCCTTAGGCTGCCTCACCATAAATATCCGCAAATAGGCAAAGGTGATATCAAACTTGATTGACTGGTTGGAAGACCAACAGTTCCCCCTCTACCCACGATTACAGCTGTGATCATTGCACTGTGATCATTGGGTCAGGTACCTCAGATCTTTGGGTACCTGTACTTTTTCCTGCCTTTCTCTCAGGCCTCCTCACCTGGGGATGCAGGTAGATTGCTCACCAAACCTCTCTATCCGCCGCCTCCTCCTCCCTTTCCATGACTCTGAGGCTTAAAAGCCCCCAGAAGAAACTGGAGACTTTCATCCTCTCATCAGCCCCACGCATGACAAGTGCAAACCATCTGGGTTGATTTCTCTTTGAGCTAATTGTGAGCAGTCTGCCAGCTTCATCATAACCCTGTACAGTGGGACTAATAGGTCTGAGCAGCATACCTAGTTTGTAGGAACGGGTTGAAATGCCCATATTTTGCTTGTCTTAAGATTAAAGAAACCTTATGTTGAGCATAACTTACACAGTAAAGTCAGGATAGTGGAAGCAACGCATTCATAAGCACATTTACTTGAAATGAAAGTAAGTGTGCTTGAGACTGCAGTGTCAAATGTTTTTCAGAATTCCGTTTCAGAAGTACAAGTCTGATCCCGAACGTTTTGGAAAAAAAGACTTGCCTTGATTCTGTCTAATTGGGTAGATTTGTGAGCTGCCACACACAGAACATTCTCCAGAAGTCCTTCAGGGAGTAAGGTGGAAGACCTATTGTGAAAGTGATTAAAGTACAGTTTGGAGCTTGCAAGAGAAGATGACAATTTGCTCTTCTTTGACTCACAACAAATTATCATAAGTCAAGGGGGTCTATTTTTATCTCTCTTCAAAAATGCTTTTGTTATGCCCTGAAGCAGCACACTCTTATTTATCAAGTGTCACTGAGATTCATGTTCTGTCTCTGTGTAATCATTGCTCTTCCATGTCCACGGAGTTCTTGCCACAATATGGTACTGTAGGGAGCCCTGGTGGTCTTGTGCTTCCCCTGGTTCTCCTCACCCCAGCTTTCTAGCAGTTGCACTCTCATCAGGGTAACCCAGCTGTGTTCCTCATTTTGCCAAACTTTGTGCTGCACTTCAAACTTTGTGCTGCAAAGTGTTGTTTTAAAGTATGCCATTCTTCAGCATCACAACCAGTTAAGTGCCCCACTGATGTAAGTAATGTATAAACACATAATAAAAAGGAGTCCTTTTGCTCCAGAGAGCACACTATAAAATATATTGACTGTGGTTCAGAGACATGAGTGTGATGCTGGGTGTGAGTTGCAGAAAATAGCTCAGCCCAGAAAAGTGGAAACTGTGGTTTGGGAAGCTGAGGTTGCTGGAGTAGAGCATAAGCAACCTCTGGCACTTGTGATAGACTGTGATGACCAGGATATTTAAATTTGACAGGGTGCAATGGAGATTTAGATCCTTGCCAAATCTAAGACTTACTGTTTTCTTCTTTTCCATTTCCAGAGGGTGCTGGCTCTTTGCCATGGACAGGAGGTTCTGCAACAAAACCAGGGAAGCCCAAGGGGAAGAAAAAGTTTTCCTCCGTTCGGCAGAAGTTTGATGTAAGTTTGTCCATTCTTACGTGCATTAGAAAGAGGAAAACTAAGCCTAGATGTTGGAAATCAACATGATAAGAAATGCAGAGCTGCTATCATAAATAGCAGCCCCAGCTCAAGTTCCTGACACACTCTCCAAACCTTTAGTACAGTTCACCAGGCGCATCACTGCGCTGTGCATTTCCACACCTCCACCAGTGGTAGCCACTGAGGTGGTTTAGCAGTGTGGAAACGTTTCAGATAATGATGTTGGGAGAGCAGAAGGGAAGAACTCAACCTGGGACTGGAATTTTGGCCAACACTTACTTGGCAGACTTCTTAGAATTTTTTTTTTTAAATATGAATACCCCACTTTTTGCCATTCACAAAGGAGTTGCTGAAAGTGGCATACAAATGAAATGCAAACACAAAAGCAACAATGACCCAACTATTAGAATACAAGTTACGAAGCCAGAAACAGCAGCTGAAAGCAAACACCAAAAGAGCAGCTCCAGCAACTGATACAGTTGAGTAGCAATAAAATCAAAAGTGGAACAGGTATAGGTGCCACTTAATAACCCGGTATAGGTGCCACTTAATAACCCGGTATAGGTGCCACTTAATAACCCGGTATAGGTGCCACTTAATAACCATTCTGCATTTGTAAGAACTCCGTCTTTTAGTGTGGCAGCACCTGCTCTCTGGAACTCCCTGCCTATTGGTATCAGGCAGGTGCTTTCACTGTACTCTTTTGGGTACTTGCTAAAACATTTTTTTTAGACAATCCTATCCAGATGCTTAGGAAATTGGGTGAGTTTTAATCTGTTTTTAGTATATTGTTATTTTAAAAGTCTTAAATAATTGTTGTTAACTTTTCTTATTGATTTATCTTTTTTGTAAACCATTTTGAGATTATTTTACAATCAAGTGGTGTATAAATTGTATGAAATAAAATAAATAAAAGCTTGTTTTAAAAGGAAAGTTTTCAGTTGCTGGCAGAACACAAATAAAGGGGAAGATAACCTCTTGGGGCAGGGAGTTCTACATATGAGGTGCCACTGCAGCAGAAGCCCTCAGAAGACCGTCAGTGGCACACACAAGAGAAATGCAACAGCCAACCTTAAAGGACAGGCAGATTTGCATAGTGTAATTTCAGAGGCTTTTGCATGAGCTTGGATGGAGGAGGAAAAGGGAAGGAGAAGAGCAGAATAGCTTAGGGAGCCAGTAGATGTCATTATTAGCAGCAGTTCTAAAGATGTATGCGTATTAAGGACGCACCTTCCAACATGCCAAGTCATGCTTTGCCTCTTCTGGTTTTTGAGGTGTCTTCTGATACAGTTTTAATATTATCAATCTCTTCTCCACAAGCATGAAGATAGGGACTCTGAAAAGTGCAAGTGAGATTAATGAGAAACAATATTCTCTGCTTTTGGTGCAAAGAATGTGCTCTCAACTATGGAGGCTACGTGAAGGGAATTATGTTCAGTTCAAAAGTAGAAACATTACAATATTTTTTGTTTTATTAATTCCTTTTTTAAAAACAAACACTAAAAATACCCTACAAATTGCTTACAAAATCAGCATAACCATCCATATGGTTAAAATTGGTAGAGTGCTATCTTATACTCAAATAAATGGAAAAAAATGCTCAAGAGGCCTCCTGTCCTTCACAACTTGCAACTAAGAAGTTTATTTAATGTGCAAATATATAAAAGAGGCTTAGACAGAAGAAGATTGTTTTGAGAATTAGTTACACAATAGACTGAATAGCTGAATAGACTAAACTCATGTACAGTGGTACCTCTGGTTGCGAACGGGATCTGTTCCGGAGGCCCGTTCGCAACATGAAAAGAGCGCAACCCTCAGCGGTGCGTCTGCGCATGCGCAGGTTGCGATTTGTCACTTCTGCGCATGCACATGACGTCATTTTGCGCATCTGCGAGCAGCAAAACCCAGAAGTAACCCTTTCCGGTACTTCCGGGTTGCCGTGGGACATAACCTGAAAGAACGTAACATGAAGCAGATAAAATTGCAAAAACATGATAAGAATGCATACATAAATAAACTGGGTAGGAATAATTGTGAAATGCCCAGTAAGAAGTTGGATACCACAGTGTTTTTGTATATTTCTGCGGAGCTGCAGATGTGATCTATATCCTTAAGAGTTCAATCCTATATGCACTTATCCCAGAGTGTGTACTGTTGAACTCTGTAGGGCTTTCTTCATGTATAGGATTGCAGTTTAGGGGGCTGCTATGATAAAATAATGTGTTTAATTTCTCTTATCTCTCTGAAGTCTTAAGAAAGTGGCAGGTTATGTGTCCAAATGGAACATTATTTAATCTCGCTCAGTGTTTTAGCTTAGACAGCTGAAATGTATTGTTATACTTAACAGCACCGATTCCAGCCTCAGAATCCATTATCTGGAGCTCAGCAGTTTGTGGCCAAGGACCCCCAAGAAGATGATGATCTGAAGCTCTGTTCACATACAATGATGCTTCCCACTTGGGGCCAGCTGGAGGGAAGGATGATTGTCACTGCTTATGAGCACGGACTGGATAATGTCACTGAAGAGGCAGTGACAGTTGTTGTCTATGCTGTGGAGGTGAGATAACACAGAAGGAAAAATGTGGTCCTGGTTTTGCTGTGTATGTATGGTATGGAATTAAAACTAGCTATCACTATAGAAATAAGCAAAACAGATACCCACAAATCAATACAAAAAACAAAACAAAACCAGCCTTTGCAGGCATATATGATAGCACTTTTGGTGTTATTTCTCAGAGTACGAGTAAGGCAGGCTGAGCTTTTTCTGTAACTCTGCTGGCATACAAACTTGGACTTTATAAAGCATTTAATACTGGCTTAAGTGCTGAATGAAAGAAAACAAAGCCATATCTGGTTCTGATGAAAATCTGACTCCCTGCCTTGGATTTCTAAGCATCTCAACCTTTTTGCTTTCTCTCTCTCTCTCTCTTTTAGCTCTTAGTTGTATATATGTGCATTGGCCATGATCCAAAGTTCAACCAGGCTCTACCACACTCACAAGTACAGGGACTGATTTGCCTTCTGCTTTTTTGTGATGATTCAGTATGAATACAGAGAAGAGGCAGCACCTATGTGAGCATTAGGCCTGTGATTTGCAAAAAGTGTCTGCAGAATTGAGGACCTTATGCTTGTTTCTCACATGCCTACCCCATTCAGATATAAAACAGAATGAAGGGGCTTGCATCCTGCATCAGACTGTGGGTGAGGGTAATTGAACCCTTCTCCCCCTGAGGTTCCCATTCTCTTTGCTTCAGGCACCTCTGGAAGTGAGCTGGGCTGGAGGATAAAGGAGTGTGGGTAACAGATTGTGAGGGAGTGAAGTTGGGGAAGTAAAGATGGGGATACATCTCCCCTAGTCTATTATCTGCTTTTGATGTTAACCTTGGGGCCACTATTTCTTCTGCTCCTCCCTGCCTTTATAGTGGAACACGGCAAACATGAATTAGCAAAAGTTCCCAAGAGCCCTTAATCTAAAGGGCTTATGTCAGTTTCCAGCAACTCTAGTTCCAGTGCCGCCAGTCCAATAACTCTGGCCCTCCCTCCTCATTTCAGTTATGAGTCAGAGTCCCTGTTGTTGCTTAGAGTGGGGGTCCTGACACTAAGTCTGCCAGGGTCATCTTCTTAGGAGATAAGTTGTGTAGATTTGGATCAGGCTGATGTGTGTCTATGCTAATGAGATGCACTGATTCCCTGGGTTGCTTCTGGGTAACAGTTCAGTCTGCAGTTTCTTTGGCAGACTTGACAGTGCAGGGCATAAAGCTCTGGAGCCTGACCAGTGGGTGTTCTAGTTTCAGGCCTGGGTGTCGTGCAGTATTTACAAGGTAATAATCACAGGACGGGAACTGGAAGTTGTTCTTGGTACTCATCATGAGCAGTAAATATGAGTTCTATCTCTGCAGAAGCATCTTAAGGATATCCTTGCATCTATAATATCAAGGAGAAAGGCCTACCGTCTCAGAGATGGTCACTTCAAGTATGCCTTTGGAAGCAATGTGAACCCACAGCCTTATCTGAAGAATAGCGTTATTGCTTACAACAACTTAACTGAGTGGTAAGAAAGTACCTATTTTAATGTGGTGCAGGACAGAACTTTAGAATACAATACAAAACTAGTGTTTTTCATTCATTCCTTTTCCCCTCCCTATTTCTCTTTTTCTAGCCCTCCCACATGCTTAGCTCCCCCTCCTGGTCAAAACCTTGCTTCCCACCCACCTCCTGATGATGCTGAGCAGCAAGCAGCCCTACTCCTAGCATGTTCTGGGGACACCTCTCCAGCCACTCTGCCACCAGTCAACATGTATGACCTCTTCGAAGCTCTGCAGGTAACTTCCTTATTCTGCTAGTTAGCTTGGCTTGGAGAGAGTGTTTTCTGGAAAAAGCCCAACATAAGTAACCTTGGGACTGTAGGAAGGAAATGCTCTTTTCTGTATAAGTGCATATGCACTACATAAACTTCCAGGTTGTATCTAGCTGTTAAGCCAGCAACTGTTTTAGATTTTCCAGCGAACTAAATTTAATTTCCTACTGAAGCTCCCAAAATTTAGGCAAACAGGCCCAGTCCCCACTCTATGTACTTCTGATCTTACATACACTTATCAAGCCATCTTTCTATGAATCACAAACATTATCGGACAGGGCAACAACTCACTTTTTAGCTATGCATGTTGTGTAACACATGGCCATATTCACCTTACCGTTCTTGGTACAGTAATTCCCAACTGTATGCTAGGAACATAGGAAGCCGCCCTATTCTGAGTCAGACTAACATTCCATCTAACTCAGTGCTGTCTACAGTGACTGACAGCAGAAGTCCAGGATTTCTGACGGGGGCCCCTCGCAGCCCTAACTGTAGATGCTGGGGACTGAACACGAGACCTTCTGTGTGCAGAGCATACATTCTGCCCTTCCCTAAAAGAAGGATGCATATCTTGAAAAATTAATTAGCACATGCATCAAACACTTTGTCCCTTGAACTGGGGATCTTGAAAGACCTACAATGGCTCCCAGTACGTTTCTGAGCACAATTCAAAGTGTTGGTGTTGACCTTTAAAGCCCTAAACGGCCTCAAAGCCCCAGTAGACCTGAAGGAGCGTCTCCACCCCCATTGTTTTGCCCGGACGCTGAGGTCCAGCGCCGAGGGCCTTCTGGCGGTTACCTCATTGCGAGAAGCAAAGCTACAGGGAACCAGGCAGAGGGCCTTCTTGGTAGTGGCACCCGCCCTGTGGAACACCCTCCCACCAGATGTCAAAGCGATAAACAACTACCTGACATTCAGAAGACATCTTAAGGCAGCCCTGTTCAGGGAAGTTTTTAATGTGTGACATTTTAGTGTATTTTGGGTCTCTGTGGAAGCCACCCAGAGTGGCTGGGGAGACCCAGCCAGATGGGCGGGGTACAAATAAATGATGATGATGATGATGATGTTGTAGTGTATGAAGCACTAAGAATAAGAAACACACAATTAGTTCCAGTTGGACATTTTAGGCCTTTTAAGTTGAGAATATGTTGCTAACAAAATTTCCTCATATGTAACCTGTAGGTCCACCGAGAAGTGGTTCCTGCACACACAGTCTATGCCCTCAATATTGAAAGGATCATCTTGAAGCTCTGGCACCCAAACCACGAGGAGCTGCAGCAGGACAAGATCCATCGGCAGCGGCTGGCTGCAAAGGAAGGACTCCTGACATGCTGAGGCAGAAGCAGTGGCCAGTGCTGACGATCGGCTGGGCTGGTATCTCCTGGGCCTGCCGGTTGGGCATTTTGATTTTGGGATCACAGGACTTGCATTATTGTGCCAGCTTTCCCAAGTGGAAATGTGGACTTCTTTCCTATGGAAATATTACTTGAGAAACCAGAGTGCTTTGTGCTTGCTTCTAGAAAGGATAAAAGATCAGTGCCTCAGCAATGCTTATGCTTTGCCTCAGCACCCTCTTTTAATCACAGTGCACGGCAGTCATTCCAAAAATAGTTTTGTGTCACTGTGGAAAAGGAAAGTGACATTGTGTGCTGTGGAGAACCTGTTCCTGTTATTATTCCCTTCATGGAATGAAGGATTGTGGCCAGAGATTGACAGAGGCTGGTTCTTAGAGTTGCCAAGTTTTAGGGCTGCAGTTTGAGCCGCTGCCCTGGGCTGCCTTTGCAACTATAGCAAAGAGCTTTGTACATAGCAAAGAGCTTTTGTGTTGGGTTTATATAATGTATGACAAAAGGGAAAAATATTGATCCACATTAATAAAATTGGTTGTAAGACAATTCTCATAAAAGAGAATATTTTTATCTCATTTTTTTGTTTCAAATTTGAGTTTTGTTCAAGTAAAACATCAATAGCCAGTCTCCCAGCTACTGTCAGAGTGGCAAATCACCAATGCATTCCCTTGAACATTAATTTTTCATTACAGTGTTGCTGAAAAGTAATTTAAGCATAGAGAGTTCATAAAACCAAATGTGCTAGACTGCCCCAAATTAGCCATGTTGCCTTTCAGCACTATTGTTAGATTTATTTGCAAGCAAGTCTCACTGATTTCAATGGAACATGCTTCCATCAGCCTTTCAGCCCAAACCATGTGTATGTTAGCTCAGAAGTAAGTGCCACTAAGTTCAGTGTGGCTTAATTCTCAGTACACATGCATAGAATTAAAAGTTTTGCTCGTGATCCCCATTAAACAGGTGGGAATTTGAAGCTTGGTAATAGTGACTTGTTGAAATCCAATTGTACTGGTGTCATGTAGTAGCTAATAGACTTAACCTGGGATAGCTCAGTCAGTAGAGCATGAGACTCTTAATCTCAGGGTCATGGGTTTGAATCCCACATTGGGCAAAAGATTCCTGCACTGCAGAGGGTTGGACTAGATGACCCTCAGGGTCCCTTCCAACTCTACAATTCTATGATTCTGTGACTGAGTTACAAATGAAAATGTTCCTGGTTCAAATCCCACCTCAGCAGTGAATACTCTGGGTGGCCTGAGGCAAGCTACACACTGAACCCTCTATTTGCAATATGGGGATGTTAACCAACTTGCCTTTCAGGCTGTTGTAGGGATTACCCGCTAACGTGCATGAAGCTCTTTGAACAAGCCCCCTACACAGGCTTTGTTTGTTTGATAGCATGACTAAACTGGAGTTTGAACCGGGACCTGAGCTACGCTAGATCTCCAGTGCTACTTTGGATTCTATGTCCAGTAAGTCTAGTATAAATTTTATTTCTTCTGACGTGAAAAGGAGGACACAAAAACGATGTATCCTAGACTCAGGGTCTGCTGGGAGGCTGTACCCCTCTCTCCTGGGGAAAACACACTGCTGTATGGGAACCCAGGTGTTTTTTCTCTCGTGACTGAGCACTCTTCTGCTGTTTTGGGTGGTGGGTCTGTTCTGTGGTCATCTTCTGAAATGGTGAGTGTGTCTCAAGCACTTGACAGAGTTGCTCCTATTTTTTTTTTTATAAGATATTTATTGAAATTTTCAAGATATTACAAAACACACACAAAAAAAGAAAATACAAAATAAAAATATTTAAAAACAATTCATTCCTTCCATTACTTAACCTTCATTTGCTTAATTCCAGGACCTCCTCACACCTCCCTTTTTTGTATTCCAGTTCAATTATTTCATTCAGCAAATCCCTCCCCTCTTTATGTATCCTGTCAGGGAACTGACATCGGAGCTAGAGGCGGAGGGAAGGCTCTCAAATGATGCTGGAGAAGGGCCCAGCAGGGAGAGAGGCAGCTCCGCAGATGGGGAAGCAAATCAGCGCAACACCAGGGATAAAGGGGGGCAGATGGGGGAATCGGCGAGAGGGCTCCAGGACTCTTCACCGGACACCAGCGGGGAGAGCACGGGTCCTCCGCTACCCACGCCCTCCCTGCGCAGAAGACTTCCGCGCAGAGAGAGTAGGAGGAGACTGGGTGTCAAACAACTTTTATGTTGGAAAAGATTTAAGAAACGCCCACTGACGGATTCTGCTAGCGACTGAGGCAGCCACGAAGTTAAGGGCTGCCCAGACTGAAAGGTTTACCAAAGCAACAAAGCCTGGAGAGGCGGCAACTTACGCACGAGCAACCCATACTCATTATATATCCTAATCATTAATCATAAAGTATTATATTTTTGGATTTTTTCATATTAATAATCCATTTTATCATATTCCTTGTAACCTTTCAGCTAAAATTCGCTTCGTTTCTATCCAACATCATTCTAACATTCATTAATTTTACAATATTTCTGTAGATAGTCTTTAAACTTTTTCCAATCTTCCTCCATTGACTCTTCTCCCTGGTCTCAGATTCTGCCAGTCATTTCCGCCAGTTCCATATAGTCCATCACCTTCATCTGCCATTCTTCCAGGGTGGGTAGATCTTGTGTCTTCCAATACTTTGCAATGAGTATTCTTGCTGCTGTTGTGGCATACATAAAGAAAGTTCTATCCCTCTTTGGCACCAATTGGCCGACTATGCCCAAGAGAAAGGCCTCTGGTTTCTTCAAGAAGGTATATTTAAATACCTTTTTCAATTCATTATATATCATCTCCCAGAAAGCCTTAATCTTTGGGCACGTCCACCAAAGGTGAAAGAAAGTACCTTCACTCTCTTTACATTTCCAACATTTATTATCGGGCGCATGGTAAATTTTTGCAAGCTTGACTGGTGTCATGTACCACCTGTATATCATTTTCATAATATTCTCTCTTAGGGCATTACATGCCGTAAATTTCATGCCTGTGGTCCACAACTGTTCCCAGTCAGCAAACATAATGTTATATCCTAGATCTTGTGCCCATTTAATCATAGCAGATTTCACGGTTTCATCCTGAGTATTCCATTTCAGCAACAAGTTATACATTTTTGACAAAATCTTAGTATTGGGTTCTAACAATTCTGTTTCCAATTTTGATTTTTCCACCTGGAAGCCAATTTTCTTATCCAAATTATATGCCTCCATTATCTGATAATAGTGAAGCCAGTCTCGCACTTTATCTTTTAATTTTTCAAAACTCTGCAATTTCAATTTGTCTCCTTCTTGTTCCAGAATTTCCCAATATTTCGGCCATTTGGCCTCCATATTGAGCCTTTTCTGAGCCTTTGCTTCCATCGGTGACAACCACCTTGGGGTTTTGTTTTCCAATAAGTCCTTATATCTTATCCAGACATTTAACAATGCTTTCCTAACAATATGGTTTTTAAAAGCTTTATGTGCTTTGACCTTGTCATACCACAAGTATGCGTGCCACCCAAAAACATTGTTGAAACCTTCTAAATCCAAAATGTCTGTGTTCTCAAGAAGCAGCCATTCTTTCAACCAGCAGAATGCTGCTGATTCATAATAAAGTTTAAGGTCTGGCAGGGCAAATCCACCTCTATCCTTTGCATCGGTTAATATTTTAAATTTTATTCTAGGCTTTTTGCCCTGCCAGACAAATTTAGAAATGTCTCTGCCACTTCTTGAAACAGTCCACTTTGTCCACAATTTGCAATGATTGAAACAAAAATAACATTCTTGGCAATACATTCATCTAATGCTCCCACTTGGCAGTGCTTTGGTTTGCTGAGGGGATAGGTGGGGCAACAGCTGGCATGAAGTATTCCTCACTTCTTGAGACAGTGCATGATCAGGGAGCAGGATCGTGTCACACTAGCTCCCTATCACACTCTCATCCTGTGACATCAAGTACTCTGGTTGCCCTGACATCCATGTGTATGCATGATGACCATCTTCAGCCTTCATGCCTACGGCTGTGCCCCTGAAAACTTCCCTGCTGCAGGTGTTAGCGCTGTACTTGCTGGTGCCAGAGGGTGGGGCAAGCTGGAGTGTCTGGTATTGGGAAAGACTGATTATTTATTTATTTATTTGCCACTCTCCCGCACTCAAAGCAACTTACAAAAAACAAATGACATTTCTGTGCGCTCTGGTTTCTGTCACGGTGTCCCGTTGTGCCGGAAGCGGTTTAGTCATGCTGGCCACATGATCTGGAAAGCTGTCTGCAGACAAATGCCAGGTCCCTCGGCCTGAAGCGAGATGAGCACCACCCCAGTCACCATTGACGACTCAGATCTCTATCTATCATCTATCTATCTATCTATCTATCTATCTATCTATCTATCTATCATCATCTCAGATCCACTTCTATCCCACCCCACTAAAAGATAAGTTCTGGATGAATAATAATGTTTTTGACTAGCACCTAAAGACGATAGTGATGGCACCATGTGTGTCTCCCTGGAGAGAGCACTCTAGAAACAGGGAGTCGCCACAGAGAAGGTCCATTCTTGCGTTGTCACCCTTTGTACCTCCTTTGGAGGGCACACACAAATAAGGGCCTCAAATGATGGGTGGCATGCCAGGGTGGGGAAGGGAACTGCTTGGTGTACATTGGCTCTCGGCTACTGCCGGAGTGGTGTTCTGCTTTGCCACATCTGGCAGCAGCTAAGGCTGCACACCTTTCGTGCTGAAGGGGCCAGTGGTCATGCAATTGCGCCTGCACTACCATCCCTGGGTTTGATTCTATGCCCTCTAGCAGCAGAACACAAGAGAACAACAGGAATGCAAAATAGTTGTCATTACTAGTGGTAGCTGTCAATGTTTGCATGTCTAGGTTTATTAAGAACATTCAAATGGATGTAAAAACACGAGTGGTTTCACTGGAATGCCCTCAGTTTTGTAACTTTAAAGATGTGTAGAAGAAAGAAGAAAGCTAAGCAGGGGTGCCAGGTAAGCCCCACCCCACAAACTGATCACAAGACACAGCGCGCACCCCCCCATTTGAATAGCAATGCCCATCAACTTGGGGGGGGGCGAAGGGACCTCAGCCCCCTAGGAGTTTGGCAATGGCAGTCACCCCTTCTCCTCTGCCCCTAGGCAGCCCCTGGGACAGAGAACCACCTTACTTCAGCGCTTCTCTGGGGCCTGCCATAGTGAGAAAGAAGGGAGCTCTCTAAGCCACTGCTTCCCCGGACACCTTCCCTCCCTTGCTAGAAAAGGGCAGGGCAGGGGGCTGGCCTTGCAAGCTGAGCTGAAAGAGGCCTGCACCTTAGAAAAGGGCCGTGGGGTACATGGACTTGTCAGGGTGCCAGCTGCTCACGGAGTGGATTGTTTCACAAACTATTTCAGGGTTTTTTCCATTGTAAGCCAGTTCACATGATGCAGATTTTAAAGAAATACTTCATAAAATACCACACGCCTAAAAGAAAAGCAAATACAGATGCTCGACAACAATCAATGGTTCTGGGGCACTAATTGCTCTACTTGGAAGGCATAAATTACAGCAACAGTGAAATTTAGAACAAAGGTCCCAGATCATGCACGTTTTATCAATCTGATTTATAAATCCTTGTTTATATTGCCTTTATCTGCCTCCCTGTCCAGTTCTCTTCCCCTTTCCTGTTCCCCTTTTATTTGATTATTTGCATATTTATGCTAGTAAGTACTGTGAACACGGCTATAGAACTTTAAAATGTAATATGTGTGTGTGTGTGTGTGTGTGTGTGTGTGTGTGTGTGTGTGACTAATGGAAAGCTATTATTATATTGGAACTGTAAATAAATCCTTCAGGGTTTTACTGATTTTGCCCCACAGATTTGGAGAAGGACTGGGTTGTCCATAATTTGCCAGGTTAAATGCTGTCAATGCTTTCTTAAGCAGTCTTGAGTCAACAGCAGCTAACTTGGGAAATGCAAAAAGGAAGGCCGCCTCTTTGCCTCCTGAGGAGGTCTGTGCCCGTCCGGCTAATGCTCCTTGGCTCAGCATCACCACACGGGACGTGATTGGCCAAAGGGGCTGGCTGGGATTCAAGGCAGCCTCTATATATTTCTGAAAGGAAGCCGGCTGCTGCGTTCCAGACGGAGTCTCAGCCTCCCCACACACAATCTGCCTGGCATCAAGGACCCACTAACCACACGGCAAGATGTGCAAAGGACTAGCTGCCTTGCCCCACACATGTCTGGAGAGGTGAGAGAACCAGTTTGTCTCTTTAAACAGGAAAATTAATGGGCTGATGGGCTGAAAAGGAACACAGCAGCCTTTTCTCAGAATGAGAGTTAGCGTACATTGAAGACAGAAAATATATCCCTAGCATGTTAGGATGTTCTCCTGCTCTCATTCATTTTAGTGCAGATTGTGCAGGAGAAGTGCCAGGCGGACTGTGCCGGTGGTGTCAGGATGGTATAAAATGAGCTTCATCAACACAGTAAAGAAATAAGGTGGCTGAACAGAACAGAAAAGTATAATTAACTGAGTTAATTTGTTTTCTATTATGCATGTATGGAACCAGAAAGCTAATTAAATTTTGGATTTATAGAGGTGAACTGTTATTTTGAAGAATGCCATAGAAAGTTCTGTTAAGGCAAAGCAAGAAGGTGGAGAGTGAGCTGAATTCTCCGCCGTCTATGCTTCCCCACCCAACTACCTTTTAAAAACTTGTTTTTATCCCAGTAGGATTTATTTCCATTTTTAAACCCATACTGGGAGGAAAAAAATGTCTTAATAGGAGTTTTCTTGAGAGGGACTGTGGGTGGGGAAAAGGCTCAGCTCTTACTCTGTTCATCTTTAATGCATTTTAATTCTCCTTTACACACACACACATTCTACTTTATATGGATTTGATACAGGTCCCATTCTGCACATGACCTGTTTTTAATTTAGCCCTAAGGCTGAATGATAATGTGCTCCAAGCCTCAGTTGGCCATCTGAAATATCAGGATAACAATACTGACATAAATATATTAGGATTTCCATTAAACCAAATAACAACCATTAAACCAAATAACAGATGAGATAACGGTATAAACATTTATTTTATAAGCAGCTGATAATAACTGTAGAGATCCTAACTTAAAACAAAAGCAAAGAAGCGTCTTTGTCTCTTGATGAAACACATCGGATGCCTAAAGGTTTCCAGATTTGCTGCTTGCTTACAAGGTTTCCTTTTCCAAGAGTTTACCCCTCTGGGTGAATCCAAACCATCAAGCCCAGCAAAACAGATAACTTCTGCACAGGAATTGTACCTGCAGTCATCCTGATACTGCTTGCACAGGTCATCATAAAGATTAGTGCAATCATGAATGAAGTTCTTTCAGTATTCGAAGTGCTAAGGATTCTATATGTTCATAGCTAAAGCTGCAGTCAACCTCAATTACCTGGGAGTGAGCCCCATCAAATTCATGGGACTTACTTCTGAGGAGACATGGTAGAATTGCAACACAAGTATATCCTTATGTAGCCAAAATGGCACCATCCCTACACAAGGGAGAAGTTATCTGAGGGCTGGGGTTTTTTTTTTTTTGCAGAAGCGGGGCACCTAATGAAGCAAAACAACAAAACAAAACCCTAAACAACCCTGCTAGGTGTCTGTTGGTGGGAGTGGAAAGAGATATCTCTCTCTCCTCTTTCTGAGATGGAAAAGGATGGAAAGCTGATATGCTGACTGCCTGGAGCGCTGAGCAGAGAGTGCACACCACACTGCAACATTTTGTTGCAGGTCGTCTTATTTAGTAGTGAATCTCTTGTTTCTAGCTTGTCACCACAAGCAAGGCAATGGGCTACTGGTCATTCTTTAAACCCAGGATTTCCGTGTTTTTTATTACTCAGGAGAGGGGTCAAGCTATATTTGGATTGTAGGGGGAGGGCAATCACTAAGCATGCCGTGTGCAGCCCCTTCTTGGGTTTGTCATGTACTGCTGGTGCTGGCTTGGATTTCTTAGTAAAAGTGCATACCTTTCAGGATTTGTTGGGTGTCAATGGGTTTTTAAAAAGAAGGTCCTACATGGGAAAGCAGCTCTACATAATACGGAAGACAGTAAACTAATTCTGTAGCTTTTTCTTGAGACTTTGGACACCTTAGCAATCTTTCCTAGCATTTATAACCACACAGCTTTTGACTTTTCAACAGCACTTATCTACACACATCCCCTATGACAAATTCTTCATGGCAGTGCTGGCCCTTTCTTGTATTGCACTGGGCCTGCGGTGCATCAGACAGGAGGGGACGCCCAGCGAGAGAAACAAAGGAGAGAAAGTGGTGAGAAACAAAGATGGCGGAAGAAACACGGACGACAACATGGGGGGGGGGGAGACTGAGGGAGCTGAAAGGAGGAGGAGGAGGAGGAGGAGGAGGAGGAGGCAGAAGCTGCATCCTCGTGCACACACTTTTCTCCAGTTTGCCATTCTTTCACTTTTTATAGAGAATTCAGATTACATTACAATCTTGCATTTCAGCATTTTCTGTGTTATCTTTCTACCTCTATTTCATATGTGATTGTTGAGCAGGGGATGGAGGTTGTCTGAAAACAATTACAGCACTAACTTCTCAAGTGTGGCCAGGCAAAGGGCATTGAGAGTTTCCAGGGCTCCTGTGTCTTTAATTAAAAGCATCCTGTTAGCTAGTTCAGCCTGTTTTCCGTAGAACAAGACTGGGGGTGGGCGGGCTACTGATTATATTTGCCTTTTTTTTTACTGTTTGAACAACTTTTCAGTAACTGCCACAGACTGATCATTTATTTTCCTTGGTAGTGTAGAATTATTTATCTTCCGTTTATTTTTATTTTTTTTATTTTTTTATATAGCATTAGTGTTATTTCACTGTGTGAAAATGAAAAGATTAAAGAGGAGGAAATCAGCAATGAAAAGTCCTGCACCCCCCGGCTGCTTCTACAATTCACAGGAGCTAGAAGTGACAATATGGCAATTTAGAAACAGTCTTCAATCAGCAATAAAAAGCTTTTAATCAGTCATCCCTGAGCCTTGCTCAATAGGAAGAAATGAAATGAACTGGATCAGCAAACAGCATGTTTTTAATTATCGTTGGCATCAATCTTTGCTAAACGGGACTGACTTCTCGTCGTAGTAACATTTGTTAAATTTGTTTGTCACTTTATCTTGCCCAAGGCAACTCAAAACAATTTGTAACCAACCAAGAAAAACAAGCAAGCAAAACCCATTTAAATGCATTAAAACTAAGCGGGGCAGGAAAAACCCCAGTACATAAGAAACATCCCACCCACTTCTGAAAGGCCATAGATAGTTAAAGGTCAAAGGCCTGGTTGAAGAGGAACGTTTTTGCCTGGCACCTAAAGATGTAGAATGAAGGTGCCAGGCGAGCCTCTCTGGGAGGCTCCTGAGTCGCTTAAGGCTTCATAAGGCATATTATGTGCTGTGTTTCACTACTGTTTTGATATTGCTAAAGGGCTGGCAGAGACAAGGACTACAGAAAGAAAAGAGTGTAAATGTGTGAGTGAGATAAGCTGGAAAATTGGGGCAGCAGCGGACGGGGGACGGGACAGGTTGCATGAGGAGAACAAGTCCTTCCATTGGGTAGTAGCAAACCCTCCAGCATTTCTCTGGTGAATTGTGATAAACATAATGTGCTCATGCACATGTAGCTTATTCTTCCTTTGAAAAAGAAAAGCAGAGGAGCAGGCGATGATTCCTGCTTGTTGATCAGCTGCCAGAGGAAAAAGATTCTGGCTTGGCCTCCGGGAGAATGCAGTACTAAAATGTGGAAACCCCAACTGGCAGTGTGAAGTAACATAGCCCCAAACCCAGTTTGCCATGTCAGTGAGCTGCCCTTATGGCCAAATGTTCCCGTTGCTTGAGCCGAATCCTGGCTTCTCTCCTGTGCCGGTCCCACACCTGCTCTGCGTCAACACCTGCTGCTTTGCTGAGCCCGCCATCCTCCAATTCCAGCTTTGCTTGACAGCAACTCTGGGCGCAATGCTTTGGTGTGCCGGGTGATGTGATGAAAGAAAACAAATGGGTGCTGTCCATGAGTTTTATTAGCCACAGGCCGTGACAACAGAGGCAGCGTGATAAAAGAATAAAACAACAAGGGCAGGGACCCAAATCTGTGTGGAAAGACACAAGACAAGAACTATCCATCAAAGAAAAAGCCTGGTTTTCATCTGATGAAACAGAATAGCAAGCCAAAGATAATATGAGAACATGAAGACTTAACCAATGAAAAACCACAGAGGTCCCAACTTAAAAGGGGAAAAAAAACCCCTCTTGATTTTTTATTTTATTTTTTGTGGGGACGGTCTAAATGACTTTGGGATCTGCTGCTTGTACATATATGTCTCATTTCTACAGTTTTACACTAAAGTGGTACTTCGGGTTAAGAACTTAATTCATTCCAGAGGTCCGTTCTTAACCTGGAACTGTTCTTAACCTGAAGCACCACTTTAGCTAACGGGGCCTTCTGCTGCTGCCGTGTGATTTCTTGTTCTCATCCTGAAGCAAAGTTCTTAACCCGAGGTAATATTTCTGGGTTAGTGGCGTCTGTAACCCGAAGCATCTGTAACCCGAGGTACCACTGTACCTGTACTGGTCACTCAAATCTCTTGTCAGGAGAAAGATAATTTCACAAAGCCCACAAGTGTTAGTAGCTGTGGCCTATGCTATTTTTCTAGAAAATGAGGTGCCTGAACTCACCATGAACACCTCCCTCATTCTCTTAGAATGGCAATGGTGCCACCTGAGAGGAGTCGGAACTGAGTTCCGGCTGAAAAAAGCCCTGGCCATAGGCAATTTCAACACGAGTGGAAAGGGAATGGCACCAGCCGTTCCTAGAATATGTCCCAGGAAACCAGCTGGTGCAAATACAACCTCAAAGTGGGGAATAAGCCAGCAATTCCCTTTATTGTGAATGCCATTTTATTTTGCAGAGCCAAACAAACACACCTCCTTTTGGATCTCTTCCTGATCATGGGATGGGAGTAATTGATTTCTTTTTATGTTTTAATGGATTTTTTCCATTGTTGCTTTTGGAAAATCTGGACCCTTGGTAATACAACTAGATGTGATTTGTTTTGACAACCACATTTTCTTATCTTCTTTTACCGTTTGTTTTTTGTCTGGACACTTAATAGTTATTTCATCATGTGTGCAGCAGCACCAACTTAGCATTGCTGATTTACAATAAACTGTTAATCTTATTTCTGTGACTGAGCTGGGTGGTGTGAGAAAGGGGGCATGCAAGACTCAGGCTCTCACGGGTTGCCAGCTTCGGCCATTGTTACTTGTTCCACAGGCTGTGTACCAAAATAAGGTCCGAGTTCCTCCCCTGGGGGTAAGTGCATTGTGACATGCCACCCCAGGCACACTTACACAGGGTTCATGTTTCCTTTTGGGAATGGGCACAGTGGAGACCGTGGTGTCTTTATCACATATGGTTGATTTACACATATATACAACCTGAACCTACGATGGAGGGGTTCACAGCATCAGCACCCCAAGAGGGTCTTGCTTCTCCCATAGCTGCAGCCTTGGATTCAGGCAGACCTCCACCACTGCTCTCAAACATTGCTCTGCCTCTCCTATTCGCTGCTTTGTTTCTTGGTCACAAAACTCCTATCTCTAGCTCACATAGCTCCCCACTCTCCAAACCCTGGCTTTATCTGTTGAGGGAGGGGCCTCAACTATTTGCTGTCCCACACAAAGTCTCTTTGTGCTTTGTCTTAATGGCTTGTCAACCTGAAGGCTAGCCTGGCTTAATTAACACTTTTAACACTTGCTAAATTGAGGGATTAATCCAGTATCACTCAGTTTAACACCCAAGGGTTTGATTAGATTTTAACACTTTGCTGAATCCAGGGCTTATAGTGGTCTAGCAATTTCCTGGAATCAGAAGCCTTTGATTAAATTCTAACACTTACTGGTTCCAGGAATTTAGAAGTGCACACACACAATTAAGTGCACACACACAATTAATTGCAGCGCCACAGTGCCAAATAATGACAATACACTGAGAGATGCTTGTTTTTAAGTTAAATGCAGCTGGGAAAGAAGGATCATAAGCTACTCAGATAACTTTTGTTATTGGGCACAGCATAAATATTGAACATAGATGAAAACATGGCTTACAGCTTGGGAAGGGACATGATCCATTACTGCCTCCTGCTGATAAGGCTAATAGTTGCTTCATCAGGACTGTGGCGGCTGAAACGGCCGAACCCTCCTCCACATCCACCAGAATCCTAATCCTGCTTCCTACCACCTCACAGCAGTCACTTAAACTTTGTGTGTATGTTTACTGCATTCTTGCAATTAACCTCATGTTTAGTTTGGCCTTCTCCTGGGAATTGGGCCTAGTCCCATTGCATTCAGGCAGCCACATCTCTACCTGCCCCACACCTGATGTAGGGTTGGGGCAGGAGGGCATGCTTTGGGTAAAAGACTTTGTGGGCCAAATTTGAACCCCTGGCAGGCCAGGTTTGGCCCACAGGCTGGAGTTTCCCCACCCCTGTCCTCATGAGAAGACATTGCTGGACTGAGCATCTGCTCACAGTCCTTCTGTACAGGGGTTACTGTGTCTAGAAACTGCTTGCTTGCTTGAACTAATAATTCTCCTTGCCTCTCGCTCCCATCCCGTCTGGCTTGCTCCCACATGACTTTTGGGCTTTGGTCCTGTTGCCACCTGAGATGCTGATTGCCAGTGAGTTCTGATCTAAGCAGAAATTCAGCAGGTGCAGCCTTTCCTGGCATAGAGATAGGACGATACTTATTTATAAAATAGTTATCTATAAAACTGACTGAGCAACTGCTGTGCAGATAGAACAGGGCCCAAACTGGGTGCAATCTCCTTGGCTAACTTTCTGGAGATGGGCCAGCAGGAAATGTACCCGTCTGAGTCCATGCTTCACTGTACACCCAGTTGTGTGTGGTATCAGTAGATGTCAGAAGCACAGGAAGGCAACATCCCTAACCTCTGACATTTCAAAGAAGTTTTCAGAACTTCTGCTGCTTATGGTTTTTAATCTGCATTAATTGCAGAGGAGTTCTGCTTATCCAAGAGGTCTTTGCTTTGATATAGGAGATCCATTTGATAACCTGAGGATAAGCAAATAATATTGCTTAAGAAACTTTGGTGAAAGGGAAAACCACTTCTGGTGAAATTTGTCCAGAACTGAAACAGACTTTAGTTACCCATTGGAAGATTCAAAGCAGTTTTCCCTTTGTTTTGAGAGGATGAGCCTGCAAGAACCTCCCTTAGTCTGGCACAACCATAAAATATATCCAAAAAAAGGCAGAAGAAACTGCTATTCTTGCATGCTAAAACCTTGCATACCAAAAAGTATATTTTCTTCGAAATTTCGAAAGCAACTAGTGTGCTTGCATTTATTTCTAGGCTCAGGGACTCCCAGAATACAGAGTATTTTTTCTCATATTGGGGGTGGGGTGTTCCGTTTGCATCCACTCTCAGTCTGCATTTCTAATGAGAGTATCCTTACTCAAGAGACACCTCGGTCAAAAGAGAGCATGGGGACTTAGCCACCCTTTGGCCTGTGAAAAAGGCTTTTCCCAGGTCAAGTAAATACATTTCTTGGAACTACTGATTATGGAAATAGCCTTAGCATCTGTTGACGTCCTCCAAAGAGATGGATGAGTAAGATTTTGACTCCAGGGTCCAAAAAGCCAAGAACATAACGGTCAGTCTTCAGAACTCTTGAGATTTCCTGCCTATGGAGAAAGGAAAAGAAAGAGAAAAACGGAAAGAAAGGAAAAGGAAAGGAAAGAACACTGTGCAGGGACGGCCTTTTAATAAGGCAATAGAAAGCAGTCCACTTTGGGCTTTGTGGATTGTGCACAACATAGCCATTGCCACTGGAGAAGTGAGGAGAAGTGATGTGGTGGCTTTCAGTGAGATATCGCAAGAGCCCTGCAAAATCTCCTGGACTGCTCACGAGGTCTCACCCAAAGCCACAGCCATGTGAAACAAGGCTTTGGCGTGGAGGTGGGGGCCGGGCACAGATGATGGCACTTTCATATTTTGCATCAGGTGGCAAAGCAGGCCAGGCAGCCCCTGACACTGTGTCATTTGATATACTTTAAAATTAATGAGGCTTTCAAATTACTTGCGCCACCAATACAGGATACAGCTGCTTACATCCCCTTCCTCATTCTCCCACTGGTTCCCTTGCCCACCCTCATCCATTGTCTGAGCTCTATAGATCGCAGAATCATTGTGGTGCCGTGTCTAGTGTGCTTTTCACAAACCAGGGAGATATGGGTTTCATTCCTGTTTTCTATGGAGCTCACTGGGGAAGTTTGGCTCAGTCATAGCCTCTCTCCATCTGCTGCATAGGGCTGTTGTGAGGATAAATAGGGAAGCCTCCATGGGCATCCTGCACTCCTTGTAGGAATAAAAGAAGAGCCCAGCTCAGTGGTACCAAAAGCCCATCTCACTGAAAGCAGCCCTGTTTATGGAAGCTTTTAATGTTTAACAGACCACTGTATTTTAACATTTTGTTGGAAGCCGCCCAGAGTGGCTGGGGAAACCAAGCCAGATGGGCGGGTATAAATAATAATAATAATAATAATAATAATAATAATAGTTAATATAGTATCTTGTATCCTGCAGTGACCAACCAGATGCCTTTGGGAAGCCTGCAAGCGTGACATGGGGTGCTCAGGCTCCCCAGGAACTGGCATTCAGAGATAGCCTGGAAATAGTATAAAGCCACCATGATTAGTTGCTATAACTATCAATAGCCTTTGTTGTTGTTGTTGTTGTTGCTGCTGCTGCTCCAGGAATCTATCTAATCCCCTTTTAAAGCTGTTGACGTGTGTGGCCATCATGACATCTTGCTGTAGCGAGTGGCATGGTTTACTTACAGTATGTGCTGTGAGAAGAAATTTCTTTCTTTTGTTGTCCTGAATCTCCCAACATTCAGCTTTAATGGTGAAGTATATATATATATATATATATATATATATATATATATATATATGAATGATTGCAAAAAAAACATTGTGGAAAATAACTTCCCACCACCACAAGTAGTAATTGTTAGTACCTGTCCGTCTCGAGAGACAATGGAGGGCACCTCCAGGAGTGAGGTCAAACCGCTGCAATAGCAACACCCAAGTGGCGCAAGCCTGAGCAGTGTGTATGGGGGTCCTAGGCTGCCCAGACAACAAGACCCCCCTCTCAGCCTTACTGATGTGGCTGAAAGGAAAGCAGAGCGATATATTTGGCACCAGCTTAGCTGCAGGCGTTGCTGGAAGGAGGCGTACAAGGTGTCATCCACCAGCCTTAGGGACTCCACTATGAATTTGTGTAGGGTTTACTCCTTAGCCTTTTTTCCCTCATGTAGATATTCCACAGGGCAGTGGAGGTTTAGGATCAGAGTATTCCTTCTCCTAGATGGGCTACCTTCCCAAGTGGATGAGCCCCACCTGCCCCTCACTTCCCTCTACAGCATGTGCAGAAACCACCTTCTACTTCTAGGTAGTGGTAGGAGGGAAATGTAAGGGTGCTGAGAGTAGTTAGGAGACCCCTCTCACCATGCTACAATTTCCAGCACCCTTACAAAACTGCACTTCCCAGGACTCTTTGAGAGCCAGTGTGGTGTAGGGGTTAAGAGCGGTAGACTCGTAATCTGGTGAACTGGGTTCGCTTCCCCGCTCCTCCACATGCAGCTGCTGGGTGACCTTGGGCTAGTCCCACTTCTCTGAAGTCTCTCAGCCCCACTCACCTCACAGAGTGTTTGTTGTGGGGGAGGAAGGGAAAGGAGAATGTTAGGGTAGTGATAAAGTGGGATATCAAGTCCAAACTCCTCTTCTTCTTCCAAAACTCTTCTTTGGGGGAAGATACAACTATTAAAATGGAAAAAGAATCTTTTGAAGGCATGGTGTGAATGTGGCCAGTAGACTGGATGATACCCAGGATAAAAGGGGAGATGTCTATGCAATCAGAATAAGGTGAGGAGGAATGGTTTAAAGTCACTTCAACTGAGGGCTCATCCACACTTCCCCTTGCCCTATGCCCAGACAGCACGGATCCAAGAGATTTCCCGCTTGTCCTGTGCTTTCTAGGCACAGGTCAGAGTGGTTTTCCATTTGCCCTGTCACTTTCCCTGGGAAAATCTGCTCTTTGCCACTGAATCGAACAAATGTAGAAGCAACTTGAAGAACTACCTCTCATAGGTTATGACAAATGTACTCAACTGTCTCAGACTAGCATTTATTGAATACAATGGCAGCTACACTTACATATATATTTTTTCATATATCTCTCCCTCCAGAGCCAAGGAGATCAAGACGAAGTTGGGCACACTGCTCCAGAAGCCTGACTCGGCTATTGACTTGATTATCCCTTACCCAGAGAAGCCGGAAAAGCCAGCAAAGGTCCAGAAGTAAGGATATAATAATTGGTCCACTCTATGACCCTGTTTTCTACTGTTTTTGTTTTTCCATTTTGCTGAAGGCCATTTTCTAGCAATGTTACTTTTGAAAGTGTGGTTGGGTGAACTTTTGCAAAACATTTGAAGCTTATTACTCATTATAATACCCTTGTCAGCCTCTTTGAACTCTCAGAAAGGTGGGGCCAAAGTAATGAGGTAGTGGGGAAGTCAGAGGGTAGTGCCTAGGAAGTCAGAGGAAAGTGTATAGACCTTCTTCGTATCATGTTTAGTCTGCTTGCAGAGCATTCCCCTCTTTCTACCCTTCTTACAATGAACAGACCACACAGTGTTAAGTAAGTTTAAAAAGTTATACTTACAAAATGTTCCAAAGGTCAGATTCATGCATTTATCCAAGCAGCAGCAAGGAGAACACAGGCAGAATACCCTTGGAAAATACAGAATGACAGCTTCAAACACATTCTCTAAGCTTGGAGCAAAGCTTAGACATGTCTTCCTTGGTTAGTTACATATTGCAGAAAGGGAACAGGAACAGAAGGCTTCACGTCCTCCCTCTTCAGCAAAGAGGAAGTATGATCTAGCTGAGTCTAGGAATCTAACTCTGTGGTGTTAACCCCTTCATGTACTAACTAGCATCTTGCATAGCTATGTTTGACAGCAATTTCCCAAAGTGTGCCTAATTTCATGAGGATGAGTGCAGCCTGAAGGGATAGGTGGAGGGCAGGAGAGGGAAAAACAGGGAGATAGCCAAAATTGACAAAGTGATGGAACCGGTAGCAAGCCTGGGGAGAAGCTCTCTAGAAGCTTCTGGCACCAGTGAATTCGTCTTTGCCAGCAGGCTGATGAACAAGGAGGGAAAGAGAAAGAAAAGTGGGTGGCAGAAAGACCAGGGAGAAACGGAGAAAGAGAAAAGGCTACTTTGGTCTCTTTGCTACCCAGCACTGGCTTCCTACCCTTTCTATAGAGCCAGGCCCAGGGCATTAAGATCTAAGCCAGTGGGACAAATCCAGTTGAAGCTCAGGCCCAGCAAGGGTTTTAATCTGGAGTTTTCTGGTCTAAATCCACCATTTCAGCCATAATGGTACGCTGACTCTTACCTCCCTCTCACTACCACATATAGTGGGAAAGGCAGTTCAGAAAGTAACAACACACATTTTCACTTCACTTACGACAGTGGGTTTGTCTGTCTGTTTAAAGCAGTTATAGGCCACCTTTCCAAAGTTCTCTCAAGGTGGAGTTCAGCTGAAACAATATAATGTTAAATTTTTAAAATGACAAAATCCAAAGGTAAGCAACACTTTAAAATAAAACGAGTCAACATCAAATAGCACAAACCACAGCAGCCAGTTAGCAGTGCATCCAGTGAAAGCACATGACTTAAAAGTCACTTGGAGCAAATAGATCTTCAAAGCATTTTGCAACAACAAGACTGAAGGGGTCAAGCCAACTATATACCCCTTGAGAGGGAATTCCAGAGTCGAGCCACCACTGAAAAGTCCCTGTCCTTCAACCAATCTTAGGCAGGCCAACAGTCTGGGTCTCCCGTGCCGAACTGAAGGCACAGGCAGGTTTGTACAGGTGTAAAGCTGTAAACGTGGTCTTTCAGAACACAACTCCATCCAGGATCAACTGAAGACTTAGTACCTCTTTCTTCATCTTAGTTGCCCTTCCATCCCAAAACGTCCTCTAGACACCTGTCTGGGAGTTCCACAGCCTTCCTGGGATTTATAGGTGGAAAACAGAGGTAGAGCAGTCTGTCACCAGAATCCTGATGACACTGCACATTAATACAGGCATTAACAGAGCTTAGAAATAAGTGTTTAAACAGGAAATTAAATGCCCCTGTGATATATGAGGGAATTAAACTTCAGTTTACAAAAGGGGAAATAAAATCAGCTTGAAAGTTGATCCCATGGCTTTCACAGCTTGTCAAAGGGCTGTGAGTCGATATATTGATTGCCTGTCAGTTAATAAAACTTCAGATGTATATTAGCAGGTTTAGAAGAATAAGAGTTTTATAGGAAGTGTGCAAGGAAAAACCATAGTTAATGGTATCAACTGCTGGGAGGCATCTTGGTGGATGGCTCCATTTATGTTTGCCTTGGATCCCTGTGGGCACTACTGCCTGCTGATCCACAGCATTAATCACTGTCAGTTTTATCTGAAGGAAAACAGTCTCCCATCTGTACTGAAGATAAATCAGTTCCAGGAATTGGAACAAAATGAACCCCAGTAGCATCTGCTTTTGTTACGGAGAAGGGTGGCCTCAGTGGGAGAAGGGAAACTACTGTATATTGGCTTTTTGGCCCTGAATCTGTTTCCAATTACTTCTAACGAAGGTTCTGCAGATAGACTGATCTGAAGATTGCATTGTGATCTGCATGGCTGTTATTGGCCTAGTTTGAACAATCATTACAGACAGAAATTAGATAGATTGTGCACTTTTCCTTTTCAAAGACATTAAGAACAAATTAGGCGATGTGCTTCATCTTGTCCTGATAATGGAAACAGCAGTCTCATCTTGTCAGCCAGCGGCTCTTCTGAGTTTCTGGAAGGAGGAAAGCATTCTGTTTTCTATTATTCCTACTGGAATAAAAGTTTGCTTATTTTTACTATTTGCTATTTTTAATTTTTGATTTTGTGAATCATGCAGAAACCCCCCCCCCATTAATTACTGCCAAAGTAGATGCATGCTTAAATACACAGACACAGACAGGCAGCTGCATAGCTTGTTTTTCTGTAGCTGTCCGGGGAGCCTGATTCTCACTGTGAAGGCAGCGCGTGGGAAGCAGAAGCTTATCTCTCCAGATCAGAATGGAGCCTTAGGGTGCTTCCAGATGGAGGTCTATTGTGGAATCAGTACTGCCCCTATGCAGCATTCACACAACATCAAAATGTCAACTTATACTTTTTTTTACATTTTATTTGGATTTCTTCTTACTGTGAAAAACCAGTTAGATAAAAATCACCCATCATTTCTCTGCAGTCACTGCTAGTGTGTGGAAGCTGCATTTTAGGGGTTGGCAATTTGGTGTGTGTGTGTGTGTGTGTGTGTGAGAGAGAGAGAGAGAGAGAGAGAGAGAGAGAGAGGGAAGATTTATCAGTGGATGGTCCCTGCTATCATACATTGGCAGCTGGTGCCCATGGAGCCTGGCAGGGGTGCTAAGAAGTCTTGCCCAGTTGTTCTGGTTTTCTTCCCAGCCTTCTTGCTTGCAAAGACGTGGTGAATACTTAAGCACTGCAGTTGTCCTAAGACTAGGGCTTAGCCACACTTAGCCTTTGCTCTTCTCTTTCCAGGCAGAGGTCCACTCTTTAGAGCTCTGTGTCTGAGCATGGGGGGTTTTTGTTTGTTTTTGTTTGCCCCAGAGCTTTCCTCTTTAAAACCAGCTCTTTGTTGATTCTGATTTATCATCAAAGAGTGGGTTTTCCAGGGAAAAGCAGCAGGGGCATAAAGTGTGGGTGAACCCACAGTTGCTTTTCTGCTGGGAGTTGCGTACCTCTGTCTTTCCTCATACTCTCCCTATGCAATTTTTTTTGAAGTTTTATTAATATATAACACCTAACCCTAAATTCCGTGGTTCAGAATTGCTGTCATAATTTCTAGTGTGGGTTCATGCCAAAGAACCCACATTATTCAGAAGTAAGACCCACTGAATTCTACTGGGAATGCCCTCAGACAAGTATTATATAGGATTGCAGTCTGAATTGGTAAGTCTTAACCAACAGTCCCACAGGGCTGTTTCCAAGGGCCCTCATGACTTTACACTGCAATCAAATAAACAGTTAAGACCAGGATTTCACCATCTCAAGCCTTGGGGGAAGCATGTGCTTTCTGAAGGAAAAATCAAAAGGCACATTCACCTGAATCTTCTTTGGGGTTGGGTGGATGGAGTGCTTCACTTCATGCAATCTCATTGCCACCCACATGCAGGGTCCTTCAACCAGCTCTTGTCTCCACCAGTTGGCATGCAATGCCCAACTGCCTTCTCAAGCTGAATGTGAAGGGTGCTCTGCATAAAAGCTACCTGCCATTTTCTTTGGCTGCTGCCTCAACTCCTGAATGTGTCCTTCAGTGTGAGTGGGGGCTGCAGTGGTCTGCACAGGCCCAACAGATGCTTCCCTCTTTTCCCAGTGGGATGTTGACAGAGATTGTTATGGAGTGCCCTGCTTGAAGTCTGGGCGAGAGCTGTGGATGGACATGTGTGAAATTTGCAAACTCTCTTGCTCTGGAGAAGCATAGAGACATCTGTACAAACAGGAGTTGTGTTCCCTCTCCCTCCCACTTCTTCCACTCCTGAAATTAGGCTACTTTCACTCCAAATAGCCATGATTTCCTCTGCCCTCCTCCACACACCGGACAATGCTGTTTATCTTTTTAAAGAAATATCTTTTTCAAGCATCTTGCAAGTTTATGCATCTTGGTGTTTCTTTGCTACCTTTATATAGAAAAAAATACACACTTCATTTTTTAAAAAAAACCTGAAAAGTGAATGTGAGGAGGTGCCTTTATGAGCTCAATCCTACAGGGAAATGTGTGTATCTGACCAAACCAGGGATAATGCAGCTTGATTACATCTGTGTCCACCCTGGTGGGAGGCCTAACAGTATTTACCTTTATACAATTAAGAGTGCTTTACAAATATACTACTATGCTGACTATGAGGTGGTTGCCAACTGAAGCTGAGAGAGACAGGAAAAAGCAGGGAGGAGAGAGAATGTAACTGACTGACTTATTTGCCCAGGCTACACATTTAATCCATGGCAGAAGTGGCAACCCAGAACTCATATTTATTTGGTCTGGAATTCCCAGATCCATGTCCAGCCTCCAGCTCTCCATTCATGGACCAACCACACTGGTGGTTGTTTGCCTTGGAATACTCTAGATATGCATCACCTCTCAGAACCAGGCAGGTTTATGCCACAGTGGCCTCGCTCCTCTTCTTCTCCCTCCCTCTTGAGTGATGTTGCCAGCTTGCACCCCCCACACCCCATACATGGCCGATGTTGCTTTTGTCTTAAACTAATCACTGAGGGCTTGTCCACACTTCCGCTTGTCCGGTGCCCAGAAAGCACAGATTTGATCGGTTTTCCCTTTGCCGGGGAAAACCTGCTCTTTAGCTTTAAATCAGAACAAACACAATATTTGCTCCAATTGAGCGCTAAAGTGTGGTTTTCTCCAGGGGAAAGCAGTGAGACAATAAGAAGTGTCGATAAACTCTTAATTTCAAGCCCTGAAGGGTAAAATCAGATCGTTATTATCTATGAAGAGTAAAATCAGATCATTATTATCCATTTCATTGCTGTGAGAACCCTCTGGCATGTATTGCCTGAGACAAAGGGGGTCATTGACTACATCCCTTAGGAGGGCGTGGGAACTGATGTTGGATCTCTGGGAGGAACAGAAGCAGACCCCAAAGCCACAGCCAGAGCAGGGGAAAGAGTTCAGCCTTCAGAGAACTTTTGAGAATGAATGAATGAATACTCAAGGGATACGGATGGAGATGGATCATTCCCCACTCTGCTCCCGGCTGTTTCTGCCTAGTTCCACACAAAATAAACTGGGGATGTTAAAAATGGAACATTGGAAGCAATGTAGGAGCCCTTCAAGGCATCAGGGAAGAACTGTGTGTTATACTCAAGACAGGACTATGGCCCAATACTGCTACCCATGTAGAATTCCTTCTCCCTCGCTCATAGAATGTGGGATCATAAAGCGCCTTTCCCCAAGCCTCACTCCAGCACACTGTCTGCCACGAGAGGGAAAATGTATGGTGTGATTGTCATGGTTTTGCTCCATAACGATCCAGAGCAAGTCACAACAATAGTTAGCAGAGTAAGAATGTTTAAACTCGATGCAGGATTCCAAAAAAGATTCAGACACAATCAGCTCCATCCAGTATTATTTACTGAAGGCAAATGAGCATAACAGTCACAAATCAAGTTGCAGCAAAACCTTAACTTATACTTACAATAAGCATAGCTGTCAACGTTTCCCATTTTTAAAGGGAAATTCCCTTATTCTGAATAGGATTCCTCACAAGAAAAGGGAAAAGTTGACAGCTATGACAATGACACTAAAAACTTAGCACTTAAATATGCTATACTGTATACAGATTACCACCAAGGAACAAAGTAGAGAGAACCAAGAAGGAAAAAGAGAAAGTGAAACCAGGTTCTTTTGTTCTTATAGGCAGAATGACCTTGGGAGAGAAAGAGAACAGGACCAGTTTAAAGCAGCTTAATTTAGGGTTGCCATATTTCAAACTGTGAAAATCTGGATGGAAAGTTAAGCTTTGTTTTTGGTTGTTGAGCTTTTCGGGCAAATTCACAAAAAAAGAAGTCTTTGAGCTATTTTTAAGGAAGATCGCCAAAAACACTGCTGACATGCCATACGTCCGGATTTTCCTGGACCTTTTAGCAATTTCTGCCTGGACACTGCTTCTGACTGCAGTACTCCAGATATGTCCAGGAAAGTCAGGACGTATGGCAGCCAGTGGTGGGAATCTGTAGGACTCCATTGTCCCTGTTGGCCATGCTGGCTGAGATGGATGGGAGTTGGTACCTCATGTTTGCAGCATCACTCAAACCTGGAGCCTGAGGAAGTATGGAGTCTGTGCACCCATAGGCTTTACCTAATTCCAAATCTCATTCCCCAGGTCTGTTTTTTACATACGTAAACAAACAAACAAACAAACAAACAAACAAACAAGAGAACGGAGATGTTAGCCCAGATCTCCATTGTCTCATCTAGTTGAACCATGAGCTACAAACCAATAAGTCCTTAGTTTGACTCTCCCTTCAGGCATAAACTCAGTTGCTGAACTTATGCGAGTCACTACTCATCTTGCGCATCAATCTGCTCATATATCATATAAGGATGATAACATCAATCTTCCTTCCAGGGCTGTAGTTAAATTATGTGTGTGAAGTGCTTTGAACAAGAATAAAGTCAAAATGCTAAGTGATTATTCTCAATCCTTCTCCACTGTGATGCCTTCAAACACCGACAAATTCTTTCTGCGATATTTTACCAGTGACTGTTTTCACTGACTTTAATGGGTGTGCCTAAATATCTCCCCCTCTCATCTTTTCAGACCATCACCAGAGGAGGCTTGGCTGTGGCGCAACTCTCTGGAGAAACTCCTGCAAAATCCATGTGAGTTTGCTGTGGGATCTCCCACTACTGGGAGCACCTATTCCAGCAAAGTTAGAGTCCTTGCAGGTTGTGAGTGTGAGCAGGTTAAATCATTCCTTGGGAATGACAAGGTAGAAGTGCAATCATAAGTATTTAATAATAATGAAACTACACAAGGGCTTTGGATGAAAACTGAATGGTACTGTGCCACAAACTAGAGACACAGAGGAATCCAGATATACAGGTAATAAAGGTGTTGGTAGTAAGGCAATATGACAGAGGGGAAAACCCAGTATGCTTCAAGCAATTCATAGGCATGTGACATTTGCAGAAGTTGAATTGCAGCCACAGGTTAGTTAGAGCAATTAGACTCTTAAGGACATAGTGATTTAAATGCCATTGTCTCCATTCATAAGGAGCACAACAAATTCCTCCCTCTCCCATATAGCTAACCTTCATGTGAACTGGGGCTTCTGAGTCTAATAGTCCCTTAGTATGGCTTGCTAGAATCCTGCTACATTATCCTCCTCCAAAGACTACTTATTATTATGTGATAGATTCAAACAAGAGAACTGGAATAAGAAGTTGGGGTAGAAATAGATCGTTTTGATATAATTTGTTTTGTTTTTTTTAAAAAATAATTTTTATTCACAGGCCAATCAAATCACATTACTTCCAAATCACATTAGTTCCAAATTATACAGCCAGATTTTTAAATTTTGGTGGGGGTACCCATACCTCAAGCTCTGAACGGGAGTCCAAACATCACTTATATTGCTGCTTTAATTAAACAGTTCTATCCAGTTCTTTCCAGATAGTCTCTTTATTACTTTCTTCATCTTCTTGTTGTTATCATATATTCCTTTCTTTGCGATCTCTGATAGTCTTCACAAGCGGGTTGGAAACAGACATCCTCTGTGTGGGTTTTACACTCTCCAAAGATCATATCACTTAGGGACAGCCATTCCACACTTCCATAAAAAATTTATCTTCGGTCTGTCCTTTAATTTTCTCAGGCTTGCCAAGTATATCAGGAGGGCTCTGTCAGGTTAAGATCACATTCCAATCATCATTCACATTCTGATGATCCTGATCCCCCCCCCCTGTCTTTCTTAGACAAGCCTGTCTTAGTGAGACGCCATTTAAAACTGTGTCATAAAATTTTCCTCCGTTCTCCGTTGTTTACCAGTCATCTCTTTAATCTATAATCCACTCCACACAGTTCTTGAATTCCTGCTTGTGATTAATAAAATGCAACAATCTTCTTTCTGGGCTGGAGGGTTATTAATATTCACATAAGGCAAAGAAAAGTTACGTTTTTTCCTCCCCCCCCCTTCTGTTTCACTCCAAACATACCAGTCTCTTAATGGTGGTTCATCACTTGATTTATTTGTCCCATCCGTCGCTCCAGTCACAGAGATCCATTAATCAGCAACCTTATCTCCCGAACTTTGCTTGATGTATGTGCTTTAGCTTCTTTCCAATTATATGTTTCCAATTATATTTTCGAGCTAAAGCGAACCAGCACGCGCTGATTGGAGACAGCGTCAGGAAGCACCGACCTCATCGAGGGCTTGTGCCAAGTGACCGACACCCCCTTCTTTCGAATCCGGGGGTGCGTTATGGACACTGCTGGCAAGGCAGTCCCCCCCATCTCCTTGGGGGGGCAGGAAGGCTGCATACTTCCCATAGCAGCCTCTTAATTACCTCGTATGGGTCGGAGAGATGTTATTGTCGGCCATCTTCCAATGCGCCACCTGGTGGCCCCCCGTTCTGATATAATTTGTAGGTCCGATGGAAGAAAAGCGATACAGATGTTGAATAGAGGAATCTGCATTTTCCATGTCGGAAGCCAATGTTCTCTCTTATTTGAAAGGATTATGGTGAATCCATTATTTTAAATGATGACCTTTCCCCAATTTTTCTTTGTGCAGACGGGCTTGCTAGCTTCAGGACCTTCCTCCAATCTGAGTTCAGCGAGGAGAACATTGAGTTCTGGATTGCTTGTGAAGACTATAAGAAAATCAAGGTGCCTGCTAAAATGGCTGAAAAGGCCAAGAAGATCTATGAGGAATTTATCCAAAGTGAGGCTCCCAAAGAGGTCAGTTATTTGCATTGAAAGGAGTTCATAAATTTGCTGTATGCTAAGAGTTGTCTCTGGTGGAATGATCTTACGATATTATCCCCCAAATCACGAGACAATTCTCTAAACTATCCCCTGACTGTATATCATAATGATTTGCTGTTGCAGTGACAGTTACAGCATTGCTTCCCGGTCATCATGCAATATACTTGGGAACTCTACTTTTACACCTTTAATTTTTTTAAAAATTGAATATCTACCATAAATTAAAGTTGTAGTAGAACTTTGCTCTAATTCAAAGCCTGCTAATTTCAACAGGCTCTGCCAACATTTTCAAATTAAAATTTGTATCCTTTGAAATTTTACATCTGCCACATACAGCCCACAACCAAAACTCATGTACTTATTCTAGGGAAGAGCCAAGAGCTCAATGCTCGGGTCCAATTCCTGGCATCCTCTGCTAAAAGGATCTCATGTGGCAGGGTTCAGAAAATGCTCCACCTGAAAGTCCAAAAGACTGACTCAGAATGTGGTAGCTTCATAACTGATATTTGTAGCAAAAATTCACAATCTACATTGCAAATAAATTCAAATATTTAATTATTTTTGCATTTGTGTTCTAGATGTTCACTGCATTATGGCCCAGATTAATTTCTGATATTCCTGGTTTCATGTTTGCCATTGTTACAAACATTTACCGTATTTTTCGCTCTATAACATGCACCCGACCATAATACGCACGTAGATTTTAGAGGAGGAAAATCCATAGGCATGCCACCCATAGGCATTTCCTCCATAACACGCACAGACATTTCCCCTTACTTTCTAGGAGGAAAAAAGTGAGTGTTATGGTGCAAAAAAATATGGTATTTATCTATCTATTTATTTATTTATAATTTGCACCCCACCCATCTGACTAGTTTGCATGGGAGAGGCATGTTGGCAATTCTGCCATAAATCCAAGTGCAAAACATATTTTTAGTAGCTCCCTTGCATTAAATAACACTGTGAAGGAACAGGATTGGTTCAATTTCCACAGATAATCACTTCCCCCCTCCTTCTTACCTAGGTGAACATTGACCATTTCACCAAATCTGTGACCATGAAGAACCTGGTGGAGCCATCTGTGAGCACTTTTGACCTGGCCCAGAAGAGAATCTTCATGCTGATGGAGAAGGATTCTCTGCCCAGATTTGTGCGTTCCAACATATATCAGGAATTAGTAAAGTAGCAACGTGGCAGAGCTGTGCGGGGAACTGCTACTCCCACCCCAAACAGCGCTGTTACTTCCTTACTCCTGTTATCAGTAGCCAGCGTTTGCTAGTCATCTGCGTAGTTGTTTTGCTTTATATATACAGTATATATATATTTCAAGCTTCTAGAGTTCAAAGGCTGTGTTGTTAAAAGTCTTGCTCACACTGTTTTGGTCTCTCTGCTGTTCCAGATGATTTCATATTACAATTTCTGAAATTTCTGTTCTTCTCCATGAATATCACTGTTACGAAAAAAAGAAAGTAAAAGTAATTAGATGGGCACACCTACCTAAAATACAGCAGATGTCAACTGTTGAAACCTATGCTACTTGTATTTATTATCCCATCACCTATCCATCGCATGTCTGTGTCTAATCAAAGATAAGGAGGTTGTGGGGTCTTGAACTGGTGCATTGGGACCCACTGGTGACTTGCAGCTGGACCTATTGGTTGGTAGCAGCAGCAATACCACCATGAAAATATATGGTGTGACAATAAAAAGTGGGTCTCCAATTGCCTGCTTGGGCTAAGGGTGGGTCCCTGGTCTGAAAAGGTTGAGGACTATTACTATAGAAAACAGGTTTTGACCTGCATAGGTCATCCTGTCATTTGTAGTAGCCATGAGGATACAGCAGGACTCAGCTATATAAGGAAGATAAGAAAGGAAAAGGCTGCGCATCAGCCCACAAAAATAACATTCACTCTCTTGTGCCTTTTTACTTATTTCTTTCACTGAGATCATATTCACATACTCCCACGTCAAAAGTTTGTTATCCACTAGGTCATTTTATTACTGCAATTTCATCCAGGGAATGTTATTCAGATATATTGTTATCGGGTGAGAGCAGGCACTTAGCATGCCTCAGTAAACCAAACAAGGAATATGACAGAAAATTACAGCTCTTTGTCAATTAAGGGAGCATTCAAACACGCATTTGCCACATGAAACTGATGGTATAAAAACTCATGATTGCAATAATTATCTATATGTTGACATGGGGATGTGGGAATTAGGCAGGAAAGCCAAGAGGTTTGTCAAGCTTCTTGTGGGTGACATGCAGCTTGGTGGATCATAAGTTACACCAAAGCCTGCTCTACTATGAAGAAGGCTGAAGAGAAAGTGATAGTTTTTTGGTCAGCAACTGGTGTCACTCCAGTATGTTCTGCTGGAGTTGAGGGAAGGGATGTGCAATTATATCATTTTCAAAATACCCACCCCAAGTAGCAGTTACTAAAACACACTAAAACTCTTGGAAATGGAGGCAAAGAGGTAAATAAATCTCACCGTTCCAGCCTAAACAGTGTGGCTTGTTTTTAGCAACCCAGGCCTCTTATTTACTTCCATTTCTAAGTTAGCTTTAGTGAGGTTATAATAACTGTAATGGACCTACATAATTCCCAGTGTCAGTGCACAGCCCATGCGCAGGAGCATATGTAATGTTCCAGAAGTATTCTTTTCTGAATTGTGATGAAAATACCTGTAGCAAAGTCTTGTCTTTTCATTCTCTCGGGGGCAGGCTTGCCAAAGCGGTATTTCAGCCTAAACATTTAACCTCAAAATTAGTGTTACTTGTATTCTAATTATAAGCTATCTAGATTTTTGCTTTCTGTGAACTGCATGGAAATAGAAAGGCATCTGAACCCAAATGAAGAGAAAAGGTAGCCGTGCTAAGCACCATCTTGCAATCCCAGCCTGTGGATGCATAGCTGGGCAGATACCCTGAGTGAGTCAGCTATACAGCATGCGAGAACTACCCTAAATCCAGCTTCCCATCCCAGACACTGGCAGGGGCGAAACTAGGCTTTATTTCACCTGGGTCAAAGACCCAGTTTCTCACACACACACACACACACACACACACACACACGCACACACACACACACAAACACACACAGGCTGGGAGCCTCAATGGTGCCTCTGGAGGCTTCACCCAGGGCAAAAAAACCCAGCTAGCTCCCCCCCCCCCCCCCGCTCTGTGAACAGCTATCTGTGCTATTCAAAATATGTGATCAGGGCTACAGGCATAAGCACACACATACGTTGGTGTGAAATTAACAACAGACATATTGTGCCAACTTGCCTGGGTGTGCAAACACGCCTGTTTCATATAGTTTTTCCATTGCCCAGACACAGGTATTGAAATATTGCAAGCTTATCCATAACATGTTTTCTTCCTTTATCTGTTGAACTACTTCAAATACAAGGAAAGTTTGAATTTTTAAAGAAAAGAGTTAGAATCATAGAATCATAGAGTTGGAATAGACCACAAGGGCCATCAAGTCCAACCCCCTGCCAAGCAGGAAACAATGTGAATGTGCCTCTGATTTTTTTTTCTTTGAAGGTTTCGCAAATGAAAATTATTTGTTTAATAGTTTTGTTAGAGTGATTCCAGAGGGATCTTTTTGTGGAGTAAGTGCTGCTCCTGCAATGCATGTTTTTTCACAGCATCCACACAATGCTGTTGACATCAAAATACCATCTCATTTCCCCCCGCATTTAATCCAGATTCACCTTTTCCCACATAAAACCCATTTTTTAGAACCCCTTCTGCCACTGACCAGTTCATGATATCGCTTCTCGGCCTTTTGCCTGAGATCAAGTGTGTGTAGATATCTAGAGGACTCATTTGCCCCTTATTTGTTGAAAACTCTGAGATCTGGGCAATTGTCAAGATGGGGGAATTAATCCTAAATGCTAAAAAGAAAAAGAAAAAAGAAGGCACAATAAAAAGCAGGCTGCCAAACCCTTTTAAGTTCAAGATGAAAAGAAAATATAAAATTTAGACAGCTCTAGCAGGAGGATAGATTGCTTTTCTGTGTAAAGATTTGGTTCATTACATTATTGTTGGTCAGACTCCACAGGACAGACCTAATTGGGTCACTAATATTCTATTTCAAGGTAAGGTTAGAACCATTTCCCACTGAATGTACATGGCCACTCCACTACTTAAACCAGCCTTGGCCAAAGAAAATATCTTATTACAGCTTGCCTGTCATGAAGAAAGTCTTTGGTCTCACTCCAATTTCAAGATGTGCTGACATCCTATGAACAGATGCTCATTTCTAGCCAGCCCTAACTCCGTCTTTTTCCTGGTAGCAGTAAGTCACTAGTTATGTCCCTTTACAGACAGGGTAGAACGTCCTGTGGGATTAGGCACCAATCCAATCCTATTATTTCTATACGGATACAGAAGGGGGAAGCAAAGTAATGACTGCAATGTATGAAGTGTGTATAAGCAACCTTAATAAACAGAGTTATCCTTTCTAAGGGCTTGACTTAAAGTTTCAGGGTTTTAGCCCCATTCACCAGGTCTTCTAGGCGAAAAGGCTAAAATCTCGGAGTCAGGTATAAGAACACGCTTTTTTTTTGGCCTTTTGTTCCACCCTCCATATGCATCAGGCTCCAGGCACAGCCAGTCTCCACCTGCTGCCTCACCAAGTGCAGTCATTCAACTTCATCTGGCACCACTAGGCTTTGTGGCCACCATGTTCCTTTCCTCTCACCTGCCATGTCTGGAGTGTAATTGTCTGAGGGTCAGGGCTGCCTGACCATCAAGCCCAGCAAGGATGGCTAACGGCCAGAGGTGCCAGAGGTTGTAGTTCAGCAACCTCTGGAGGGCCAAAGGTTTCCACACACCCGCTTTACAACCTATTTCATTACAATGCACTTAAATAGCTTTACATAGACTACGAATAAGTGCTGGACTAGAACCAGCATTCCCAGTTTTCTTCAATTTCTCAATAAACAAATTATTTTCTTCAAAATTATAAAGACATACGATGCAGTCTTTAAAGAAAAAAAGTCATCATGAAAGGAAGTTCCAGGCAATAACTAATCTAAGTTGGTTAAATAATCTTATTTTCCTGGGAAATGATAGGACAATGAGTGATTAATCAACCTTGGTTTTAGCCCATGCTTTGATGCGATCCATCAGTGGCGATCCCTGATGTTACATGCACTTGTTTGTGGGGAACTATGTGGGAAAGGCTGACTAATCCCCAGGGACCATTTTTGGGAACACACATTTCCTTGAGATGCTGATAACAGAACAAGCTGTCAAGATTCCTCTCCCCCTAGGGGCAGATTTTCCAGCCCATGATGTATGAGGCAGCCTGCTGAACCTGTTCTGTTTCTCTCCCTCTGAAATTATAAAGAGCTTGTCAACATGTTTAAACTAGCAGCCTCCTCTCTTGGGTCCTGGAAAGAGAGCTTAACAAGACAGCATGTGACATACAATGAAATAAACAAAGGCTTGACAAACCTGTTTTCAGAAGAGTAAGAAAAATAACTTCTAAAAATTGTTTCCATGCTGAAAATATAAAAATATAGCACATGGCTGAAGGGTCAGGCTTCCCAGGAGAAAGAAAACAAATCAATTTGTTTTTATTGTTTAGCCTCAGGCAAACATCTAAAGAACCATTACAGCGTGAGAATGGGGATTTTATGCTCCCCCCCCCCGATTTCTCAGTATAGACCTGGTTCACACATCAATTTAAGCCATAATTAAAAACAAATTATGGTCTGTGAACAAGCAGCATGCTTGCACACACTACTGAAAACTTCTTATTGTACTCCTCTGCTTCTCTCTCCTTGCTGGGAAAGAAGCAAGAGATTAAGTTGTCATGTTTCTCTTGCAACAAACCATGTGCATTAGCCAAGGTTTGCTCTTGGCTTACTGCTCATGGTTTGTTTAGATGAAACAAACCATAAGCATTAGGGAGCAATTTTATCAGGATTGCAGTGCATTCTGGGTGACTTGGAGAATACCTGAATCAGTTGTGGTATGGCGGATTCTGTGCAAGTTCCCACACCCCTGTCACTTTCCCGTCCCAAGCAGAAAACAGTGATTTCAGAATTGGATCAGGGATGGTTGAGCCCAGTAGCTTCATCAAAGGAAGAATTTAGTCAGTCTGTGATAGAGAAGCACTTAGAGCCCAATGGATGCTCAAGGCAAGTGCTTCTCAACATCATCAAAACGTGTCTTGTAAGATGCCTCTAAATGATCCAATATTTTAAAAAATTATTATGACATCTTCATCTTGTCCCTCTTTGAGTCCATATTACCCTCCCAAATCCTCCCAAATAAGTGTTGTCTCCCAAATATTTGTGGGGCAGATTAGGCTGAAAAAGAGTTTCTGGTCCAAGGCTGCCAGGTGAGTTCACCGGTTGACTGGTTTCCAGAATCCACAGCCCAATAAGGAATGTGACAAGAAAATGCCTTGGAAAGCATGAAAGAACAATTGCTTGACAAAACATTGTATAACCTTCGCACAAGCAAATCAAAATGAATGTTCAGAAAACAGATTGTGTCATCTAACCTCCCTACAAACTTTATTCAAACAAATCAGGTTGAATGCTCAGGTAGTCTGGAAGCGACCTCAGATTCAAGGCCTCAGACCTGAACCTATAATCTTGTGAAATCAATGAAGACCCTCAAGATGCTTTCTTTGTGAAATGGCAGGCCATCTGTTTCTCTAAACATCTATAGGTGTTAAATGTAAAGAAAAACATTTGCCTAATGATCAGTTATGTAGAATGTCATCAGGTGACCCATTCTCTTTCTAGCACCTGGGTTTTCCATATTCAATACCAACCATGCTTTAGTTTTAGCTTTTAAAAATATTTTTAAATTATTTTTTTTAAAAAACAACAACATATTTTTTAAAAGCTGAGATTAACATGATTGGTCTCTCCTTTTGAGCATGTTCATATCTTGCCATATCAGTAGTTATCCATTGACTTGATTAGACCAATTAAAATACTGAACACCCATTTTGCACAGCATCATTGCCCTGGACAGCACAGGAAGTCCTCAGAAACCAAAGCAAGAACTCTGGCACTGTGTATTTGCATTTATTACCCACCTTAGGGGGCTTACCTTGAATTGCTTGAATTGCTGTTCTTCAGCGCTGCCACAACAAATGCAAAAAGTAATCTCCTTTTAGGCACATTTTTAACAATGTGCCTGTGAAGCCAGATTGTTATAAGCCACTTCATACCACAGAAGCCTTGGCAGAAGCCCAGAATTTCTAATAAGGTGCAGTTGAGCAGCATCCTCTATTTCATAGAATCATAGAATCATAGAGTTGGAAGAGACCACAAGGGCCATCGAGTCCAACCCCCTGCCAAGCAGGAAACACCATCAGAGCACTCCTGACATATGGTTGTCAAGCCTCTGCTTAATCTTTCTGGTATGCAAATCAGTTGGAGGGAAGATGCAATTAAAAACAAACCAACAAAATCACCAACTTTTGGGGAGCCTTCTACAGAGATGTTTGGGTTGTGATAGCTTTATTTTCAGTTAAGTTAGATTTTTATCCTACTTTTCTCATGTTATTGGTGATATCATTATATTTATCCATTATTATCTACAGGCTTATACAATATATAAAAATTATGGGCAAATTCCACTTAGAACTTCTCCTCATTGGAATGAATGTGATTTACAGTCTCCTGAGACTTGTTTTCATTTCACTGGGAGATGTTCCTGTTGGATTTTTCATATTCATATATTCACCTATATATTTCTAGAATGCTGTAATTTGTGTTTTGGATTGTGTTTTGGATTGCACATAGACTGAACGACTGCAAATTTAAAGATGACTAGTTAAAACTATTTACTCAGCTTTTTATCCAGTATGAAATAAAGTGTCCCTGAGTGTTCTCTGTGACCTTCCTTCTTTTGCGCAGTTCTGTTAGGCAAATGCCTTTTGGAATGTTAGCACCTGCACCACCCACAGAACACCTGTCTGGTATATGGTGACTCTTTGCAAGATCACGGGACTCAAGACTTCACTTTCTCCGGAGCCTCCAAGTTTCAGATTTGTGGCAAGGGAGTTGTGCATAAATCACTCACCTCTATAAATAGGGTTGTTTTGTGACTTTCCCATTTCTCTTCTTGTGGCTATGATTGCGCTAGATTCTCACACAGGATCGTGCTCAGTTTAGTGAAGGGCCGTGGCACTCCAGATACAGGTAAGGCTACAACTCCCATCATTCTTACCATTGCCCATGCTGACTGATGGGAGTTGTAGTCCAACACATCTTGAAGGCCACAGGTTTCTCATCCTTGGCTTAGTGCAAGATTTCAGACTCACAAATTTAATTTTTTTATGCTGCTTACACTACTTATCATAGATATAGTCGCTGGTCTTTGGGTTTAGTCTCTTTGTTACAATTCTGCTATCTTGAAGGGGTGGGAACATGTACGCAGACAGATGGTGGCAAATAAAGAAACTGCAATCAGAAATTTTAACAATTGCTGCCTTTGGTGTCCCTGAGTACATCCCACTGTTTGGTTTGTCAGATAAAATGGTCCAGAAACAGAGAATAGTGTTATATTTCCTCCCAGAGAGCAGAAGGCACTTCGAAAATGATCACTCTTCTGGTGGGTACACTCACCTCACCCTGCCATCTCTACCTTATTTCCAGAAGTGTAAGTGGGACAAAATCAATATGTATGTGTGCACCTTGGGAAGGAATGCATTCTCCTTCTACTCTCACCATCCTTAAAAACTATTGTCTTTATCCAGCTACGAATGGCGGCCATTTCTGGGGGCAGAGTATTAAGTTAGGCTACACTGAGGGAGAATGTTGAAATGAGAGCAAACCCTGCCCTTGAAACAAGGTTGCTCAGCATCCGATGAGGAGGACCCCATGGAATTTCAGTCTGTCTGTGTTGGTGGCCATCACAATGACAGGCATGTTCCTTGTTTCTAATATTGGGCAAACAGCATCCTTTCCACCAACACATTGGGTGGTATTCAGTGGTAATCCTGCTGAGAGTTGACCCATTAAAATTAATGCACATAACTCAGTTAGGTTCTTTAATTTTAATATATCTCCTCTGAGTAAGGCATCATTGAATATCACCATTGAGTATGGGGGGAGGGGCTATACTGTGGTGTGAAACTGCCTAGATGTAACTCTATCCACCCATTCATTGGTCAGGTATGCCTAAAGGTCAAACCTATGTTTTTTTTTTAAAAAAAAACATTAAAAATGCTAAACAGAGACCACAGCCTCCAGAGGAAGGGAATTCAACCCTTTATCTGTGTCATGTTATTGATTAAAATTGCTGCTCAAAGGCGCTCTTTGACAAAATAGGAGGAAGCTTAATAGGTGTCACACCTAATCTAATTCCACAATGCAAAGAGCAGCTTTGCAGGGTGATTTTAATCAGGAAAGCAGTGCAAGAGAAAAGGTTAAAAACAAGCATCACCACCAAGTGCTGAGAAATACACCACGGAGGGGTGTGGATGTGTGGATGTTTGTGTATTGCAGGGAATCCTGCTCATGTTTCCTGCCTCATCAGATCTAACAGCACCTTAGCCTGCTGTCTCCTTCAGCCATTGAAAAATAAGGATGTCCCTCCCAAAGGCCTCTCAACAGCCCTTCTCCCTGGAGAGCCACATCAGTTTATTGGACTTTGTGGGAAAATGAATGAACAAAGAAGTCTTTTTAAAAAAAAGATTTTTATTGTTACCATTCACATTAACACACCATACAGAAAAAGAAAATAAACTTCCGTTACCACCAATGGAAAAAAAGAATTAATACATCAACTAATATCCTTCAAGACATAAAACAAAAGTGGTCTTTTTCTATCTACCCGACTTCCCTTCTATTCCTTATTACAGATTCTGTATTAATTGTTTGCTGCCATTGCATAACAAGTTTTGTTCAATTTCAATATCCCTTAATCCATTCATTGGTTTTATCACATTTTTAACACTACTACTGAAATTATTCGAACGCTGCGTATGACCTTAGACTACTAATATTATTTTTCAAATATATTTTAAACACTTCCCATTTTGAGATAAATACCTGCTTTGGTTTATTTTTTATCTTTTCTGACATGCTATCTAATTCTGTGTATTCTGCCAATTTTTGAATCCATTCTCATCTTGATAGGACTTTATCACTTTTCCAATTTGCCGCAATGAGAACTCTTGCTGCAACCGTAGCATATAAGATCTCTTTAGCCTTTTTTGGAATATCCGAGTCTGTGATTCCCAAAAGGAAAGCTTCCAGTTTCCTATTAAAAGATATTTTTAACATTTTTTCCAATTCTGTGTGGATATCCTCCCAAAACACCTTGATTTCTGAATGAACAAAGACGTCTTAAAGGGATTTAAGGCAAGAGACGCTTGAGGGTGCCTGTTGTGCACCAGCCACATAACCTCAGGCTTGAACGTTTGCCAGCTGTTGTAGGAAGTCTGGCTGAGGAAATTGTCTCTGTTACAAACCACAGCTGTTCTCTGCAGTGAAGAGCTGGGATGCTCAAACAATTCGACAGCAACGCTCTTCCAGATACACACAGGGATACTTATTGTTATGGTGGCTATTTTTGCATTCCCCTCCCTAAAAAGATGAAACATTTCACCAACCTAGAAGACATAAATGAGGTTTATATTTGCATATGGTAATTTATATGTATAGATGCAAATTTAGAAATGACTGCTATAGTTTACCTAGAAAAGCAATACATGTGAGCCTGCTCAGTTTGCTGTCCAGGTGTGAATTGTTGATGGTCAACTTCAAGGCCCTCCTGCCCCCACTCCTGGACAGCCTTTCAGATAAACAGCACCTTCAAATACAGTGATACCTCAGGTTACATACGCTTCAGGTTACACACTCTGCTAACCCAGAAATATTACCTCGGGTTAAGAACTTTGCTTCAGGATGAGAACAGAAATCGTGTAGCGGCAGCACAGCAGCAGCAGGAGGCCCCATTAGCTAAAGTGGTGCTTCAGGTTAAGAACAGTTTCAGGTTAAGAATGGACCTCCGGAACGAATTAAGTTCTTAACCCGAGGTACCACTGTAGAGAACTCTGACAGCCCTTCAAATTAGAGGACTGAATGTCCTCTGTAAAGTAGGATGCACAGCCACCTTACTTAGTCATAATACAAAGCAAATAATTTGGGGGCAGTAAGCACTTTAAAATCTAGCTGGTTTATTGTGCACTCATTTTGGGGGGGGGGAGGGGTACAACTAGAGGCCTCTTTGCCAGACCCATGAAGTACTACTCTCAAGTGGCGGGGGGAGGGCAAGAATTGTCAATGGTGAGATGAAAGGGCCGTTGGGTCTCTGATGTTTCTCTGCAGAGCCCAAACCTCAGCAAATCTGTCCATCTTTGAGATGCCAAAATACATTGTTGATTACCTATCGTGGACAGAAGTCTAAGCCACATGTAATGTGGGAACTCTCCCTTGGGGTTTTTAAAACAATAATATAAACTTTTGATTGGAACCCTTGCAACATGCGGGCCAAACATGGGGATGGTAGGACCGTAGTGGTCAGGCATGCCAGTGTGGTGGGACAAGGCTAGCCTGCTGGGCTCCATGATGCCCTTCAGAGGGTTGTCTTTCAACACATAGCAGGGGCCCTTTTGTTTTCCACCATCACCCCTTCATGACAGAGTCTAATAACACCAGGGGCTCCTTCATCTGCTCATCTTCTGGCCTGCTATCCTCTGACAACAATGCTCTTCGGTTGTCTAATAATTGTTTGTTTTGTTTTATGGCATTTATATCCCATCTTCCCCTGCCCCAGGAGCTCAAGGTGGCGTACATGGTGTTTCTCCTCTTCAGTTAATCTGCACAACAACACTGTGAAGGTGGTTCGGCTGAGAGGCAGTGACTGCCCCAAGGTCACCCAGTGAGCTTCATGGTTGACCCTGGTCTCACAGAATCACAGAACTGCAGAGTTGGAAGGGACCATGAGGGTCATTTAGTCCAACCCCTTGCAGTGCAGGAACCTTTTGCCCAATGTGGGGCTCAGACTTACAACCCTGAGATTAAGAGTCTCATGCTCTACTGACTGAGCTATTCTTGGGGACTCCAGGTCCTTAGTCCAACATTTTAACCACTGCACCACATTGGCTCTCAATAAATCTCAATTAGTGCCTTTAGTGTGTTTGATGTGATGCATGTAACACTATAATGTCGTAATCTTTACGGCAATCATTATAAGGCATCATTATTATCTCCCTATTGCAAGTGTGTGAGAGAGAGATAGAAAGTAGATGACGACTCGGGTGTTTTGGTTACTGACATTTCAAGGCAGCATCTATCTTTAAACTACTAAGCTAAGCTAATATCCTATTTTTCCTATATAAAAACATGTAGGTGAAAGAGTGTAAAGAGTACAGAAGGATAACAAATGTTGCCCATGGCTGGTGGCATTCATAATTATAAAAGGATGTTGTTGCATTGCCTTAGCTGCATCATTCTACTTAGTATTAGAAACTGCTTTTGTTGCAGTTTCATATTATGGTTTCATATTATGGCTCTGTTAATACAGGATGTTCCATATAAGTTACAATGGTTATTTACAAAGCCAAAGTGGATATGCTACACAAACGTGCTGGCAGATACAGCAATAAAGGAAAAACACACAGTGATTGTCCAACCCTTTCTGTAAATGTGTGGCTTGACCTGGCTATGTGGCTATTATACAAGTCTACACAGACATTAGTCTCTCTTGAGTTCCATATTTGTCTCAGGTAAGTGGATATAGGATTGCACCCTAAGCTTACTTCCTTGAGACATCTGTTCTGGAGCCACTTATTTGCACATTAGATAAACGGACAGCTCTTGTACTGAGCTGCACTGCTTACTCTGGACCGGCACCAGATCTTCTGATCTGAAGAGATGGGAAAATCCAGTGAAAATATGAAAATAGAGGCTTTGATCTCCCCCCACCCCACTGCCCTAGAATGTTTAAAACAAGCTTTTAATTCCTATAGAACTTTTCATCAGGCTTCAGCACTCCAGTAAAATAAAATAAAATCAGCAACTCACGGCTTGGCTGATGTTTACCCAGACATGCCTGTTGCCTATCAGAACAAAGAAGCAGGAGGTTAATCAGCCCCCGTTGCTAATTAGATTACAAATCATTAGGCCTTGCTGTTTGGATTCAAGTTCTGCAAGTCCCTTCAGGGGGAAAGTGGCTAATATAATAAAACTAAAGAGGCAAGTTATGTTTGCATTCACCAGCCTACCATTACGAACCCTTGAAGTCAAAGCACCAGTACACCCACTGGATTTCTTTTCCCCTCTAGTGGTGGTCAAAAACTGCATTTCCAGTCCATCTCTTCCATGATTTGCTGCATTCACCTGCAAAGTGATGCTACTCCCGCATCTAGACAAGGCTTTAAAGGTTAGTGGCCATGTGGACGGATCCATTTGGGTGAGCTCAGTGTGCTTTGCCATCCACACCAGGGGATGCAGCTTGACAGAATGGGCTCTGCTTTTCAATCCTTTTCCCTGCCCTCCACCAACCTATTTCATTCTGGGCATGTTCATGTTCCTGCATTTCTATACCTCTTCACTATTCCTGGACCTGCGTCTGCAAGAGCAAACATTACCAGTCTTATCCTTTCACACGGGCCAAATAGAAGCTTCCGCTCTTTTTGCTTTGGGGGGACATATCCATTTTCTCTTGTTTTTTTCTGTTAAGTAAACATAGAGGAGTAGCACAAGAGCAATCAATAAATCTTGCTCAAGAACTCTATATTAATGCTTATTTGTTTATTTTAAAGCTTGATGTATGTTCTATGATGACAACCTCCTGGGGAATCCCTCACATCTACTATTCAGAGGTCTTTGAAATAATATCTCATCCAAACCAAGTGTTTGGCAAAAAGTGAAAATAGGTCTTTCTTTGGTATTTCTGGGAAGTGGGCACTGGAAACAAAATGGGTAGATTGTGCTCCGGTAAGTAGTGAACAGAAGTGGGGGCCTGGCAATAGAGACCACCCACCAAAACATCATCAAACAAATGGCAAACTGCCCCCAAATGCTAACAAGCTCCCACACCATTTGTGACTGCATTTTCACCTATTGAATCATAGAATTGAATAGTTGGAAGGGGCCCTGAGAGGCATCTAGTCCACCCCCTGCAATGCAAGAATCTCAACTATATCACACATATAGAATCACAGAATATTGGATAAGGGGAAATCTGGGTTAATTGTAAAGAAGGTATTGGCTGGCATTTTGATGATGACAATGTCTTGTGGATGCCACAGAACAATTGTGGACACGAGCAAGCAGTGCCAATTCCACAAATAACTCCTGTCAGAAGCTGCCACTTCTTCCATGGAGGCAGGGGAGGGGTGGGGGGGGGGGCCTGCCTCAGTTCACCTCATGGGTGAACCGGCCCTAGTGAGAACCAAGCCTTCATTATTTAAATGTCCTGACCCGTGCTATGCACGCTCCTGGACTTCATTCATGATCAGAGGTATATCATTAACAGATACTTTGGGGAAAAGAATTACAGAGTGTGTGCAGAATAAATCCCACAGTTTGACTGGCAGTGAACAAATGGACAGGGAGGAGAGGAAGTCATGCTTCTCAGGAATTCTCCCCTCCAGCCCATCTCCCACTGGGACAACTGACTGCTCTCAGCTAGAAATTAAGAAAAATGGCCCCATTGTCCTGAATGGTGGGAGCTTCCCTTGCCTGCCTGACCTGCGGCTCAAGGGCCCGGGGCCAAAGGGGCGAGGAGCAGCTCTCCAGGGGCCCTGCTGTCTCAACTGCTATCCAACGTATGCTCTGATCTTCTCTGAGAACGACGGAAACAGCACATTTCTGGCACCAAGTCTACAAGGAAAACAAGAAAAGTGCTTTGCTGCCAAGCTACTGCGGTCGGCACTTTGAACAGAGACATGGCGTAGGCACAAAGGACCTGTAAATGCAATGGGGTCAGATCCATATTCATTCCTGGTGCCACAGGGGAGACCTGAGGCATCTGGGGAAAAGTCTAGTCAAATTTCTTGAAACAAATCACGGTACATTGACACAAATTACATTGGCACCTGAGACTTGTGTGATGAATTGTTTATTGCCTCAAAAAATATTGTCATAACCTAAAAAAAAAGTATGGGAAAGAATTGGGTTAGAGTATAGCTTTAGTACTAGAGGTACTTAAGTACTTAGGGATATTTTTTTTAAAGCTTGGTTAGACAAGCTCTAGCTTTGCATGGCCTTTCCCCTCCCCTCCATGTTTTGGGAGCATCAATAATTTTGTCTGCTGTTTTCTAGAAATAAAAATCCCTTTGGTTTTGGTGTCCAGGGCTTGGACAAAGAAATATGATTCTTAAATCTGCCTTTACAATTGTTTATACAATAGGGATTCTTTTTCCTCTTTGTTTAAAGTTTGGCCTGTGTGATTCTTTGCAGGGGTAGTCAGCTAAACAAGCAACCTAAATTTCACTTTCAGAAGTGCATGACTAGTTTCCCACATCACTGATGCCCACATGACCACTGACTCATCCCCAGCCCCGTCTACCCAGCTATCTAGATGATGCACAACATCTGCAGTCTTTGTACCAGGCAGCCAAGTCACCAGGCAGTCTGCATGCCAATGCACCTAGCAATGCAATCCTTTTTTAAAAAAATGATATTTATTAAGAATTTTAAGATTACAGAAAAAACAAAGAGAAAAAGAAGAAAAAAACAAACGGCAATCAAACAATACAAGTCGATAAAAATCAAAAGCAAAAAGCAAAAACAAAACACATAACACATCAAAATCAAAAAACAAAAATAAACCACAAAAGTTTAAAAACAGATCCAATATTCCCAAATCCTTAACTGTCATTGCCTTATTTCATCGACCTCCTCACCCCTCCCTTTTTTGTATTCTAGTTATTAATTATCACAGCAAATCCTTCCCATTTTTCATAATATTCTGTCATTAAATTACCTTAATCTATTTTAACCTTATCTTACCATAAAAAACCCTAAAACTTAAAATTTAAGTCTTATTTATACCAGTTTCTCATAACCATAACATATTCTTGCATAGTTCTTTTTAACATTTCTGCTAAAGCCAAATAATTTCGTTCCAACATTTTTCTAATACTCATTGATTTTAGAAAACATTCCTAAATAGAATTTTTGAAACTTTCTCCAATCTTCATCCAACGCCTCTTCCTCCTGGTCTCGGGTTTTGTCAGTCCTTTCTATCCCATCCATCTAGTTCATTAACCTGGTAACCTTATGTCCGAGGCCCTTAAGTCTCTTCCATGTCCCTTCCGCAGATCTTCTTCATATTTATACCTGTACTTTACTTTGTCTTCTGCTCCTTTCACTCGTGGAGACTCCAGCTTGACAGTATTTTTGTCCCTTCTCGACAGATCAGCCCCTTTTCCATAGTCCACACTGAACTCCATGTGGTATTTAAAAGCATGTTTCAAGGTCCCTCCAAAATTGAGGACCCCACAACTCCAAACTCCTCCCGGCCCAACGCCAGACTTGAAAAGTCAAAACATCCCTGCAAAGTTGGGTCTATCCAGCCCCCCATCTCCAAGCCAAACAAGACTCTATCTCTCCAAATCTGGCTTTTCCAGGTTCATTCGTCAGATCCAACAACTCATGTTCCTGCTGGGCCACGGTTCCCTCCATCTCTGCCTCCCGGGGTCCAGCCACAACCTCCTCCTTCATCTGATCTGTCAGAGCACACTCCTGAATTGATTCCTGAGTGGGTTCTATATAGATACCCACTACCTGTCCAAAATTTCTGATCGCAACAGTCATCAAATCCGTCTTCTCATGTAACTGTTCCAATAAAGCACTTGTCTTGCAGAAAGCACGCACCAGAGCCTCTGAGTACATTGTTATGCAAGGTCAGAAGTCTGTTCCCACGATCTTAATCTGTTGCAGCTGCGAAGCTCCCCAGTTCAAATTTAATAACAGTTTCACAAGCTCCCTCTAGGGGAAGAACTTCTATTTGTATCCAACTCTTTTCTTTTTTTTTTTAACAGCAGATCTAACAACAAAGTTTCATTTTTCAGATATTTTGTCAATATTTGTTCCTTTAAAATGCGA